CTTTTCAAAATCCAGCCAACGGTTGTTGACACGCCACACGCCAAACCCCTCAGGAACTTTACCGGTCGCGTTGAGTGGAAGAACGTGTGCTTTGCATACGACTACCGGAAGCCGGCTCTAAAGAATGTCAGTTTCAAATGCGAGCCTGGAACGACCACAGCCTTCGTCGGTGAATCTGGAGGAGGCAAATCGACCTTGTTCCGACACATGTTTCGCTACTACGACTGCGACTCAGGCTCCATTGAACTCGATGGACAGAATGTCAAAGACCTCACAATTGACTCCGTACGGTGCAACATTGGGGTCGTACCTCAAGACACTACGTTGTTCAACGAGTCCATCATGTACAATCTTCAATATGCGAAACCTGACGCAACCCGACAGGAGATTGAGGAAGCCTGTCAAGCCGCAAGGATCCACGACAAGATCATGTCCTTTCCAGACGGATACGAATCCAACGTCGGTGAACGCGGCATGAGATTGAGTGGGGGTGAGAAGCAGCGTATTGCCATTGCGCGTACCATCCTCAAGAACCCCGAAATCATCATGCTGGACGAGGCCACGTCGGCCTTGGACTCACATACCGAACAGGAAATTCAAGAGAATGTATGGAGCGTTGGGCAAGATAAAACTCTCTTGATCATCGCGTAAGTATAGAGCCGTACATTTCCTTGGACCCAGACTGACTAATACGTGACAGACACCGACTGTCGACAATCACACACGCGGATCAAATTATTGTGTTGCACGCCGGAGAAGTTGTCGAGCGAGGTACTCACGATGAGCTTCTCTCTAGAGCCGGGCGTTATGCGTCCATGTGGCGCAGGCAGAGCCAAGCTGAGAAGGCTGAACGTGAGGCTAGTGTCGCCACGAAGAAAGCTCAGCGGGCGGTGAAAAAGGCGAGGCTGGATCAGGTCTCTGTCGATCTCGGCAAGATTCATAACAGGCACAACTCGGGATCGTATCAAGACCATGACTGCCACGACGTCAACCATGAAGGCACCGAGGAGGGTTCCTCCCAGTCGAGCACATCTACGTCTAGTTCGGATTGCGAGTCGACGCACTCGGCCGAGGCACGAAACGAGGAAGATCCAAAGCTCCGTTCCAACCACGGCTGAACACAGGACTGGGAACGATGCAATCCCATCCACCTAATATTGATTTCTTTCCGATTCCATTTGGAGCAAGCAGGCATTCACACATTCGCAGCACACGATGATGCGTAGCACGCATGAACACGAACTTGGGAGCATGGTCAGGCGTTGTGCAGGTCAATTCTTTCTACTTCCTTGTTCTTATTTACGATCGCAAACTTCATGAGGCATGTTCTTTGACGATTCAACCTAATACTCTCGTTTGGACGGCGCGATGCGCGTGTCGGCGGATGCACTTCTCCGCTCCACCATCGCACTTCAGGATCCTCACCGCCGTATCCTTTTCGGACACACCGCTCTCGCTATACTCGGTTTTCGTTGAAGGGGTTTCACCGCCAGAAGAGGAATGACCCAGAAAAAAAGAAGAAGAAATTTTTTTTAAAGAAGAAGATTCATGAACGGCAACGTATCCATGCAGATTACGGCGAACAAAATGCGCACCAGGACTACTAGGTCAGGGGTGCCTTGGGGAATGAGATTTGCAAAAGACATTGATTGGCCTTGAATTTGTTTCGCTGGAGCGGTAATTAGCTACGATTCCTTAGATGGTGGCCACCACAATTCCCTACGAGGAACGCGGCAATCGCGGAATGGCGAGACTAGAGTGCCCCCAGAAATAGGAAACTAATTCCAAGATTGACAACATAAAAAAATACTAGTGACACGCAAGAAGCTGAACTTTTATTAGGTACCTATAATAGGAAGTAGGATGCGTATAGAAAACCCGGCTACCACTGGACAGGTCCGCCGAGACGCCCCCTGTGCTGCCCTCTGTGTGACTTGAGTAAGGGCAGCCAGCTCAGGGGCACGAACTGAAGTCGATTACAATTAGTATGCTTCCAAGACCACTGACGCGTCCTATTGTTGATAAAGAAGAATCCCAACCCCCCTTTTTTCTAAACAGTCCTGATCCTCCCTTTCGCGTTCCATGTTATTCGTGCAACCCATACCCGTCCATGCATGTTGTCCCAATCCTATGATTGCTGATACTTCCTCATCGTCGCGGCCAGCTCGAAGCGACTGTGCCATGTATATACCCAACGTTCGTCAACGTTTGGCTTCTTGGGTGTGTCTCTCCCGAAGCGAATGTCTATAGTTGGAAAAGTAAAACGAGTGGTTATGCATATATGCGTATCGTATGCGTATGTTGTCTGCTGATGCGCCGTTCCGCTCCTGGAATGCTCTGGACTCATGCTTTCCCATTTGTGCATGACTTGCTTTGAACATGAGTGAATTTGCGTGCGTGAGTGCGATGTGCTCCTCTCCTTTGTATCGTGTCCTCGTGCAAATTCTTTAGTGCGTGGCACCATTAACGGCCGCATGGCCTATTTGCTTTTCGCTGATCTGGGTCGCCTTTTCATCCTCCTAAGGCTCCTCTTCCTCGTCGTCAGAGCGGTCATCCTTGAGCTCATTTTTGAAGACCGCGCGGTAAGCAATGCGCAGAATATAGTAGAGCCAGAAGAGGTTCAACGCCTGCAGTGAGGTGAGCAGGGAGGTGGTGATGACCTGACTGAGCAGGCACTTGTACTGTTCCGTTTCCCAGTTGAGCTCAAATGGACCGACGGTACGGAACTCGGTGAAGAGGGACCAGATGATCTTGAGGTTGATATAGTGGCGCATGTAGATCCATACGCAGATGAAGAAGGCGTAGAACTTGTCCGTGATGGGATGATTCAGGTAGTTGAGAGTCTTGGAGGTGGCGAGAAAGAAGTCGGAGATGTCGTGGGTGGTGTACACGGCAATGCCGATGTAGGTGAAGTGGAAGCGGTACGACAGGCCGATGAGGGCAAGGGAGACAATGTGGTGGGCGATGAGTTCCTTGAAGTCCTTCCGGGGCTTCTCCATGCCAAGGACGAGGACGATGGCCTGCTGGGCCCAGTAGGCAGCTTGGAAAAGGTAGTAAAACTTGGTGAAGGCGTCATGGTGTCGGTGGGGGAAGCCCTCGTACATGCCGCGTGTGTTGAAGTACCAGACGGGCGTGCGGCTCATGACGTACATACCAAGGGGGCCCAGGAAGAAGAAGTAGAAGGCTGTATATCCTTGCTCCATGAAGCGGGCAAGCTTGCCCTTGGAACGGAGACCGGCACGACGGGCAAGGGGCTTGATCATTTCCTGCATAACGAACTCGCGGGTGAAAGACAAGACGACTGTGTAAAAGGCAACAAAGGCAATGTCCCAGGGGCCCTTGCCGTACTGCACGCTGCCGTTAGCGTCGAGCATACTAGGCTCCTTGTACGATAGGAAGATGAAGCGGTGCATCAGGTTCGACTCGTTCGGGCGCACAGCGTAGGCCGCCAGCATAGCCAAGGCGATCAGTGCCGGCAGGACGAAGGTGTGCTTGATCATGATATGGCGCGCGCGGCCAAAGAAGCCTCGTCGGCGACGGACAGAGCGCTTCTTAAGCCCTGGGCTAGGGGAACCTCCGGATACGGAGTTCTGATCTGCAGCATCGAGGGCCGTCTTGCTGGTAGCCAGAGCTGCCCCCGTGTCGCCGGCACGGATATCCATGGTCCCCAAAGCGCTGCTCTTCCTGGGACGACGCTTCTCTACATTGTTTGTGCTGGCATCGGTGGCCGTAGTGTTGGAGACTTCCTCAAAGCTATGTAGGGCGTCTGCCGAGGTATTGAGAAGTGGGAAGGGTTCCGACATGATGGGCCAATCTTCGCTCCAAGCGTGCTGTGTCTGGAAGCTGGCTTGTAGTTTTTCGAGTCGCGCCCGTACTAGCGATCTAGCGCCCTGATGCAGGCTCAAATAGGCGTGCTCGAAGTTGGGGAGGGATTTGGCGGCGCGCGAGCTGTCTGCGAGAATACCAACGACGGGTGTCAATCCGGGGTATTGAAGCAGTCACGCGCGTGAGTGCCCCTGGTATCGTGTCAAAGTTGGTGTCGCTGTGATCGTGAAGACCCTGTCGAGATTGCCGAATGCCTGCTTGGAGTTGAGTCGCGTGTCGTTTTCGTCTTCGTCTCGTCGCGTGCGGTCAGGGGATATGGATAGATAATTATTAGGGTGCGCAGTAAGGATAAAGTCAATCCGTCGCCGAGAACCTGTCCGCTCCAAACAATTGGATCTTCGCAATCGACGCAAGCTTATTATATTGGTGAAAGGAGTGTGGGTTGCCAGCGTTTGAATGCCAGGGACGTGGGAGGATTGCTGATGGCAGAGCGAAGTATGTAACAAGGGCCGGTGCTCATACCCTTCAGGAGGATTTGCATCATCACACAAATCTCATTTCCCGCGTAGCCCAATTTTTCGCGGCAAGCACGCTCGCCCCTCCTCTCCTTCCCGAATGCTCGCCAAGGCAGACCGAGGCCACAGGAGCGCGTCGCGACACTAACACCAGCTCTGCAAGATACTTGCCACGGCTGTTAGTACCCCTGAGTCGTACCCTGGATCTTCGACCTCCCCGCAATTTCACCAAGCACATAATCACGGCGCCCGCGGGGACCCGTGAGGTTCGTCTGAATACCTTACCGTACTCCGTACTCCGTAGCTACTTATTAGACAAGTCGAACAGGCTGGTCTGAGCGACAAGTGTCGATTTGCAACCAAAGTCTTGAGATAATTGAGCCTCCGCGATTTCATTGGTACAAGCTGGGACCCAGTCTGTCCGTGTTTCCCAGCAGCCTAGCAGGGACGATTGAGAGTCTGATATTCCCAATTACTATTCACGTACATTGATTGTGTTGACATGGCTCATCAATATATACAAGCGGACGATGACCATGTGAGACGGACGGGTATCTTGGAATACACGCTCCCAGCCCAGAATGCCGGCCGCAAGAAAACAAATCCAACAACGCCTTGCTCAAATGATGTCTCTCGCAGAATGCAACCCGATAATCCAAGTCATTGGCGCCTCGAAGGGCCCGGGACAGTGCCCTCATCTGATGTTTGACGTCCCCTGGTGGCTGAGACCGATTCCTCCGTGACCGAGCCCCCCTCGTATGAATACTCATCGTCGTCGTACATGAGTCGAGGCTGCACGCCAGGCCACAGCGGAGGATTGTCGACAGGCAGCCCATCGGTACCCCGCTGCGTGGATGCATTTGGCTCCCTTTCACGCTCGAGGATACTCATCTCAACCGAGGATTCCCTCGAATCGCTGCTGCCGCGATGGATCCTGTCGCCCACTCCTTCCTCCTCCAGGACTTGCCGGAGAGCTGTCCCCCTGCGCTCTGGCGCTGGAATCACCCTGACAGGGAGATTGTCGGTGTCCGTTGTGGGACGAACGCGCTCGCGGATCCTTTCGGCTTGATTCGCCGCAAATTCTTCGAGCCTCGCCCGTACCGCCCATCGACTGTGCGAGGAACCGCCCCGAGCGGAGTGGCGTTGCGGTGGTGCGTATGACACATTGCGCTCTATCCCCGCGGCCGAGCCCGCGTAGTTTTGGCTTGCAGGCGGGTTTGTGGAGGCAGTGAGGTCTCGACACGCGGTTTGACTGGCTGAGCTATTCGCATCGACTTCGTCCAGCGTCTGTAGCCCTGACGGCGGCGGGTTCGGGTTGGAGGGAGCGTAAGCTGGCGCAGGCTGCGAGCTCGCCGGATCGTCGTCAGTATGACAGCTTTCAGGCAAGCTCTCCAGCCGGGCCAGTTCGGGCATGCTCGACTGCAACATGATATCGGGCGTTCGCGTTGTCGCCTCCGATGTGGGCGGATATCGTACTGCATAGACTGTGCTTGCTGCGCTTTGTGTGTCCGTGCGACTGACGGGCGTGACTGCAGGCGCAGGTCGCGCTGGCCACAGTGGGGGTCTCAGGATATTGCCCATGACGCCCTGTGGTTGCTGTTGTTGTTGGCCCTGCACGTTGTTTGTGTGGTGGCCACCTCGTGGCGTGTCGCCATGAGGGGGGGGGACTCCGTTCTCACCCCCATCATCAGAACTGTGATCTCTCCTCATTTTCCTCCGCCATGGATAGTCAAAGGGAATGACCTCTAGTGTGTCGTCTCCGTCAAAGACCTCTCGCCCAAGGATTCCGTCCTTCTTCTCCTCGCGCTCAAGGGCCTCGATACGCTCCACCCACTCCCAAACCACGACGCTCGCGGCAGCAGCACCAACCCAGCGCACATAATCACCCCACCCCGCAACGTCCGGCTTCGAGATGTCGAGGATGAAGAAGACCACGGGAATAATGACGGAAGTGATGCCAATGATCGCAATAAGACAAATGTTCTTCATCAGCGGATGGTAGAAGGCATATCGTTTCTTCGTGATGGCGTAGTAAATGACCCACGCCGCGTAGAGGATACCGAGTGATAGCTGGAAAAGATAGCTCAGAGCCGGCACAGGGTGAACAAAGCTATTGGGCGTGCTTGGACGCGACACGCCGTCGTCGGAATACTGGAAACTGTTCAATGCGCTGAATATCAAATCCAAGGTGATGAGCGCAAAGGCAGTCCATTTGATGATGATCTTTTCCCGCTGCCGTGGGAAAAGACGTATCAAGGTTTGCGCCTGAGCCAGCCACAGGAACGTGTCAGATATGAGGCGGATGACTTTGATTTCGATGCTGCCGAGAACCTCGCGCTGCATGAGGCCGGCATTCTGTATCCCCCACCTGTACTGCTGCTCAGCGACTGTAAATGTGTTCGACGTGGCTACCGTCAGAGATATGGCGACGGTCAGGGCCGCCACCTTTTGCAGCCATGGCCGCCCTCCAATGCTGACGCCGCTTGGCGAGCCGTTGGTGAATCCTCCGCGCCGGCCCAGATACACAACGCCGCCGTCGAGGAAAGACCTCTGGTTGACGAAGAGTATGATTACAAGCATCCAAGCCGTGATCGTGGTGGACGCCAACGCGTAGCATATGGGGAATTGCGTAATGTAGAAGGGGTCGCGAAAGTCGGAGAACTGATGCTCCTGGCTGTCAGCAGGTGTGAGGCTGGAAGCATCGAGAGTCGGAGCAGCCGCGTCGTCGGTTAGTTGCCGCGCGGCAATCGTAGGGCATGGTGCATGAAAGAACGCGTCTTGAGTCAGTGTGAAAGGCTCGAAGCCGTTTCCGAGGTCGAGTACCGCGTTGGCCGGGAGAAGTGTCGTCGCGCAGAGAGTCGGCAGCGCCGCGAACGCTGTGCTCAACGTCATGGTCGCGGCCGACCTAGAGATGAATGGCAAGGTGAAGATGAGACGCCGCCGCGGGCGACAATCCAGTTGCGAGACTCAGTCCTAGGGGAAGGACGCCATTGAAATGGAGTAGCTGTGCAAGGTGCTGGTAAACTACCGACAGTCGGATCGTGAGACGGAGCGGCGCGATGGGGGTGCGATTTCGATCGGAGCGCCCGTTTGAATGTCGGGCCAGGATGGCCGGGTAGCGAGTGGCAAAGAGAGACTGGCTAAACGAGCGTCGGGGCAGTCGAGACGAATACTTAGAGTCGACTGGTCTTGCGAAGTTGCAATCGTCCGTCTCGGATGTCTGTGTAGAAAGCGAACCGTGAGAAACGGAGTCGGGAGATGGGGGGCCCCAGGCGCCCAGTCGGTAGGCTCTTGGCTTTGCCGGGGACTTGGCAGCGAGGCTTTTCCAAAAGGAACAGGTTAGGGACGCCAACGAACCTTTTCTCTTGTCTAGTGTGGGCGTCTATATTGGCCCGGGAAATACTACTATTATGGGAGATCTGGAGAGAATTCGTAGAGGCACGTTGTGAGTAAACGAGGATCATACGATACGGGCACTGGAGAAAAGGAAGAATTGCAGGAACGAATTGAGGGAGGGGGCCTTGCGCCGCGCGCTGGGGGATCTGGAATACTGGGCGGGCGAGGAAGGACTGGACATGGACGGGACACACGCACACGGTGTGTGGCAGTGCGCGTCAGTTGCACCTGAGGCTAGTTTGAGCACCAATGCACGGTATGTGGGATGGCTTTCCATCAGTGAGATATCTGACAAGTACATGTACTTTCTGCAAGAAAGCAAAGCCACTGCATCCCATGTCCTCTAATCTATCGGACTCGATTGACGGCCTCAATTGCGATCACAGTCTGTACACTGTATATGCCTACCTTACGGCGGGGAACGGCTCTTCAAGCCACGCACGGAAAGGGCAGGCGCCTCGTAATAACTGAAGGTAATCTTTCAGCTGCTGCGCTTAGTTCTAACTTGTCATATTATTAGCGACTGGGAACAGAATCCAGATATTCCCAGTTCCAGTCTCAACAGGCCGAAGCATGCCGCAATGGGCCCACGACTGCAGTTCGTTCGATGCAGAAAACGATAGCCTCTTGCCCTTGCATCGCGACGATGTAACGCTGTAGCCTGTGAAGCAGACAATTGCTCCCAAGTTAACTCCAATGTCCAGCCCTGCCTCCTAACCCCAGGGGCTGTCCCCGGCTTTGGTGAACGTGGGGGTAGAAAAAAGTGATTGCGGGAGACGATATAATTAGTTATGTCGTGAATTTCTTGAAAAAATGATGGGCCTTTTCCTTTGCGTGCCCTCCACATGTTCAGGTCAAAGAACCCATCCTCGACGGTTTACTGCGTGACGGTCTCCCAACTCCACTCGGCCATCCGTCCTCGTGCTCGTCATGACATGCATTTTGCTGCGCCGTCGCGCATTGGAAATGATACCTCAGTTTCCCGTGAGACTGGTAGTTCCTTTCGAGGATGCAATGCATTGCCGCCAAGTCTGACTGTGGTCACCCGCGTGGCAGATCGGCTGCTTGCCTCTCCGTCTGCCTTGGCAAAGCTTGAGGGCACGCTAGGCGGCTAGATGCACGTGCTGTCTTGGCTAACGATCTCGCGATGCTTGGCGCTTACCTACGGACAGAGCCGCATCGAAGCCATTGAGTTCAGTCCGTTGATGATGTGCAAAAGGTGTGAACTAAAACCTGCCACGTCTTGTTGGTACAGCCTTCATGTATGAAAACAAATGCATCGGCTCGACAATCTCGTCGACCCTTTGAACGCCCTGAACATGTTGTCCCCTCCGCGACGCGAAACATGTGAATGAAAAAACAAAAGATCAACCCGCGCGCTTTGCTTTTCCAGCAATGTTCATCCTGTAATCATGTCTGCGACTATTCGTCCTTTTGATATCAATGCTCCCCAGACCGCGCCGACCCGTATCCATCAGTGCGATACTGCATCTCCAGCACCCAGTTGCCGCTAAAGTCGATACCGCGCCGTAGCTTGGTGCCTGCTTTCTTCCATACAGCGCTGCCCAGACCCATGTCGGCCACGAACAACCGCCAGTCGTCCTCATGGCCGGCGTAGTTTAAAGCCGCAGGCTCGTCTTTGCGTGGTGGCGTGACGGCTTCAAGCAGTCCTCGCTTTGGGGCCCCCATTGCCACGACGTACCGGGGCTTCACAAAGAGCGGACCTCCATCGATGATGGCGATCTTGCCCGTCGTAGGTTCAATGCCGGAAGGAATATCGACCGATAGCACAAACGCCTCGTTTCGGTTCGCCCATTCCATGAGCTCATACACCGACGCTTGATCACCGACACGCAGTTCCTCGAAAGACATGGTCAGCCCGAGCATTGCGTCAACGATGAGCGAGACAGGCACACTGGCTCCAGAAGCCGCGTTCTTTCGAAGATGCTCAAAGAACTCGTTTTTGTTCAGAACACGACCGCCAAAGGCGCGGTATAGCGCAACCTGTCGTCGAAGGTCCTCCATGAGATCCCGTTCGCGCTCAATGCCGACCACGCAAACCACCACATCTATGTTGCGATTGCGAAGATGACGCGCTGCCGCCAGTGCACGGATGCTCGACTTGTTGTTTCCCGCCAGGATGACGGTGGACGAACTGGCGAGCAGTGCACCAGCCGACGAGCTGTTGGTGGCAAGCTCAAAGCGGACCTTCATCGCCGGGTCAGACAATGCCTTGATTGCGACCTCTGCGATGCCTCGACCGGCGTTCTCAGCCATGAGCTCCTCCGTGAAACCGACCTCGTTTGCAGCAATGTTCTCAAGGTTAAGCATCTGGAGTGTCGATATCGCTTCCACGCGTCGATTCGAAGGCAGTAGGTGGAGCCCCGGGTTGTACGCCTGCTGCAAAAGGTTAGCATAGCGAATTGAGGAAATCACCGTCACATAATGACCTACCCCAGAGTTGACACGGGTCAGTGGGTGGCCCCCAGTCATACCGCTGCTGGCCTTGCGTGATCGCGACCTCCTGGATATCCCACTCTTGCTCTCCGCTCTGCGTAGCGCGGGCGCTTCTTTGAAATCGCGCCCATTCGGTCTTTCGACCTCAAACTCGGCCAGCCCTTCGTCCGCCTCGCTGTTCCAAAAATCGGCGGTTGCCCTGGTTGACTGTGGAAGATCCAGCACATTCTCCGTGTGGTGTAGGTTTTTGCCATTGCTGGTACCGGGCTTCGGTCGTCGGTTGTGTGCGACAAGTCGGCTGGCGTCGTCAATCTGGTCCTCCTTGCGCATTTGATCAAACACGGCACGCTTGTCAAACTTGGCCAGGTTGTTTTCGAAGTCAAACTCCGCCATCTCCTCTGTGACATCGGCGGACTCCCACCCATTGTCCGCCGCGCTTTTCCCCCCACGCCCCTGTTTCTTGAGCGAAGAGAATGGCTGGAATGATGCTGTGCTCTGCAGCATGGGTGTCTGCCTCCAGCCTTTGCCGCGACCGCTCGTAGGCACGCTAGGTTTGTCGCCTGGTGAGCTAGGAGCGTCCGAATCATGGGAGTGCTGTTGCGTCTTTGCCTTATTGCGACGCTTCTTCCTCTTTTGCCTTTCACTTTCGGTATCCGTGATCTTTCCCGCTTGGCTGTGCTGCCCATGCTCGATTCGCAGCTGCTGGTCGATCGCTTCTACCACATCCTGGATCGGCGTCAGAGGCTTGACCATGCCCCGACCGACGTGGATGCCCCTCAAAACCCCTGGCAAATCACTGTCTTCGAGATCCAAGGCTAAGTCCGGGGTGCTATGCACCTCGGGGCCTGCAACAGTACTGTCCGGCATAGCCGTTGATCTTCCAAAGCTAAGGATCGCAGGGTCTTCGAATGCCTGCCGTGATGGGCGGGCGGGAAGAGCGACAGGTTCAGGGGCTGGTGGCGGAGCGTTGTAGAGCGCGGGCTTATCGTCTTCAATCTGGGTGAGGTCCGCAATGTTCATCGCGTTGATGCGCATCTCAGGTGCCCATTTCTCGGTTCCGACAACGAATACTGAAGAATTCTGTCAGCGCCAGAGCCCCTCCCGTCTCGGTCACATGGTACAGTTCACTTACCGTTCGTCAGCGTCAGACTACTGCCTGCCGCAACGTCGCGAATGGTTCCATCAAGCTTGTACGCTGGGGGGTCCCGGAGAGTGACGCGCATGCGCAAACCAATGAATTGTTCCGCCATGGTCGTCCACCTTGCTGTTCAGCGTTTCGAGGCTAGAAAAGTCGTCTCGTGAGCGGCGCAGGCTGAAGGGCGTGCGAGAGGCGAAGAGTTGACAGCGATACACCGGAAACGCCCTCCAACGGCGTCGCCGCCTCGAAAAGGACAATCACGTCGCAATCGCAGCCGACGTTGGGTGGGATGCCGCGTTGGAGGTGGTCGGGAGTTTGTCGATCGTCCAAGTCGGGACAGAGGTCAAATTACGTCGATCGCAGATTGACCGGGTTTCACAAGTTTGGAGCACGCCCGAATGTCGACGATGTAGAGCGGGCAGCGCAGTCAGTCCACGGGCGCAAAGAACGGTCTTTGATGATAGGAAAGATCAAGAGTGGCGGTAGGACAACCGTTGGTGCGCTCCTCGACAGAATTCCCCCCATCGATCGTGGATGCTGCTGCTGCGATGGCATGCCGTTCGCTCCTGCCCCTGGTGGGCCTGGATGGGCCAAGTCCGTCTCGCCGAGGACACTTTCCGCTGGCGGACGCTTATCGATAAAAAAAAAGGTCGCTACTTCAACAAAAGGATTCAAGTCGGATGGATGCATTGCATGCAGCTACTGACTGCGAGTCCACATAATCCGCAGGATCGCACGTGTCACATTGGCGTTATGCTTGGTTTCGGCAAATAATTGGAGGACGGTCTGATATGTGGACGCTTGCGTTGATGCTGACGTGATTCACCACATAATACAGCTCCTCGGACCTCGATACTGGACCTTGTAATTATCGACGCTGCGCCTTTCTCGTCGAGCGTACCTCTGCGAGTCTGTTCCTCCACCTAGTACTAGAAGTACTGTATCTAGGTAGAAGACGACCAGAGCGAGTGGGTGCCGTAGCAGCCTGGAGGATCAACGCTGCATGTAGGGCACTTCGGTGCTGCCTTGATGCTACCCACCCTATCTCAGCACATCTCATAGCTGACCCATCTGTAGTTGGATTACTTGCTGGTAGGAACCTGGCTTGCCGTGCTATACAGCTATCTAAGTTCAGTGAGCTTGCCGGATGCAAGCGTCTCATTCTGCGATGCCAAAATACGTCAATCCTCTGTGTATACATACATGCAAAGTGGTAGGTAGTCTTCATCGCTAATCTTGGAAACTTTAATAATAACCCATATCTCTCATCGCTTCCTCATCTGGGTCCATTTCGTCTTGCGGCGGCAGCTGCTTGGGACCCCTATACGCCTCCTTCCGACTCGCAAACACGTCTGCTACTTTGGGCGCTGCTGGAGCCATTCTACTAGAAGCCACATCGACGCTGTAGAGCTTCCTGTAGAAGGCGCAAACCCGTGGGTGGGCCATGATCTTGCTTTTGTGGAAGTTCTTCACCTGCAAGCCTTGCTGACTGGTAGCACGACTGAGCGCAACGTACGCCTGGCCTTTCTCGAAAACCTTGCCCAGGTCTACTGTCACTCTCTCCAGCGTTTGCCCTTGAGCCTTGTGGATGGACAAAGCCCACGCCAGAATGAGGGGCAGCTGGGACCTCTTCGCCTGGACTTCGCCGTTGGGTAACTCGACCTTCCAGTCTTCAGGCTGACACAAGATAATCTTGGGGTTCCCATCGATGTCAATGAACTGAACGACCGGAAGAATCTGGCCACTCGAGGCAGAAGAATCTGTATCGCTGTCACGGCTGAATCCCTTGAGCTTCCTGCGAGCTTTGGCCATGGCGTCGTCCATGTTCGAGTCGAAATCATCAACACCGTTCATCTCAAATGTCTTCTCGTCTGAGAAAGCAATGACCTTGCCGAGGGTGCCGTTCACCAGGGACTCGTTCCAGTTCTTGATGAGCATCACTTGTGCGCCAACTTTGAGGTCTAGAGTCTTGGGGCTCATCATGTTCGATAAGAGCTTGTCTCGGATTTTGGGATCCCCTGAGTCGAGCGCTTCGTATCGTCGGGCTTCACCAGGTAGGGCACGGAGCCGTGTTGCGTTGGAAGTCTCGACTTGATTTCGTGTGGGGTACAGCTGCGCCATATCGACGCCGTCGTCGAAGGAAAGGGGTCGGGATAGTGCTCGGAATGCTCTCTCGGTCTCTGCGCTGATCTCCCCGAGGCGCATCTCGTTGAGCATATTTGCAAACTGAGGATCGCGCTGTCGGAAGACTTCTGTCAGGCCGATGGTGTGGTCGATGGATGTGTTCCATGTGCTGGCTTCGAAACAAAACTTGATGTCCCGCTTGTTCTCGCCATCAGGAACGGGAGGCAACTGGAAGAAGTCGCCTGTGATAATGAGTTGTATACCGCCCCAAGGCCTGCCGTTGTTGCGGATAGTGCGCCCAATTTGGGACAGCTTGTCGAATAATTCGCCATCGACCATGGATATCTCATCAATGATCAAGCATTTTACTTTGAGCCAACGGTTCTTCGCCTTGGGATTCCTTCGGATCTTCTTGATGAGCTGCGTTGGTTCCTCCTTGCCCAACCCGATGCCTACGAATGATCAGTCGCCTGTCAAAGGATGTCAAGGAATCACGTACCTGAGAAGCTGTGCAGCGTGATGCCACCAATGTTACACGCGGCCAAACCTGTTGACGCTGTGACTGCGACACGCTCCGTGTCTTTCGCATATTTCTTTTTGAGCTCCTCGATGATCGCCCGCATCAGAACAGACTTTCCTGTTCCAGCTGCACCGGTGAAGAACACGCTTTGCCCTTTGTTGACGACCATGTCAAGCACGTTGCGCTGCTCCTTGCTGAGTGAGAAGGCAGTAGTCTTGGCTCCGCCGTTGGCAGTCTCTGTCGCACCACGCGCACCATCGTTCCCGGGTTCTGATATTTGAGGCTGACGCTGATTCTTCAGCTTTAATTTCTGCTCTTTGATGGCACTAGCGCTAGGGTCGAGAAAATCTTTCCGCGAAGAGTGGGTAGGTGTCTTTACCGAGAAGCTATCCTCGTCTTTCGCCCAAGGCAGGACTCGCTTCTTCGGAGCGGGAAGCCCGAATGAGTTGTCCTCTTCTGAAGAATTTCGCTTCATTGACTTCTCTCGAGTGTCCGTCCGCTCAAGCTCGTGAGCTTGTTGTGGGGGGACCCAATGCGAGGCTGGCGAGGACGACCATTCCATGGGTTGTGTTGGGGTAGGAGGGGGCGGCATGTTCTCCTTTGTTTCAGCCTGAGCTTTCTTCGGCATCGTAGGTAGCGCAGAGGGCGCCTCGAAATCCAGATCCAGATCCTCGTCATCGCTAAAGTCGTCCTCTAACAGCATGACTTCAGCTTTGCCCTTAAAGTGGGAATCGGACCCTGTCAAGTCGACCACCTCGTTCTTGCTATGGCTGAATGCGTTGTTGGCGTTGCTGTAAAGAGCTGCGAGAGTTTGGTGATTTGCTCCTTTGTGTGCCGACGGCCGGTCCCCATCCTGCATTGACCCTGCTTCCCTCCCGCTCCTCGCCGACTGCGTCGCATGTCCAGTTGCGTTTGGTTTCTTGAATTGATCCCGTATGTCGCTGGTGCAGGTTGGGCTGCTGGAAGGGAACAACTGCTTGCCCAAGCTCGTTGGCGGTGGGGGGGCCTTCGCCACGAACTTCTTGTTGGCCTGGGCGAACATCGTACCGTCGCAATCTTTTGGTAGTTCGGGGGCCGTATGAGAGGCGCAAATTTGAGAAACGTCTCTAGCTTTCTCGGTGAATCTGCGACGGGTCGGAGAGGATCGGAAAGGTAGACTGGCAAAAGTGGCCTTCATAAAGCGATCACTCCTGTTTTTGAGGCAAAGGCTACCAGGCCTCGAAACGCAGGAAGACGAGAGGGGCGGGTTGTCGTGCAATTCCAGCCCACCGCGACGTGCGGTCAGTTCGAGGAATGAGAATGGGAATCGAAGCGCGATTGATCGACCTCCTGGCTGGTCGTTTTCGAATTGAGAATTGCCAGGACGTTCCGATATTTACTCTTGTGGCATCAAGTCACCTATCGGTGATTATCGAGGAGTCGCGTTGAGTAGTTCCGACAGTAGCACGTTGACGCGCCTTCTCCCACCACGCCGCGTTTCTAGCGCGAAACTTGTGGGTAATCACGTGGATCCTCAACCAACTACCAGTCAGCTACGTCTTGACTGCAACGCTGTTTGATTACCTCGCATTGAATTGTCACACGCGTCATACACAATGGTCATGTGCCTGTTTGATTTATATTCCCGTCGCCGAATAATCGAAACGATACGATGGAGTCGACGCTAGAAGAATCTTGAGGCAACAGCCAACCAACCCTCGCCATGATTAGTAGCCTGCTCCTGGCGGATGGTGCCCAAACGGCCGCGGCGCGAATGGATGATTGGGAACCACGTTACTGTCTTGGGACACTGCGCCGCGTCCAAATACTGGCGGTCCATTCCCAGGACCGTCCCTCCCACCAAATCGAGTGCCTGCCTGGGCTTGAGGGTCTCTGCCGTCCATACTCGTCCTTCCAAAATGCTGATCGGTATCCGCAAAGGTGACTCCACGGGTATTCCTTACATTCGGGTCAACATAGCGAACTTTGGGTTGCCTTGGTTGTTGCGCATGCGCTTCAGCCCTGATTGGCGACACATCGGGTCTGCTGTCTCTCCGACGAGTCGTAAAAGTGCGGTGAACCCGCGTAGGCGTTGTTCGGCTTCTTGATGAGCCGGAAGAAGAGACGGAGGATGATCTGCTGCCTCTCTCATCATCTCGCGACTGCTTGCGCCGACCGTAATGCTCAGGACGTGATCTCCTGCGGCTGTGCCTCGATCCATGTCCGCGACGCCTGTCTCTGCCGCGGCCACGACGTGAATCCATGGAAGAAACGGTGGCTTCGCTTTCGCTGTCACTGTCCGTCAAACTATCTTCGGAATCGGACCCATGAGAAGAGACACTTCGGGCTCGGGCCTTTGACCCTCCTTTGTGTACAACTGGCTTGTGACCTTCCTCGCGACACCCTTCCTTTGACTCGGCTTTCTTGGGCTGATGACTCTTGCTGTCTTGCTTCACTTGCACCGTTGGCGCTCCTTGTTGCTTTGCCTGGAGCTGGGATACCCGAGGTAACCCACTGGGCTGACCGCGCTGTTGGCTGGTGGGGGGAGCAGGCGGTACCTGGCCTCCTCCACGTGCACTCTGCATGTTCGCGACAGCCTTTGCGCCTGTCTGTTGCAAAGCAGGCCTTTGGGCTGGTTGCTGCATCCGTTGCGCAGCTGCGACCTGTCGCTGCTGGTCGTGGAGTTGCTCCTGGCGCAGGGGGTGCATGCTCTGCACGCGTGAGGCAGCTTGGCCAGCCGGTAGAGTTGACATGGCCTGTTGCGACTGAGGCTCTTGCTGGATTGAATATGGATAAGAAAGACCGATTCTCTGCTGTGGATGTTGCTGGGCGAATCCTGGCTGTTGTGTTTGTACCATGGACTGGGCACGCGGCTCCATCTGTCTAGGGTCCTGAAGGACGAGAGGCCCGCTTTGCTGACGGGGAAGCCGCTCGGGCGATGGAGGTGGGTGCCGGGGTCTGTGGGGGAAGAGGCGGCTTGACTGGCGCAGCCTGGCCGACTGCATTTCGTCACGCTGCCCCTGATTCCAGTTGTCGTCGGCCTCGCGGAGCATTTTGAGGCAATTCTCGTCTGCCTTGGGTGTTCGCTTGAAGTATGCAGTTATGGAAACAGTCTGCTTCTCGCGCCGGGGCTTGGAGGTGTTTGGCTCGACGAGGTACGTCTTGGGCTTCTGCTTCTTCTTGTGTCTCTTCTTGGAGTCTTTGCGTCCATTGCTCTTGGATTTACTGGGTGGGAGCTCGATGTAGTATGGTTGCGCAGTCTCTGGGGCGACCGTTACCTTCTTTTCCTTCTGGTCGATTTGCGCTAACACGTAGCAATATCGGGAATCTATCTCCTGCTGCTCGAGCTTATCAAGAGCGTGGTCAAGTTGATGGTTGATGGCAGCCGCCAGATCGCTTCTTTTATCGGTGATGCAGGCTGTGAATGTGTCTAACTCTCTGACCTTGCGGTGCGCATCTTTCTCGGAAACGTCCGTCAGGATGACCTGCTCTGCCTTCTCCCACGTGGGCTGTCTCCTGTTGCCATCGCGATCCACGTCGTGATCGACGTTTGCCCTCTCCATGCGGATCACAACATAGGAGGAAAGTCTATCGCGGGCCTGGGCCTCTGTCATACACTGGTCGTCTTCGCGGATGTCGAAGATTTCGCGTTTGGGGGGGCGGTTGAAGTCGTTGTAGTACCTGTTGGCCCTGCTTGATGGAGATGTCCAAACCGAGTCTGATGACATCGAGTCCTGGCGGCTCATGCGTGGGCCCTCGTCGGAGTACCCTCGTGCCATACGCTGACCTGGGACCCAGGTTAGGCCGGTCTGGTAGAGGTTCTCCGCCCCGTCGCCATATTGGACAAGCGCTCCCATGTTTGCTTGAGGCAACGCGTATGTGCCGTCCCGACCGTCGTTGCGGAAGGCAGGGTTCATGGTTTGTTGGCGGGGCGCTTGATGTACGAGGGCTCTGTTTGGGTTGCCTTGCTGTGCAGGCTGGCCCTGGGGTGCCGCATTGCCCATTTCGAAGGGTCTGGCTCGGGAGGCCATTGCTGACAAGCTGGTGGTCGAATACTAGATATCCTGATAAGGAAGGCGTGGATGCTGAGAGTGATGCTTCAGAACTACGTGGAGTGGGCTGCGGTCAGGACGCAAGGTATGGATATGGGCAAAGGAGTGAATGAGGCATGAAGTGCATGGCTGAGACGGGGAGGCTCCCTTTATGCGAAGGGGCGTTTTTGCTATCTCGGTGAAGTGGTGCACTATCTTTGTCGGGTCGACCCGGCCTTTGCAGGCCTCGCGGCGCGATGCCTTGGGCGCATCGCAGCGGTTGATGATGTCAACATTGAACGTGGTGTGCTCTGCCACGTCGACAAGTATCACCGTACCGGGCAGGAGTTGAGGGTGCAGGCAGGGCTGACACGAAATTTCTGGGCAGCCAACGACAGTGCGGCTGCCTCTCACGATGGTTCGCACTGCCAGGAGGGACGCTGGACAAGGCAGGCAGATCAGCTAAGCAGCCCAACATTCAAGTGGTGCCCTCCCGGGCGAAATCCTTGGGTTGGGATCCGGCCCAGATGGAGGCGCATGCACAGCCGTGGCAAAGTGCACGTTGATTAGCACAGCGATCGCCTTACTTGCTCCCCAGTCTTGTGTCGCAGAGAGGATTCAGTCGACATGATGCCTCAATTGGCCCGAGCTTGAGACCCGTGATAACATACGGTAGCTAGCAGCAGCACTTGGTACTACGCAGATCAGGCGTATTGCTACTGTCTTTCAGAAACGCCGAGGAGCTTGCTGATACCAAGGACTCTGGGGAAGACACTCTCAATCTAAATTCGCAATCTGATTACTGGATGCCATGCAGGCAGTCGGATGCTCTCTCTGAAATGCACATTATCTGCACTTCGACCTCATCGTTTGAGCAAAAGTTTCCCAACTTTAGGGTCGAGACCAAGAACAGCGATACTTAATGAGGTCGGGGACGGGCATGAAGGTGTAGTCGAGGCTCTGCTCTCGATCGCTTGATGCTACGCAACGGAGCAAACGCGTGTGTCAGACTGACACAGGTGACTCACAGCCTTAGGCATGCACGTTGAAGCCGGGGAAATTTCTCTTCATCCGTAAGGCTGCCCTTGCCTATGCCCTCCCTGTTCCGGCCTGCGCCAGAATGTCGCACCGGTGAGGGCTCTTTTCACAATCTTTATCGGTCGATAGTTGACCATCTCACCATGCATGCGTCGAGGCATTGCGAGTGAACAAGACCGATACCAACAAAAGCAGGCGACCACGGAGCGGAGCGGATAGTAGCCACAGACCGGCTTGGCCTTGGCTTGAGCCTGACTGCTACGTAACGCGTTGATAACTGGTTGCCTCGTTGTTCCTTGTGCTACAGCCAGGGAAATGGTCGCCTTGCAGTGTCGCACAGATACCCTCCCCTCATGATCAGAGCCCCAGACCGACAATGCTTGGCCGCGGTCGAACTTGCAAAGAAACCCCTGCCAACAGTGTCATGTCGTCTTTGTCTGCCAGTGCTCGACACCCAGGTCTCTGTGCTTAAGACCGGTGTAAATCCCTTGGTTGATCTCCATGCCAGCGCAGCCTGCCCAGCCGCCTGGGACTCGCGGCTCGCACGCGCGCGCATGAACGAAGCCGTACCACGTGCGGAGCACAATGGCCTGCTCTCATGTTCGCGGGGGAAGATGGCAATTGTGTAGGCCAGCATCAGCACTCTCACTTCGCCACGGGTCCAGCACACCACATATCTGGATCCCGAAACTATGCCTTGTCCGTGAGGCTGGCGATAGCGATTGGATCTGCTGGCGCGTGTTACAGCCGAGATAACAGTTGTAGCTGGCAGCAACAGATAGAGTAGCTTTATGTGACGGTTGGCAGCACGCTGTCGCGAACTAATCTGGCATCCCCTCCATATAGAGGCGTTTATTGCTCTGGAAATAGCACTACTCAGAATTCTGGCTCAATAGCAGGGAAACAGCAACACTTGGAGGAGAACTGGAACATTGGAACCCGCCACTCAATGCTCTGACTGAGGCGCATGCAGCAAGAAATAATAGCGCTGTCTTTCATTCAGTAAAGGAAGTCGAAGCAAATTAGGAACATAGAAGGTCCATTTTGCCTTTGATTGAAGGCTCGGGCTGCCAGAACCGAGTTGACTCTAGGGTAATGATCTGTTGCCACGCTGGTGATGAGGCGAGACCAAGACTCAGCAAGGTGCACGTGATTTGATCACACCGCCAGCACGACTACGTACGTAAGTAGTTGATGTATGTGTATCCGTAGTTCATAGTCAATCGCCCGAATACGAACAGCACATTTTCTAAGCAGAACATTCGGTAGATGCGAAGTCAAGCCATGACGTAATTAATGTCTCGGGCCCTCGGCATTTCCCGCTGCTAACTTTAGCTTCCCAGCATAAGGTGGAGATCGAACATGAATACTACTGCATGAACCCGTTTCTCATGCCCCATTGTATTTGCATAATACCCAACATGACAATTTCTGAAGACAAGACTCAAGGGCAACCCGGGCCTGAGCCTTGCACAATTGGCACAGCGAATTCTGGTCCTTGGTGACCGCCCGGAGGCCTGCAGTGGGGCCTGCGACGTGCAGGGTAGGTGAGACTTGTATTGACATAACTTAGTTATCCCGAAGCCCGCGCATTGCCGACGGACAGGTCAAATGTGCATGACCTGAACCATAGCGGAGCTCGGATGCTCGGATCATCCTCTCGGTCAAGCTTTCCGCTGACGTACGCTCGAGATCCCGCAGCACGGGTTGTTAATCGAGCAAAACTACCGACCAAGTGCATCAACCTATGACATCCGCCAAGTCGCCTCGACTCGACGGATAGTCGCCGGATCGGCCCTGGACTAACAGGTAGGACAATGCCAATGCCGAAGCTCGAAAGCAAGAGTACGGAGTATCAAACTGCGGGGAATAGTTTCTGTGGGGGAGCACAGGGCCCTTGCTGAGTGCACGTCCGCGCCCCTTGGTTAAGTAATACGAAAGATCATCGGTTACATCGCCCGCCCGTGTACACGAGCAGCCCTCTATTTGCCCAGGTCCGCGCGAATGGCAAACAATCAGAGAGCTTCAATTGACCCAGCGGTGAGCGTTTCATGACGTCTTGTCTTGGCTTCAATGCTCGGCTCGCTGGGCTCATGTGCGGAATACGAGGTTTCTTACCCACAGCCAGACAGCTGATCCCAGAGACGGATCCACGATACGAATCATTGTTGCCATCAAAGGGTCTCGGTTGCAGAAGCGTGCGCTGGCTTTTGGTCTGACATCAACACGACCCTGGCTTCCATAATGCATAGAGGCAGGACTGTGTGCTTAGAGATGATGCTCACCCCGTGGTGGCAAGAAGCTGTAGGAATGAGTATATAAGTCGCCTTGGTCGTCGCTGAAACACAATCGTATCCTCCTCTCCAGCACATCACCAGCATTCATCTCCAGTATCAATCCCCAAGCTCACTTCTTCGACGCTCATCTACATCTTAATCGATCACCACAATCACCATGAAGGTCTCCGTCCTCGCCCTTGCCGCCGTTCTCGGCTTGACCTCTGCCCAGAAGGCTGTCGTGGTCAACAACTGCAACTCGGCCATCTACGTGCAGTCCTACCCCTACGACGGTAGCAGTCCCGGTCCTCTCACCACGGTGAAGCCCGGCAAGTCCTTCTCTGAGGACTTCCGCCCGTCTGGATCTGTACGTGCCGCAACAAGGCGTGCCTGAGCGCCCTATATCGATGGATCAATGATGCTGATTCGGGCTTTGCAGACTGTCAAGCTGGCCAAGACCAAGACTCTCAGCGAGCCTCTGTTTTTTGGCTACTCCTTCTCCAGCGACCCCGACTATGCGTACTGTAAGTTGTCAAACCCAGTATACAAGAGAATACAGCATACTGACTCTTGATTCTTAGATGAACTCAGCTCGTAAGTGTTGATGGACAAGCCCTAGTTTCCCTCCCCCATACAACCCGGAACACACACCCATCCTGTGTTCCTGATCCGATTGCTGATCTTCTACAGTGAATGGGGAAACCCCTGGATCAAGGACCGCAACACTCTGAGCCCCGGAGCAGGATGTGAGAAGTTTGACTGCGCCCCCAACGACAATAGCTGCTACAGCACCCCTGGCCACAAGAAGGTCTACGGCTGCCCCCAGCCCGTGGACCTGACTGCCACCATCTGCAAGCAGTAGATATATATATATTACTCACATAGAAACATGTAATATATTAGCCTGAACTTCAATTCCCCTCATTATCCGACATTACAAGAGGGTCTGCCCCCGAATGATTATCGTGTTTTCCAGCGGTCCATGGCAGTCCGAGGCAGCAACCATTGTCCCGTGCAACTTTTTCTCTCATGCTCCCACGGCATCCATAGTGGCATGCGAGCACGAGAACACACATACCTCCAGTTCTTCTTCATCCATGTGGGCAAACAGAAGGTATCCATCCAGTAACCACAAGAGAAACGGACCCCTTCGACACGGTATCGTCCATGGCTGGTGAGATCTTCCGTCGGCCTCGTAAGCCCGCCGCAGTACAGCCTTGCACTTAAACACCATGGATGCCCTCAGTTTGTAGGCCACGCATGGAATTTGCGCATGTACTGTGGCACAATCGCCAGTCGGTCTTGATCCATAGGGTCGGGATTTAAGGCTGGTGGCGTCGCAATGTGCACGTTTAGATTTGTGCGCTGCCGAGAACTCGGCCGTCGCCATCACGTGGACCGCACATTGTCGCTATGATTATGGATGTTGTGATGTGGTGCCAGGCAAAACGATGGGATTGCTACCCATGTCGCGTCGCAAGACCCCACTAGCATCCGGCATCGACTGCCGTTGCGCGCACTGCTGTCACGGACCGACGTTCCTTATCCCCGGCACTATGGCCTAGGATAGCTTCATTCAGTTTCGCTCAGATAGCTTAGGCAACAGACACCGCCGGACGAGTCTGAAGATAATACTCGCCATGATCATTGGAATGCCGATTTGCGGACACGGCTCAATACAAATAGTTGAGACATTGACACTGCGTAATCGATTTCTTGGACGGACTTGTGTTGGCAGTGGAGAAGTCATGACACGCGACCTTGTTGAAGTGGTATGAATCGTCTATGATACGTATACATACGAATTGCCGTCTCGTTCCAGATACTCCTTCTCCATCAAGCTGCGGAGGGATCAGTATACCTCGTACACAATACAGTCTTGGAGTCAAAACATACCTCTCAATCTCCTTCTTGATCTGCGCCGGCTCAACACTCCCTCGCTTCCGAGTCATGGTGATCACCTCGGCCTGCAGCTCAGGATGTGTCATCTTCTTGCGGCTCTTCATGATGCGCACAATGGCCGCCTGTGTCTCGAAGCGTCGGTCCTGTGCCACACGCTCGTGTGTGGCCTTGTTCTCCTCCTTGGTCTCCTTTTGCTGAATCTGGTTAATCTTGATGCGGATCCTGGGGTCGGTGAATGCCTTGTTGAATGTGAATGTATCTGTCGGGTTGACATCCCGGCCTTGCGGGTGTTTCCTCAGCACGCGAACCTTGCCGCACGCCAGGGACTGCAGTGTGCGGTCGAGGTCTGAGCCTGACAGACCACTACCCTTTTGCATTTGCTCATATGTCAAAGCACCGTCGGCCGCGACAGGGTTGAACAGCAGCAGGATGACAGCTTGATACGCCGAGACCATCAATTCCTTTTTCCCGCCCTTGGGGAATTTGGCGGCCAATGTGCAATGGGCAAGGGAATGCTTCCAATTCAGCTTGCGTCCACTGTGCTTGTTTTCGTAGAATATGATGAAGCGTTCTGTTTGCGTAGCGACTTCGTCCGGCAGCGAGAGCCGGACATCGGGATACGATGGCCAAGCGGCAGAGGACAACACCATGACGGATAAGTCGATCGGGGACTGGCGCTCCTCGTTGTGGCTGCAGTAGCTCTTGAAAGAGTCCATTTCGTCCTTGGCCAGCTCCTGGTCCTTGAACATTTGCTCCAGATTGTGCGTAAAGTTGGCGCCGCACTCACTGCGCAGCTTGGTGAGCATGCTACGCTCAGCGTCTTGGCTTGCGCTGCGACCCATAAGCAAGCGCCTGGCGAGGTCCTTTTTGTAGAACGCCTCAAATGTGTCTTTGCCTTCGATGAAGCGGAAGAGCTCCAAAGCTTGATCGAGCTGGCGGTCCAGCTCGGCGTCCTCGTCCGCTGTGCTGGACTGTCCCTCCTTCTGCGCCGTAGCGCGATCCTGCTGGTCGGATAGCAGAGACGCAGGTATTGCTTTGAGACCACCCTTGAGGAGCATATCAATGTGCTTGGCCAGCATTTCGCCGACCTTGGATGTCTTGGTGCTCCACATTGCTGCCACGGCGTTGCTGTTCATGACCTTTCCAAAAGCTTCTCGCATCCCCCTGAGGAAAATGTCGTCGGCGCCAAATGCATCTCTGATCATGACCTCGAGCGAACGGCGCAGATCCAACAATCGGACCACCATCTCATCTCCACGTTCTTTGTCGCCAATGATCTTCGCACCAGTGTCCCCTATGTACGCTTCCCAAGGATCACGAAGCTTGGTTTGTATGTTTGATAGTCGCAGCATGCCGTACAGTCCCTTCATCGACTCCATGTCCTTAGCATCTAGAAGCTTGTCTAACTCTGCCCGGTCAAGCAACTTATCCGTGTAGTCATCGATCAGTATGGCGTGTGCCGCGTCCATAAGCTGCTTCTCCGTGGCCGAGTCGATGTTGTATAGTAAGCAGCGGTAGTGCTCCTTGCGCAGCAAGTCCTCGCAGGCCTTGATGTACGCTTCGAGCTTCGCCGTGCCGTACCGTTGGCCAAACTCGGTGAAGTACGGGCTCGACTTTTGTAGGAACACTGGCTCAAAGTGTTTTGTGTAGACACCCAAGATGTACAGCATGCGCATCGAGTCTCGCAACAACGACCCATCAAACTCCCGGCTCCGACGATCGTCGTCGATGATCTGACACATCGCATTGACGAGCCGCCTACCAGGGGACATCTCCGTGGCAAAGGCCATTTTCTTAAAATGGTGGATCGTCATGTCGTTGATGCTCGATAGTCTCTGTCTGTTGGCCAGGAGATACGTGCGGTCGACAAAGCTGAAGAGCGACCGGATCAGAGTCATCTGCGTGTTCCATTGCTTCCACTCTTCCACCAGACTCTCGGCCGTCTCGATATCAGAGTTGCGACCCTCCGTGTTGACCCTTTGCAGCACAATCTTGCTAATGTGCGTGTCCATCCGCGTCTTGAGTACCTTGGTGACCTCTTCCGCATCGCCCCGTCGGCAAAGATCCTCGACCTCCCGGTAGAGTCTCTCGTAGGGCACTGGCGGCTTGTCGCCCACAAAGACCGCCTGCAGCGTCTTGTCAATGTCACCAAGTGCCCTTGTGTAGTACTCCTCCACTCCAGCGTTGGCCTTCCCCGAGCTTGCCGGTTTGAGATTTTTTATGGTCAACCGTTTGATGCCTTTGTAAGGTTCGAAAGCCTGCTCATGGCCCTGATTGGCCATTTTCATAGGCCGCATGCCTGGCTGCGTGGTCGCCATCGGGGCGGCAGTGTGCTTGGGGCGTTTGCTCGTGGACGCTGGGGAGGAGTCGAGGCGTGGGCGGCGGCGGGGAGAGGTGGGCGCTGGTGCTGGTTGCATGGGCACAAGCTGCGGTCGGATGAAAGCGTGTGACGGAAAGGGTTGCCGTCGTAGTAGAGCTCGATGTTAAGAATCGTCACGTTTGGCGGCCCAAGTGGTTATGGTGGGGTACCCCGTGCTAGCGAAAGAGACCGACAGGGTCGCGGCGATGAAGACGCGGTACTTAGGCTATGATGGGAATTAAACGCGGACTGGTATGACAAGAGAAAGAAGAGCGCGCAGATAGACGACACAATGCAATGCGAGACAAGAATGTGAGGTTACAGGTGTGGTTACAGACGATGAAGAAGATGGATGACGACGTCCAGCAACTTCCGAATCGTTGCAGCTCAGCAGTCCCCGATAAGACCAAAATGTGGAGGTGACGATAACGGCGTTTGCGCGACCGACGCGTGAAGTCGCGTAAAGTCCGACAGATTGTGGGTCATTATTCTTTTAGGTACTACCCTTATATTTACAGATACATTCACCCCATCCCTAATAATTTGTACAGATCAAGTCGTCCTTTCAAGTTGTGATAGCCACTCATGCGTACGCCGCCCAGCCTAGTTTTAGTTAGTATCACAATAATAGCATCTTACACAAGATACTCACCAGAATATAACACCGCCAAATTGCCCTCGTCCATCGCTTGATTGATCAAGTCATTGACCGTTGCCGTCACGCTGAGCGTCTTGCTCAGTTTCTTCCGGACGACCTCAAGCGCACGGTCAGCCTCGGTGGGTTCGTTGACATCGCCACCTGCTTTCCCCCTCTTTCTATCGTCAGTCTCGCTGGGCTGCGTCTCATCGACCGAGGCGTCTTCATTGTGCCTCGATTTCTGTAATCTGGCCAGGCGTAAAGGCGAGATGGTCCAGGTGTACAGAGGATCGTACCGCAGCACGTCCAGGATGGTCATGATGGAATACTGTTCTTCGCGCAGTGCGTCCAGCGTGAACTCGCAACACCTTCGGAAAACACCCTCGGTCTTGGTGATACCCATACCATCAACAATATCACGCGTGAGACGGAATGGCACCATTTCGGGCACAGGTAAGATTCGACCTGCCTCAAATGCCACGCCGAGATCAATATGCACCACCTCGCCGGATTTGGTGTCGAGAAGAATGTTGTGGCCGTGTCGGTCACCAAGACCTAAAATGTGGCCTAGCATGGAGATGGCAGCAGTTGTTCGCGTGTAAGCCAAGCGTTTGGCGAACCAGTCGTCTGGGTCCAAGAAGTGTTCCATGAAAAAGTATCGCATGACGGGATGAAACCTATCCGTCACCTTACGATATGTCGCGATGCGGGATTCGGTCCGGTTGCCCTGGACCCCATAGATCTCTCTGCGGCACTGGTTTCCTTTGTAATCCTTGGGGTAGTACCGCTCATGGGCTGGCATGAGAAATTCGTGCAGCGGAATAGTGCTGGGCACGAACTCAATGAGGCCAGAAGACGCCGTCAGCGGCAGTACTTTGTATGTTCTGACCTGCAAGTTCCGCTGTTGCGTGGCTCTATGCAGTTTCAGGAGCGATGATACGGCAGCGAACACCTGCTCCATGATTGCATCCTGGCGAAGGTCATCGTGGCCACCCTTGACAAGCTGCTTGTACCGCACGCCGTTGGTGCCCACAGCTGTGATGATTTTGGGCGCGCTGACACCAGAGGCTATGGTCATCTGTGGCTCCAACTTGGCAATAATAGGGACGTTTGAATAGTCCATGGTCGGGGAAAGTTCCATGTGCATGGTAGGCGGCGGGATGCGGTATTTGTTAAGGGCGTTGATGAGGTTCTGCGCAGCCGGTGAATCTTTGAGGTTGATCTTGGCCCCAGGCTTGTACTTTGTTGTATTCTTGTCCATCGCCAGCAGATGATAGTACTTGCTTGTCTTATCAATGGCTAGCCAAACCCCTGCGGCGGACTCATTCGTCCCTATACGTTGCGCGACCCTCTCGTTCGCTTTCCACCTCTGCATGGCCACCTCGTCCTTTGTGTTGGTTTTCACTTTCGTCCCTGACCAGACCTGGTACATGCCGTGGTACGGGTGATCGATACAAATCCTGTACACGAGGTCCGACAGCAGCTTCTGGAACATTGAGTCCGTGCTCTGGAGGCGTGATGATAGCTGGTTCATCAATGCTGCGAATTTCCTCGTGGGCACCTGCTCGAGGAACTTCGAGACAGCTTTGTTGGTCTTGTCTTCTGCAGATCGCTCGAGCCACAGTGCGATGAAGCGAAGCGCATCGTTGTTGTGCTCATCAGAAGCCATGAGGGACAGCAGGTAGTTCTCTAGACTCAACCGCACGAATTCACTGCGGGTCTGCTCGACGCGACGCAGCTCTTGTTCATCCAGGTGGAGCCATTGCTTCTCCTTCGACAACACGTGGTTGTAGCGATTTTTCAACTGGCTGTCCCGAGTGCTGCTTACAAGGGACTGAAGTCCGGCTACTTCGTCGCTCTTTGCCTGCCTCAAGCTTTGGAGTCTCGCGAGGTCCTCCAAGCCCGCCGGGTCTTGCAACTGGCCGTCGCAGAACAATGCGAATTGATGATAGACGGTGCCGGCACTGGGACCATCCGTCAAACCCTTGAGCTCCTTGAGAGCTGGCTCAAGGTAGTTTTTCTGTATGTCTCCAGGTTTCTCCAGTCGTGCTACCGAAACATGATGCCCAATCTTGGACAAGAGATCTGACCGGCTGACGGCAACGCTCTGTGACTTGAGCGACGAGTCTTGATCAATACCTTGCAACATGCGGATCGATGTGCTCATCTCACCATGGTCCCATAATGAGTTGGCAACCTCCATCTTGATTGCCGCGTCCACTTGTAGGCCTTGCTCGGCGCAAATGGGAATCAGGCTCATGAGTGTGGTCGCGACGTTGGTTGACTCCTGCTTTGCGCGATAATCTCGGTATATACTGGCAGACACAAGCAAAGACTTTACTTGCATCGCTCTGAAGTCTGCCACGCTGATCTTCGCGTTTTGTAAGAGGTTCGTGTGCTGGCTCATCATGCTCATAGTCGTGCCACGGCAGGACAGTATTTGACTGACGTCTTCATACAGCCCCGACTTCATCCATTCGCGGCGATCCTGAAACTTTCGCAGCATGAAATCGAATTCAGCCGAATCCGATACGTTCATCACATCGTCCAGCTCTGTGAGAGCGGCAAGAGCTGACAGGTGCTTTCGTATGTGTGCAGCTCGAGCCCCCGAAGTCGCCAAGGCTCGCATTGTTCGCTCAAAGCCTTCGTAGATGGTGGAGCGAACCACTTGAGGACCTATGGCTTGAGACATGGCCTGGTACGCTTTATACACGACCACTGCAGAGTGATCGCTTTGGGTTGGCGCCGGCAAGTTCCACGATTCAAGTCGCTGTGCTGTTGTAAATGTATTCCTGAGAGACGATGGGGCAGCACCAGACGATTGCAAGGTTTGCAGCACAGAGTGGGAGAGGCCAGCCAGTCCCAAGGTGTTCAAGGCATTGACAATATGCTGCGCATCATCATTAGCCATCGCATCACGCTGTCGTAAATGCGTGTCGTACTGAGCACCACGGAATGCCAGACTTTTGGTGCCTTCGTTCTCATACTCGACGCGCGACAACACCTTGGCCAAACTTGGCTCCTCGGGCAGGCCGTAGTAGGCATCCGGGTCATCAATATTTTCGAAAATTGTCAGTAAGGTGTCGTCGATGCCGGTAATCTGGGGCGCAGCCGCTGAAGACCTCCGAGAGGCGCGACCTGTATCTGGTGGGATGGACTCGACCAGCAAGAGGGCAGACCTGTACATGCCACAAGCGCATGCCACCGAGGCTGCCTGGGTGAGATCGACGTCCAACCAGTACGAGCGATCAGCCATTGACGACTCTTTGGGGTACGGCTGGGTCCGGAGGTACAATACCGAGTTGAGAAGCAGTGTCTGGTTCGGAATTGAATCTGGATGGGGGCCACTGAGCCATTGCCTCATAGAACCGCTGAAAGCCTTCCGAATAGACTGTTGCTGGTCAAGTTGCAGGTACAGCACAAGGTGCAGAAGGAATGGGAAAGCCTCCTCTGCAAAGCCTCTGACGGTCGAGAATATTGGAATCAGGTTGGGCAGCAAGATCGAGTTTGTAGCTGACTGGCACAGGTAGACTGAACACTCCTGCGCCCAGTTCGGCGAGGCAATATCTGAAGTCCAAATCAGCTCGTTGCGAGGATCCTGTGCTTTCTTTAGCTCAGATGGGGGGCTTCGGTAGTTGCCCCATTGAGATGCCAGAAAAAGGGGCTCGCGGAGACACATCTGGCATGCCACTAGCAGAGACTCATCCCCTTGCTGAATAGCCTGCGAGATGGTGTTTCGTAGAGCAGCTTCGGCAAGGCCCGCGGTCGCAGACACTGAGCTGGAAGTAAGCTGCTGAAGGAGGGTCAGTAGCCCCATTTCGGAGCTTTCTAGCTCATGGGACAGACGCCGATACTCCGTCAGCCGGGTCTCACGGATGACATCGAGCGGGATATTGCCAGAAGCTGAGAACGACCGACCAACAGCTCGGCCAGCCCATGCCAAGTAAGGATCGCTCAGCGCACTGGCCTGAGAGCTTTTCCATATCGGGGTTGAGAGAAAGATCGCCTCTTCGTCAGTGTCGATCACATCACGGTTCATCTCAGTTGGGAAAGAAAAGTCGTTAGACAGAATGGTAATGGCTGATCGTCTGGATGCCTCGTTCAACAACTGGCTGGCGCTTCTTCCGTCTCTCAAAATCTCAAGCAGCAGTTTGCTCTCTGACGTGCCTTTTTCAGCATTTCCAGACGATCGAATGGAAGCAGCTGCGCTAGTAATTGCATAGAACCCTTTCCGCTGGTTAGAACCGTCGAATGCTTTGGAATCGTATTTGCCAAGATAGTCGGCGAACCATGAGTGGAAGGCCTTCGCCCTGCTCATTGTGGCTTTAAATTGTTCTTCCTGAGTGGTGCTCGCTTGATTCGACTCGAGAAAGACCCTGAGAGAAGCCAGGGTTGACAACGCATAGCCTGCGAGGAACGAGGGCACGAGTCTCAAATAGGCAGATCCCTCGGACAGAAGGTATTGGCTTATCCCAAGGGCATCATCCGCGCACTCAGAGTCAACCAGAAAGGCACCCATAGAGCTCAACAGCATTTCGATGACATAAGATTCCAATGCCACTGGACCGGCCAGACAAACCAAAATGCGCACCTTCCGGATAACGGAACACGCATGCAGAGAGCCGAGTGCCGGATGCACAGTGTTCAAAAGTTTGCGTGAGACAGATAACACCAGAGGAGGTGTCCAGATCTCCCGGAAGTCAAAGATTGTGCTTTCGCACAGCCGTTGTATCTCGAATGGCAAGAAACGAGCCCTGAAGGTGGGTTGTTGATTCGGCGGCAGCGAGGCGCTCGAATGCGACAGACTCTTGATTTTCGCCATGATCTTCCCAGCATAGGCGAAATCCCCGTGTTTCAGAAGCGTCTTTTCGATAAGGTTGTCCTGGTCAATGACGTCGATGAACAAGGCGACAATGTCAGCAAAACTCTCGTAACGAGCCTCGGCCATGCCCTTTTTGCCAATTGCCTGCTCGATAAGACTTTCACCTAGACCCTGATCATCACCGCCCGATGAGTCGCCGTAGATCATACTGTAAGCCAGTGCCGTGTGGAAGTTGCTTTTGACTAGGTCTGCTTCTGATTTACGCACATGACGAGCGAGTTCTTTGCTCATATCAACTTGACCTCGCATGATCATGAGTCCAAGGGCTTCTCCTTGAGCATCACAAAGAAGCTCGGAGAGGCTAGAGTATCCGAAGATATCGTAAGGGATGTCCTCGATCAGCTCGCTGTCAAGCCAGGTGTACAGCAATTGGCGAGAAAACAGACGAAATAACTCCGTGGGTGAGGCCAAGGCCAAGTGCTGCGCTATGTCTCGAAGGCAGATATTGGCATGTTTCAGTGAGCTTGTGATCTTGCCTGGTGTCTCGAAGATATGGTATGTACACCTGCGAAGCAGGGTCGGCCATCGACACGCTAGCCTTGACAGCACTTGAAGGCGGAAAGCTATGCCGGCAATGTTTCGAGAGTTTGAAGGCAGGTTGTTCAGAACATCGATGAAAACTTCATCGTGCAGCTTCAAGATGTACAGACCGAAGACGTCGGCTATGTGATCTGCGATGAAGCATTTGGCCTTGAGAGGAGCATTCGCCAGTATATACAGGAGGGATGTTCTGCAAGATTCAAGACCCGCGTTGGTAGCGTAGTCTGGCTCTGCTCTTAGCAAGGTCAGGAGTAGGCCAACCATGGAGATGTAACCCGCAGGAGAGAAGCCATTCATCCTCAGGGATACAACCACAAAATGATTGTACATGTCGCCGATGCTCTGCCTGAGATCGCCCGAGCTTTGGAGCCAAATATCGTGGCAGCCGTTTATGACATCGATGCAAGTACTCAATGCCACTTCTGAGCTCTGGTACTCTAGCCTTGCAACTATGTCACCTAAGCGATGGACCACGTCGCGTGCCGTGTCCGCGCTGAGGGTGAGATTGGATCGGAATGCCTCCAGAATGAAGTTGGATGACATGAGCAGCTCCTCATCGGAAGCGGCGAGGAGCGTGTCAACCAGGCCATCAGGCAGCACGCCTATTAGACCTTCATCTTTTTCGACAATGTTCAGCAACTGTAACCGGTATTTCGTATCAACGTAATAGCATGCTGAGTCCAGTCGGAGCTCTTCAGTACGTCTCGGAACGACGCTTTGAGTTGACGCGTCTGCGGTGCCGCTGTCTTGAGATTCGAATTCCTCATCAACTTCCATCAAATCTACATTGCTCACAGATTTGTCGGTGGCCTGGCGCTTGTACAGAAGGTCGTAAATCTTTGCAAGTAGATTCAGCAGACCACGGTGATGGACATAATAATCGGAAATAATGTCGCTCTTCAACTTGGGGATGCAAGGTCTGGCCAGACGGAGAGTGGCCTCGACGAAAACCTGGGGTTCGATAGATTCCAGCGCAACGTTGAGGCTCTTCTCGGCTAGACCAAGAACGCTCGAACCTATTGTAGCTGACTGGGTCGAATTAAGATCCGAGATTTGTGGGAGAAGTGCTGAGCCGACCATAACGGCAGCAAGCAAACTCTGGAACTTTTCCAAAGAGATCTGTACGCCTCCATCACTAGCCTTCTTTGTCCAGGCCGTGCACAGCTCGTTCAAGTCTTCCAAACGTGGGGTAAGTAGCTCTAGCACAAGCTTTCTTGAAGGATAGAAGCTTCCCGTGTCCGAACGCTGAGCTTGTTCGGCCGGGACAATGGTGGCTTTGTTCTTCGCCTGGTCTTCCCTGTCGTCGAGCAATAAGAGGTACCTGATGAAAGGAGTCATGATTTGCTGCGCCATCCACGTCTCACTCAGACGACCACCAACAGAGGCAAGCGGATGTCCAAAGGAGACCGGACCTTCGCCGCAGCAAGCGCGCAACAGGTTCACAAATTGTCCAGTTTGGGAGTGGAGCGAGTGAGAAGATGCGTACCCAAGCTCACCGGGATTCCATCTCAGGAAGACCCATCGTATGATGTGGCCACTGGTTGCTTGGCTCGCGCTTGGGAGGCGGACGTTGCGCACGTGGAAAAGTTGCAGCATCAACGCCAACGACGCATCTGACAGTACAGCTGGACCACTGACGTCGGCAGTCGTAACAATGTGGTTTATGTGTTCAGATATTTCGTGGTAGGGAAGGTAATTGCCAGTCAAGATCGTTGAAAGGACAACACAGGCAGCGCGGCTAGTGGGAGGCAGGCTGACCAGTCTCACAGCCATATGCCACACGTAACGCCAGGTCGCTTGCTGGACTTGGACAGCGTTCTGTCGAAGCCCGCAACTAGCGCACGCCACGAGGGCCCACGAGGCTATGATTGCATCTTTGTCTGTTCCAAGTATGAGAAGTTCCTCGAGCAGATCAGTGATTTCCGGGTCCGTCAGGCTCCCAGAACCCACCACAAACGGGATGACTTGAAGTGCCGTACGACGAATACCAATGTCTCTGGAGCGAAGTTGAGAGCGCAACCGGCTGGCTGGCACGCTGGTCTTCTGCCTTTTCCGTGGTTTGTCGTCGTCGTCGTCGTCCGAGTCGCGCGCGGGACTCGCATGCTGTCTCTTAGAGAGCAGCGACTCCAAAATGGCCAAGTTTTGGACCAGGGCCCAGTAACTCTCGCCCTCAATGTTGTGTGGACGAAGACCAAACAAGGAATTCTGGAGATGATTTGCGGCCAGTTCAGACACCGAGAAAGTAATGTCTTGCATTTGAAGGCGAAATGTCTCCCCTCGTTTTGAATACTCCCGCCAGAGTGGTTGCGCCACTTCTTCCAGCATGACGGGAAATTCAGCGTCCTCTCGACGCAAGGCTATGTATTCTAGGTGATGTTGAACCAAGAATATTGACCTGAGGATTTCGTTTCTCAGCGAACGGATCAGCTCATCCTGAGACACTTTTTCGGCACGCCACCAAAAGCTCATGAGCGGGACCAAATCATGCACGAGTGAGATGGCCTCCTCGAAAGCCTCGGTCTGGTAGACGGGGAAGACCGTGTTGATGATCGAAAAGCAAGTGCTCTGGAGAGTGCCGAGACTGAACGACCTGGCGTTGAGGGTACGCACAGTGAGCTCCACAACTTCTTGGGAACGCCGCATCACAGGGGCGTTACCAACTTTGAGCAAGTCGAGTAGTGCCTCGAATGTGCTTCTTAGTCGGCCCATTGCATCGTTTTCGCCCTGACTAGAGAGCTTCTGACTTTGCGTCGAGGCAGTGGACTTTCCGCTCATGCGCATAGTCCCTGTCCCTGGAGCGGGCGAGGCTCTGTTCGAGACATTGGACTGATGCTCAGGCAGGTAATATGAAGCGAGTCCAAGTACAAGATCCACACAGGAATCCCAGTGTATCCCGTCTTCCTTCCGCACAAGGAGTTCGACGCAAGCATTCCGGGAGAGCAGGATGGCCAAGGTCTTGACATAGCCTGAAACCAAGGGCTCGACATAGCCACCATTGGATCGATGTAAGATCTCAGTGATGTGGGCGACGATTGAAAGCACCGACTTGGTGCCGAGCTTGAGTAAACAGCGAGATACAGTCTTCTTGACAGCATCGGCGCACTTCTCGAGCCGCGGACCAGCCTGTGGCGCTTTGCTTTTCGTGACTCCATAGAATACATGCTTCTGCTCCAAAACAAAATTGAAGAAGGTTTCAAGAATGTCACGATATCCTCGATCTTTGATTGGGTCGCTAATGACACGTTCATTAGCTCCGCTAACGGGCAAACTTGCTTGAAAACTTACAGATTGGCTGTTCTGTTTTGGGGATCCAGCATATAACCAAGATCTGAGCAAAGGTCAGTCACCAGGCAGCTGAGTAACCAATGTAATACGACCTTCGATAGCCTTGACTCTCTTTGTGATGCTCGCAGACTTGTCTTTGATGGTGCCTATGTTTGTTAACTTGGAGACAACGTCCAGGAAAAGGGCTGCATAAACATACTCGTCAACTCTGACGCTGTTTGGAAAGACATGCCGGGCAGATTCCGTGAAGGTACACTTCCTCTCTAGTCTTGACACTGAACTGAGTAACTCGATTCGCTTCAATAGTGAACGCGGCACCTCAACTTCAGGATGCTGTTCTTTCCCGACGCCAGTTCGAATAATATGTTTCGACAGAACAGCGCGACAAATCAAAAGGCACACACGCCATCGTCAGGTAACATGAAGCTGACTGCATTTGTCAAAGGCGCAATCTCGACTGGACTCAGCGTGACGATGAGTGAGGTGGGCTAAGTATAGATCACGTCAAACGCGTCTCAATCATGGCTCGTTCTATCGCTGTGGGCTATAAGCTGCTTGTTGAGCTGCAACACTCAGCTAGAGCAGTGACGGCGCGGTAGCGATGGAACCTGCCTCCAGTGAACGTGGCCCACGCACCTTCCCGTCACCAACGCCTATCCATCTGCAGGCAGGCGGCAGAATCACTCACCGCCCGCGCAACAGCTGTTTACACCCAGCCTGTCTGCTAGCTTCAATCCCAATGAATTGTGAAAAAGTACACGAAGAAACCAACGTCGCGTCCACGAACTCGTCGCTCTCTCACCGAAGCATTACAGCGCTCTCCGGAGATAAGGGATTGATGCGCGTCTAGCGCACCCATTTTTGTACCCATCCATCTCCTGGTACTGTCTGGGCGCGTCAAACGACTAGGACACCGAAGTCCAAGAGCAGACAAAATCCACAATGCAACGATAGGGAATCGCGACCATGGCCGAATTGTCTACGTTAGAGACTCTCCAGGCTTTCCACCAGGAGCTGCTGGCCATACAGGAGGGACGCTTGCCGGCGATCGACACCCTTGGCAACGATGCCCTCGTGATACCATTCAAGACCGAGCTCGATCGAATATGGTCGCTACCTCCCAACAATGACCAGTCCAGGAAGGATGTCCAAAGTGGTTGGTTGAGCCCAGCTCAAGTTACAGGCGCTCTTGGCTAACATTGATGCAGGGAAAGTGACGGTCGACGAGGTTGAATATTCTATCAACGAGGACTTTAAACAGTCAGCACTTTCCTTATCCGACGAGCTCGGCATAGACGAAAAGCTTGCAGCGCAATGTCTTCTCGAAGCGCAAGCCGATCTGGCGACCCTCGGCAGATCTCTGCTCGAGTGCGGCATGGTCCGCTTTCACCAACAGCGCAAATATGCACTTGATGCACTTCGAGTTCTGATCGAGATGGACGTGGACGAAGAACTGGATGACCTTGCGCCAAACATGAACAGCGAAACCGTTAGAAGCTGGGTTGCAGAGACGTTCAGCGCAAAGCCTGGTGCGAGTCGCACGACGCAAATGGTTCCCCGATGCATGACAGCTATGCAGTCGATCAAGGCGTGGATTCAAAAGCTGTCAGACAAAGTCAGTGCAGCTCAGATGTTGGGTCAGTCGGGTGACGGCGGAATATCAGAGGAGCTGGAAACCGTCGAATTTGCCAGAATCAGTTTGATACAGCAGCATGAGCTCCTCGGCGTGCTCCTCTGCTGGTTCATTGAGAAACGGCAGGCGACCACCCAGGATCTGACTGACTTCATGGACAGTCTGCGCAAGTTGGACAAGTATGACAATACCCTGGTCCACAATATCCCTGCGGTCGGCGCGTTCATGAAAGCCTTTGGCTCATTGGATGGCGGGCATGATCTTCTGCAAGTTCGCCCACTCAGTGAGCGCCTGTTCCCAGTCACCGACGAGCCGCCCTGGGCATTGTCGTTCTTCCAAGCGTCAGTGCGTGCCTGGTGGCTTGCGGAATACAGCAGTTTCTACCTGGAAGACCCCCCCGAGGCTGCAATTCCGGCTGGGATTGATCTAGACGCAGAAGATCGACAGAGAGCAAAGCAATTCCTTGATTCCTTGAAAGAGGGTGCTTTTGATTTTCTATTGTCGATTGCCGGTGACGCCAGGTCGCCCGACTGGTACGATTCGGTCCGGGCTGGCATGCATCGCTGGTTACAGAGGAAGTCCCCGACTCTCAACGCTGAATTGGTGCAGTTCAGCGATTTCTTTCAAGAGGCATTGGTCTCCCAGCTTGAAGCGTTCATTGACAGCTTCATTACCAATCTGCCCGATGTTCTCCGCCGACTTCGTCTGGAAGAGGACGAGCAGCGACAATTGAGTCAGGCTCATGAGCAAGATCTGGATTTGGAGAGGTTCTTGCTCATTATCGCATACGCCTACGACAAGCGTCCCCAAGCAGCTATAAACTTCTGGGACGACCCTGACAGCAACTTGAACGGATTTTTGCAATGGGCTTCCCGCCGGGCTTCGACGCCACTTGTGACGGCCTTCTGTGAAATGCTTTCCGCCGTGTCAGGCAATGAAGAGTGTGCCGAATATGCCCACAACTTTCTCTTGGAAGAGGGGCATCACTCTTCCGGGAAGATGAGGAGGTCGCAATCATTATCCTGGGCGCAAATTTTCCGAGAGCTCAAGTTCTTCCTTGAAAAAGCGAAGAACAAGCCTGCCCCGGCACAATCTGTACGCTTCCGTGCCAGCAAGGTTGCACCTGATGTGTTGGAGACAGAGCCTGAGTCGGCGATGATGCTAGAAGCGTATCTTCGTCTCATGACCAGGCTTGCCACAGAGAATGAGACAGCTAGGCTATTCTTGCTCCAAAACACAAATTTTAACGTCGTCGAGGCTATTCTGGAGCTGACCAGCGCTCCAATACCCCCACGCCTGCGCGGCTGCGGCTTCACCGCGCTCAAGGCCCTGCTTACCAGAAAGTCGACAGCTGAGGGCCACACGATGTGGCAATGCCTCGACCAATGGGTGACGGGTGGTTATGCTACTGTTCTGACAGCCCACCATCGCCAACCCCAATCATCCCCCAAGAATTCTATGGAACGCTCATTCGACGAGATGAGCCATGGTTTCGAAGACCCAGAATCATTGACACAGCTACTCCTTGCCTTGGTGCGCCCAGCCGTCGACAGCAGTCCCCTCAATGATGGATTGCCCTTCCCTGAGAACCTGGGGTCAGCATACCGCGCTTCCGGCATCGATGTGTACGTTGACTTTGTTGTGGGGATGATCTTCGCGGCCAAGTCAAGCGAGCTGCAAGATGTTCACCAGATTCGTGTCTTGCGACTCTGCTGCCTCGATTTCATTATGGCATGCCTGGACACATTCAATGAAGACTTGATCATCACGGCGAACAGAACCAATATGGCTGTCGACAACATCATTGCCACGGCTGATTTGGCAACTTATGTTCGCTTGCATCCCTTCACGCGAGTGATGGAGTGGATGTACAACGAGCGGGTCATAGCAGCTTTGTACAGTACCGTGCATCAAGAGCCAGTGGATGTTGCCAATGCGGCTCCTGACTCACCGTTGATCCTGGGTATCCTTCGTGGCGTCGAGGTCATCAGCAAAATTCTCGATCTACAGGTGACATATCTCGATATCGTGAAGCCACTTATTCGCTCTGAGCCCAGGTCAAGACCACAAACGATTGCCAAATCAGCATACCCCACGTTCGAGGATGGCCTTGTGTCAAGGCTCGGCTTGGTGGTCGATATGGGCAATTATTGCGGTCTCGGCCACGCCAACTTGACACTCGCCTGTCTGAAATTGATGGAGCGCATGTCATCCTCGTCAAAGATTACGTCGCTATGGTCTGGGTCAGTGAGACACAACCACCGCAATAAAGCTGTTGTCGCCATGGAAGCAAACGGAGAGCACGAATCCATAGCGCGCGCTTTCATTTCCGAGCTGATGCAACCGTTGGACCCGACACGCGAAGCTGAGTCTGCAAATTACGCCACAAAAGTCTATATCCTCGATTTCCTTTACCAATGCCTTCTGGAGACGAGTGGACAGCCTACGATAGCCCATCTCTTGCTAGGATTCAAGTGTGGCGTTGACTCCGTGTCCATCGAATCGAACAGTCTCTTTGAGGAGCGCGAGTCACTCTTCCATGTTGTTCTCAGGCTACTACTTGATACGCCAACAACTGATCATAACGGTGTGAGGCAGTGGCTTGTGGGCCTGAGGGTGCGCGCTTTGCGCATTCTCCAAGTCCTGTGGTCGTCACCGCTGTCCGCTTCGCTTATTATTGAGGAGCTCAGATCCAATGAGCTTCTTTTTCATCTCCTGCTGCGCGAGACTGTCATTCACCCCCGTCTACTCTGGGAAGGCGAGGCTGCTGACACTCCTTATTTCCTGGTCACCGAGGGTGCGACGTCGCTGTTGGATCTGCTCTCCTTGCGTGGCATGACTCTCGACTACATTGCGATGGAGCTCTGCATGATCTCACAGGGCAAGACGCCCAGCGTCAAAAGACGCATCTTTGAGGCACTTAACGGGCAAATCATGGGTGATGAGAACGAACCGATAGCCGTGCCTTCCATCTTTGACTTGTTCGACTTTCACCTCCCACCTAATGCATGGACAATACAGCCCCCCCCTTTGCGGATCTATCGGGACCTTGACCTCGGTATCTGCTCTGATCATGGGGCTGACGGCACCGAGATATGGAACGTGGAGCGCGCACGCGAACTGATCCTTTTGAAACGCAGCGCGATGAAACACGCAGGTGTTGTGATTGCCGATTCGGAAGCCAAAATTTTGGTAGAAGAGGAGCAGGCCATCGAAGACAGCATGGTCATGACCAATCGGGAGGTGCAGCTCGCATCCCAAGGCCTTTCGGTCTTGGAAGCTTGGGCGAAGTTATTGCTGGTGATGGCCGAATGCAACGACTTTGAAGGCGCCGCTCGAACCCAGTTCTTCTTACAGGCCTTGCAGTCGATCCTACCAAGCTTCGAAGCCAATGCTACCGAACGACCAGCCGATGCCATCATTCTCGCCAAGCTGTCCAAGATACTCCTGTCCAAGCTGTACGCCCCGAAATCCCCCGATGCACACGATACAACGACTCTAGCCGTGGGAAACCTCATCAACGACAAGGTATACCAGATCTTCCAGATCTGTATTCAGGCCATTGGAAAATGGGTGGACAGCGCTGAGCTACGATCGGTCTACTATGAGAACTGCTACACATACTTGACCGGCATGCCGGATGATGATGGTCTCGTCAAAAACCGAACCAAGGTCGTCAAGGCAATTAGGGTCTATGGGGAGAGGCTGCTCAACGTAATTTGCGACGATGCCTACAATGGCGAGCCTCGATGCCAAACAGCAGCCCTGATCCTCCTGGGGACGTTGGTCCATATCGACCAGATTGAGGGCGACGCTTTCATTGTGGAAATGCTCAATAGGCTCAACTTCATTGGCGTCCTTGTCGACTCTCTTCAGAACATCATGCAGGAGTGGCACCAAGTCTTCACGTCGGGGACTAAAGAACAAGAGAACTTCCAGAACGCGCGTCTCGCTCTCATCCAACATCTCGCGCAAGCACGACCTGGCGCGAAACACATTCTCCACGCCAATCTGCTGCGTACGCTCGCGACGTCCCAAATCTTCACTGCCGATCCAGAGCTTCGAGTTGGAGGATCGATAGCCCTCGAGGCACATTACGACCTGCTTGCAAAGACAGTGCGGATTATCGGCGCTGCCGTTGTGAGTCGTGGCTCGCATAATGTCGTGCAGGGCCGCAAGTTTCTAGTCGATCATCGCTCGCTCGTCACGCATGCATTGAAGAGAAGCGCAGGCATTGGGATGGAGGACGTAAGCGCGCGGTTGCAGGAGAAGGTGGAAGACCTAGCAGAGGCCCTTGTCATAATGATTGCTGCGACAGGATTTCTTGAGGTAAGCAATTTCGCGTGACAACGAACACAGCAGTACTAATTGTTCGCAGTTCGAAGAGGAGACAGTGCAAGAGACGAGGAAGCAAAGCGATTTGCTGTTTCACTAGTCGAGGTCCCCGGCCCGCATGCATATGAAGATCATGTATCTTGATAGAATTGGCGTTGGAGACAAAAGAAACGGTGTTTGATTTTAGAGGCGGCTTTGCACGGGCATTTGGATTTGTGAACGTATTCATTGTAAACGCAAGGCGACTAATGCTTGGGTCGCCGAATAGCCTATCAACAACGCCTGACGCTTGCTTGCAATGTATGTAGTATGATGAGTGTGCCCAAAACGCCGCCCATGCCCATTCCACGCCAATTACTACTGCCCTTTTACAATGTATCCCCGACCTTGCGCTTGCCCTTTCTTGACTTGGTCATCAACTTTAGTTCGATGGGGTAGAACCCCTTTGTCTTGCTGTTGTATTCGTCTCGCGGCTTGATGTCGATCTTGGAGCGGCACATTGGACAGCGGCCTTTTGTGGATTCGACGCAGAGCGAAGAGTGAAGACATTGTGCGCAGAAGATATGGCCTGCGCTGATCAGCAACTATTGCAACAGATACAACTCGAGCATGGAACGTACCGCAGTGTGTGACGGTCATGTTCTCGACGTTGTCGAGGCAGATGGCACATTGGAAACTTGCGAGCTTTACATTAGGCGGCGACTTTGGGCTCCGTACGGCTTGTTCGGGGGGGATGGCGGGATCGGTCAGGTCGATGGGCTCCTCGCTGAAGAGTGGTGATGGGCTCTTGAACGGATCCTCTTCGTCGTTGCCCATTCTTATTTTCTTGGCGGGCGGGCCGCTGTCTCGAGACGCTGCATGGAGCCTTCGCGCTGTGGTGGGAGGTGACGAGGCTGGCATGACAGTCGTGCTGCGTCGGCGCGTGGTGGCGGGCATGTTGTCGGCAAGCAGAAGTGGCGAGATGGTAGCGTCCTCTGTAGAGATTTGGGGCTGCGAGGGCTGGTTCGTGGTCATGAAGGATGGGTAGGTGGAGGGCGAGGAAAAAGTGTTGTTGGCAAGGTCGTTGAGTATGGCGTCACTGGTGAAGAGGTGATTCAGAGCGTCGGGCGACCAGCCAGACGAAGCGAGGGCTCTATCTATAGGATCGTCCCGTAGACGCGGTAGGGAGATTTCGTCGTCGGGCCAGACGCGTGGTGGGTGAGGAGAGGCGTGACGTCGTGGCGAAGCGGCAGCGTCGGCGTTGGCGTTGGCGACGACGGAGGCGCCACCAGGGTCGACTAATCTTGCGGGTCCGCCGGGCAAGGAGGCTTGTTGACTTTGACGTCTCGTGAGTGATGGAGAGTTGGCAGCATGGAGTCGAGGCGAGGAAGAACGCTGGTGATGATGAGCGACCGGCGGCTCGAGGGTTGTTCGGTGCGGTGGTCGTTTGTCGCGGGGGTTTGAGGGGACGCGGCTCAAGTCTCGAGGAGGGTTGGGTGGGACCAGACGTGATCGAGCAGCATGAGATGCGCCCGGTGAGAACTGGGTGCTGGACATCTGAGAGATTCGCCGGCGACTGTGAGCTGTGAGAATGCCAGACGGCGCAGCGTTTAGAGCGGTCTAGTGTGCTCAGCTGCAGGTTCGGACGGAGGACGTAGGAGGCAAGAAACCGAGGTGCGTCCACCGTCGTTGTCTTGGTGGTGAGATGGGATTTGGTCAGGGCCCGAGACAGTCACAGGACGCACAGTCATCGACTGGAACTGCAAAGGCGATGGTATCTGCACCAAGCACGAATGATGTGTTTCTAGATATGAGCTACGTTGCTTCTAAGTGCTGATCGTTCGAGTTAAGCCACACAAATTTTTTTTGTTTCATTTTTTTTTTTACTATTTTCACATCTGAAGGCGGCCTTTTGATCCGGTGCCAAAATACGTCGGCTTCCAGTTTGAGTTGAGACAACGACATATGGTCACCACTTGTGCTGGTGTCAAAATGCCGAAGAACGTGCTATATCGACCAGAGAATTGACAACAGGCAAAGCAGACATTCAATAATGCCAAGCAGCCACAGCCAATACATTTGTCATTTCAAACCTCGGACGCGCATTCGAATGTGTTGGTCACTGGGACGTGTAGGGTAGTTAGTCACGACAGGTCACAGCACTGATAGTGGAGATCTGCTGAGTCAGCTTTCAGCCCCTTTGAATCTTTGATTGGCCTTATGCGCTGCCCCACGTCCCCTATGCAATGCAGCAGCCGTCATTCATTTCATCCCTCGCGCAGCAGCGAAATCAGACAGATGACACACGGAAGACCCTAATTATTCCACTCGATACCACAGCCGAAGCGACGACACGGTTGCGCACAGCCACGAGCTCGTGATGTGACAGCGCCGCGTGTGAATGATGTTCAGTGCCTCTGTTGGCCACCTCTGCCAAGGGACGATACCCGGGTTTATTCGCATAGCTCGCCACCAGGCCTCTCGTCGCCATGGCCAGCGCCCGCACGTTCGATGGCTCGCCGCCCTCACCAACGGCGTCGCGAAACAGCAGAAGAGCCTAGCCCTCCCGTCTCAGTCGCGATACAACGAGATCGGCGTCCAGCAGCTCAGCTCGCACGTGTACGATCAGATCTTCCCCGATGGAGGCAAGCCTGCTCCCAAGGAGCTTGTGGAATTGTCCAGAGACCATCTGCGACGTCACGATCTCCTCGGCAAGAACACCGACAACTCCGGACCGATCTCCTTTAACCTGCCGCCGCTGCAAGGGCGCACCCTCGACGAACACTTCTTCAAGCTTGGCAAGGACAGCGCGGAGCCATTCTTGCGATATGCCAAGGAGTTTGCGCGGTCCAACCCGCCGCTGAAACCGCGGAAATGGGTACGACGCAGCGGATGGACAAAGTACTATCCAGACGGCAAGACCGAAGCGGTCAATGCGCCCGACGAGAACATGCTGTGTTTTGACACCGAAGTGATGTGGAAGGAGAGCCCATTTGCCGTCATGGCGTGCGCCTCGAGTCCAACAGCCTGGTATGCTTGGCTCTCGCCGTGGTTACTGGGCGAGACAACGAACGACAAGCAATTGATTCCCATGGGTAAGCCTACGAAAGACCGCATTATTGTCGGGCACAATGTTGGGTTCGACCGCGCCCGGATTCTGGAGGAATACGACATCAAGCAGACGAGAAATGCTTTCATGGATACAATGTCCTTACACGTTGCCGTCAATGGCATGTGCTCCCGGCAGCGACCGACTTGGATGCGCCACAAGAAGAATCGTGAATTGCGAGAACGTGTCGCTACGGAAACCGAGGATCATAGCCTTGCAGAGCTGCTGTCCAGCAAGAGCGCGCATGATGAAGAGGAATTATGGGTAGAACGAAGCTCGGTCAATTCATTACGAGATGTCGCCAAGTTTCATCTCAATGTCTCGATCGACAAGGCCGTGCGGGACGACTTTGGCGAGCTCGATAGAGCCGGTATTATGGGCAAACTGGATGAATTGCTGGACTACTGCGCAGCCGATGTGGCTATCACCCATCGTGTCTACCAGATTGTCTTTCCCAATTTCCTGGAAGTTTGCCCGCATCCTGTCAGCTTCGCTGCACTCCGTCACCTATCGTCCGTCATACTCCCGGTCAACAAGTCTTGGGATGCGTACATTGCAAATACGGAGGCGACCTATCATAAGTTGTCTGACGCTGTCCAAGAACGCCTTGTGGCCCTTACTGAAAAAGCGCTGGAGATCAAAGAGGATCCGGACACCTGGCGGAACGATCCGTGGATGAAACAGCTGGACTGGTCTGGGCAGGAGATTAAAATGGTCAAGGGCAAGAAGAAGAATGACCCTCCTCGACCAGCGGCTCGACAGAAGAAGCCAGGCATGCCGCAATGGTATAAGGATCTCTTCGCTAAGAATGATGCGCCGATCAACGTCTCAGTACGCACACGTATAGCGCCCCTATTGCTGCGCCTTTCCTGGGACGGACACTCGCTCACCTGGTCGGATGAGTATGGGTGGACCTTCCGAGTGCCCAAGGCACAAGCTGCCAAGTACGTTGGTAAACAGATGGTGCAGTGCACATTTAGTGAAAAGGAGGCGGCCCTTCGAGACGATCGCGACCATGCGTACTTCAAGTTGCCGCACAAGGACGGACCCACGGCTCGATGTGCGAACCCGATGGCCAAAGCATATCTGACGTACTTTGAGAACGGGATACTATCGTCTGAGTACCCGTACGCTAAGGAAGCTCTCGAAATGAACGCCTCTTGCTCCTACTGGATCAGCGCTCGCGACCGCATCAGGTCACAGATGGTCGTCTACGACGAGGACATCCCAGGTGCTATCAAACGCAAGACGAAGAAGGCAGTTGCCGCCAGCGAGGGGTACATTTTGCCGCAGATCATTCCAATGGGGACCATCACGCGCAGAGCCGTCGAGAATACGTGGCTGACAGCGAGCAACGCCAAGAAGAACCGCGTTGGGTCGGAGCTCAAGGCTATGGTGAAGGCTCCTGAGGGTTATATCTTTGTAGGCGCCGATGTTGACTCTGAAGAGCTGTGGATCGCGAGTCTCGTGGGCGACGCCACATTCAAGCTTCACGGCGGCAACGCTGTTGGCTTCATGACACTGGAGGGAACCAAGGCTGCAGGCACCGATCTGCATTCACGGACAGCCTCCATCCTCGGCATTACCAGAAACGATGCAAAGGTCTTCAATTACGGTCGTATCTATGGAGCCGGTCTCAAGTTCGCCGCGACACTCCTGCGCCAGTTCAACCCGTCTCTGTCCGAAAAGGAGACTATGACAGTCGCCTCGAAGCTCTATGCCAACACAAAAGGCACCAAGACGACGCGACGGACCCTGCACAAGCGTTCGTTCTGGCGCGGCGGTACGGAATCGTTTGTGTTCAACAAACTGGAAGAGTTTGCGGAGCAGGAAAGACCACGTACACCTGTCCTTGGCGCAGGGATTACTGAAGCTCTCATGGGACGCTTCGTCAACAAAGGCGGCTACTTGACGTCCCGCATCAACTGGGCCATCCAGTCGTCTGGCGTGGACTATCTGCACCTCTTGATCGTCGCGATGGACTACCTCATCCGGCAATTCAACCTGGACGCGCGCGTGGCGATCACTGTGCATGACGAGATTCGCTACCTCGTCAAAGAAGAAGACAAGTACCGTGCTGCCATGGCTCTCCAAGTGGCCAACGTCTGGACGCGCGCCATGTTTGCCCAACAGGTCGGGATCGACGACCTGCCACAGTCGTGTGCCTACTTCTCGGCCGTGGACTTTGACCATGTCTTGCGCAAGGAGGTGGACATGGACTGTGTGACGCCTAGCCACACCACCCCAATACCTCACGGCGAGAGTCTCGACATTGTGTCCCTGCTGCACAAGGGGGGTAAGGCGCTTCTGGATCCCAATGTCGTCCCCGATCCCAAATATGCTCCCAAGCTCGACGGCATTGAATACACGCCACGCACACCGGTGATGCAGTCGATCCAGGAAGCCGCCGAGGAGAGCCCATACTTCCTGCGGGCGCAGATCCTGAGCGAGGACGAGGAAGTCAGGAATCTCATCAAGGAGATGAAAAAGGCAGAGGCCGCGTCCGGCACCTCTGCAAAGACAGTGACGAAGAAGTCTCTGAAATCCGTCTTACCCTACCACGCACACCCACACCTGGTGCCCATGGAGGAGACCAAGAGCGTTTCCGAGTTGATGAACAAGCAACGACTGCACGGGTACGACGCCAAGAAACACTGGAACCAGTGGCAGAAACCTGCGACGAAGAGCTGGAGGCCCCATAACTCGAGGATGTGACACTGTATCTCACGACGACATTTTCCTTCTTTACTATATATGTATTTCCACCTGTATTGTATGATTATGACCGTATATCTACTGTGGCGTGGGTGGACGGGGCGGGTAGAGCGCCAGGCGTTCGTAAGGGGATACCAATGACGGGCTGGCGTATGAAGGCAATAATCGATTGATATTTTAGATCACTTGCATTTTCTCACATCTTTTGCCCACCCTGGTCTTCCTGGGCAACGAGTGAGGCCAAATGTCGCTCTCACGCGGTGCCACGAGTGCCGGACAGCCGCGCCAGAACCGATGAGTCAACGACGGCAGGATTGCTCGCCGAACCGAATGCAAGCTATCAGTTCACATTGTCATTGGCGACAAGCCCAACAAGTTCCCCCGACTTGGCAAGCCCTGCCTGTGCCGATTACTTACCTGTCGATCCTACGCCGAGTGCATCGACGGCGCATATATCAACACTCATCTTCGCTTCAAGAGGGCGATCTCTCCTCCTACCACCTAAACAGACACGGCCTCGTAGGCGCGTTACCAGCACCATGGGCTCTCGCGGCTTCTTCTAGTACTGGAGGCTCAAGTTCATCGTGGCATTGATGCGCTTCCTCACCAGCCGCGCTATGCGCAAGTACCTCGCACCCTCACCGTCATGCCACCGACGAGCGATCCGCATACCGTCGCGGGACCTTAACCGCTTCATCGACGCGTGGATCTACTACCCTCCCTATCGCGACCCGAATGTCCCCTCGCCTGTCGTGGTCAACTGGCATGGCAGCGGCTTTGTTATAGACAATCTCGGCATAGACCATGCCTTCTGCGAGAGGATCGCGCGGGAGGCTCGCGTGGTTGTCTTGGACGCTGACTGCCGCAAGGCACCCGAGCATCCGTTCCCCCATGGAGGACGCTGAGGATGTACTGCGCTGGGCCGCGGGCCAGTCTCGCCAGTTCGACGTGAATCGCGTGGCCCTGTCGGGGTTCAGCGCTGGTGCCACCATGTGCCTGGCCGCGGCGACCAAAACCCGCGTGCGTTTGCCGTCAGCTCCGAGCTGTATGTGAACATGCCTCCAGTGAGTCCAGTCGCGGACCCATCCATGAGCATCTAGACCTGGCCCAGCTTTCAGCTCGCCACGCGCAGGAGACTAACGAGGAAGAGTCTGGATGTCGAAATTGGGGGATCTGCAGGGGCATAACCGATAGTCAGAGTCGTGATCGTGACAGGGGCCACGTGAGGGCGGAGGAAACCTCCCTGTATAGGTAATTAGCCCCGGCTACGTCCGCCCCCTCCAGTCCTCATCACACTCGACTTCAACTCCATCACACTCGACTTCAACTCACATGCGCGACGATCCGAACACCTCGCATCCGCTATTGACGCCACTCGACGCATGTCGACCAGCTTCTTCCAGTCTTGTTGGATTCCCACGCCACGGACAACACCGAATCGCAAATTGCCAGGCTACGAGAATGGATTGGTCTAGCGACCAGCTATTGGGACTTTTGGAGCTGGGTCCCGACTGACAAATACTCAACTGCATGCTAAGGCACCATCGCTATGCACGCTGCGATGGTCGCGGCCTTGACAGAAAGTCGGCCACGGTGGCGGAGAAAGCGTATATAACCAGACAAGGACTTCGCATCTTGCTCTGAGTATTGTCCATACTTGGCACCGGCAACATGGAGTACTTCTCGCCCATCCTTCCCCTGGCTCTGAGCCTCGTCGCCTCTGTAGAGGCCCTGCCCCAGGTAGCGCCTCGGTGCTCGCACAACAACTGTCTGCGTGCCGTAAGTCTTGCGATAATCGGTTGTAGATCGACATCTTCTCGCTCTACGATTTGACGCCACGGTACCAGCTCACACCAGGACTTCAGGTTATCGCAGGTTCCTTTCCGAACCGTCCCACCCAGGCCGACTGCTCGTCGTTCCTCCGGAAGACTGTCACGCCCGCCGCATAGTACGCCTCCAATCGATATACTCGAAGCATCTATACACTGTGCTGACTTGTATGCTAGCACCGACACTCTGGGAAACAGTCACTCCAGTTACTGAAACCGCCACGAGCTACAGCACCCAAGTCGCTACCGAGCTGGAGACGATCACTGTCTTGGAGACTGTCGACGTCGCGACCCAGACCATCACCGCCACGGTCACCGCGGACCCTGCCATCATCAAGCGCGACAATGGCATCGACCAGCAGGAAAAACGCCAAGTGACCGTCCACCCGTCCGTCATGCCAACCTACGCTACCGCCTGCCGCAGCGTTGAGGCCTACTCGTCGGCCTGCTCCTGCATCGGCATCAGCCCGACCACCGTCACCGAGGCGACACCGACCGTCACGGTCACCTCCACCTCGATAGTCACCGCCTCAACCACCATCGGCCTGGTCGAGACTGTGACGACGACGGGAACCGTGGCCGTCACTGACACCGAGTCCCGCACCGTGACCGCCACCACCACCAAGACCGTGGTGGCCTTTCCTCCTTGGGAGACCTTTGTACGTTGATCCTTTCCTGTCGCATGCCACACTTCGACGACGCTGACAGCATTTTCTCTCCAGGTCGTCCGCGCCGTCGGCGGCCGCGTCAATGGACAATTCGTCTACTCGTGGCAGTATGACTCGAACAGGAATTCCTTCTTCCGTAAGTCCAGTCCATCTACACAAGTAGTCGGATGACCATGTATATCTAGCGACGCGTGCTGACCCGTCTATCCACTTACAGAGGCCTTTACTAGTCGCGCGGGTGCTACGCAGTACCACATGAGCTCTCCCGCCAGCAACGCCCTGATGACGGAACAGAACACACGTTTTGGCGCGCTGGACGTCTCAAGGGCCCAAGGCGCGTTTGGTGCGACCTGGATGGCCGACGTGGCTATCCGTCAACGAGATTCCCTCGTGGCACTGGGCTGCCACATCTCCGAGGACGACTGGGAGCTCAAGTGCGCCTACAACGCGGACCAGAATTCCTGGTACGCCTGTCCTGTGAACGGACGGATTGTCGCTCAGATTGGTCCGCCGGGCTATCCTACACCAAGTAGCTGGCTCTGCGAGCCAGTCAAGCTGTACGCTGAGCGCCCTTGATCCTTGGCTGCGAGAGGACTTGCACAGCTGGTTTGTATGTGGCTTGACAATAGGAGCAGGAATGTGCCATGTAGAATGCTGGCAAAAGTCTGGCAAGCGATATATTCATGTAAGACCTACACCAGAATGACCTCCATGAAGTCTAACAGCGAGCCCACTTTGACCTACTATATTTAGTCATGTCAAGGTTGGATGTTGACGATGTACCAGGACAGGACCTCAATATATGCCAACTTCCTGGATGCAAAGCCACTACGAATTATGTAGCGCCATCAGTGAGGGTTTAGGCAAAGGCATTCAATCCGTTGGCGGACGTGGGTAAGGTACTTTATGCCGGCAATAGAAGTCACACAACAGTTCAGCAGCGTTGTTCAAACGTCGACAACTTAGAAGCGGGGTCATATCGTTAAACTGCCTTATGCAAATGGCATCAAGATCCATGTCACGCACGACGTGACGACTCACATTTATGCCTGGGGGAGACTCTGGCACCTCACCTCCCTTCACATTAACATCACCACCAGCAGCCACATTTTTTCTTTCTTTCTACTGTTTTCTCCCTTTCCGAGAACTTTTTTTTAAAAAAAACTAAATTTTTTTTACCCCTGAGAGCTGAGTGTGCCATGCCAATCCAATAGTTACCCCATGAGCTGCTCGACGCGGTCATGGGCCAATTGGTCAGACTGCCGGCTCAACTTCAACCAAATAAAAGGCGCACAGGACGATTCAAGCCAGGATTCGAGACGTTGCGGAATGCCCGCCTCGTCTGCCGCGACTGGGACCGTGCCGCCAGTTCACATCTTTTCCGCATCCTGCATCTGAAGTATGGCTCAGCCTGCGAAGCCGGGAGAGCCCTGTTTACCAAGTGGCACCACACCGTCGATCTCGAGGTTGTGAAGTGCGCTGCTCGACGTGTCATTATCGATGCCGCACCCAAACAAACATTCGCAGGCCCTCCCGATGAGATCCCTCCCGGTTGGGCAGAAAAAGCCGAGGCCATGTTCGACGTCATGTTACAAGACTTCGAGGACGCCCTTGATCGCATCGCATAGCTGTCTAACCTCAACGCCGTCGAGATCCATCTTGGCAGGAACTGCCCTGACGAACAAGTCGATCAGGAGCCTGATTACTGGAATCACTGGGTCGCTTCTTGCGAGGACCGCGTAACGCGCCAGAACGGCCTCAAGGCAGTATTCCGCGCTATTCAAGGGCGCAAGCTGGGCGGACAAGAGAGAAGCACCGTCACCTGTCGGGCATTGAACAATCTCCAAAGCATCACCGACAAGGAATTTGAAGCCTCTAGTCTCTTTCAGAGCGTCATCGTGGACATTCGGCAGCTACATCTTCACGTGAAGTATGAACATGATGAGGACGGGATCAATTATGATTTCGAAACAGACCTGCAGGCCGGCCTGCTATCCTCCCTGTCCAGCCAGCTCACAGCTCTGACGCTGTCATTCAACCAAGAATGGGGCACCATGCCCGGTGTCTTCAGTGGCTCGGGTCTGCATTTTCCCAGCCTTCAGACCCTTCGTTTACGGTTCTTTACCATTTCCCACGACAGCCACTTCGACTGGGTACTGCGCATGCCAGCTCTCAAGGCTCTATATCTTTCCCAAACCAGGATCATGACGCACGCAGCAGTTAAACACGAGTTCATCCATACTTTGAACCTACAGATCCACAACTGGGAGCGGCTCCCACTCGGCGCCTATGGCTTCAAACGCCCTAACTATGTATTCTTCACGTACTGCGGACGTTAGCACTCCTTCTTCGATCGTATCAAGTCAGAGCTCAAGACACTGACCGATTTTCGAATTGCTTGGCTCGAGTACATAAGTTCCGATGAGGACGCAGTTTCTTGGACCAGGGAACCAAGGTTCGCGATCGAACCGGAGCTGTCGACGAATCGCTACATGGTCTTTGATCAAGAATATTTACCGGCCCGTTGGATATTCCCGAAGCTTAACAGCGAGATGTGGTTTGGAATTTGGAAAAAACAACTCGTTCCATTGTATGTATCGCCCTGATCCGTGGCCATCCGAGGACAGTGGTGCGCCCCCGTTCAACCTTGCGGAGACGCACGAGGTTGATGACAAAAAGGCTCTCCAGGATCTGCTACAGGCGACGTTGGAACGGCGATTATGAAAAATCTGGATGATTTCGACTTGTCAACAATACTAAGTGTTTTACGTCTCCGTCTAGACACATCATGCACCATACGGCGCGAGTTAGTTGTGGTCACTGAAAATGACGATGCACAACAATGGAGGTCATCATAGCTTTGTCAATTGATCTCATGCTGCACGCTACTCGCCATTCGTAACGGAGACAATACTTAATCATTGTTCTTCTCATCCAGCGCGACACACGCCGCCACCATCAGGGCCATGTCCACACCAGGCGCCACGATGAGCGCGTACGTCTGCTGGCTACCCATCAACTCACGCTTGTTCAGGAGCTTGCGGTCAATGCGTGCCACCACGGCACCCGTGTTCTCGCAGACAATGTCTGCCGACGTGTCGCGCCAGTTACCCTTCATGACCAGCGTCTCGGCGTGGTCGCCCTTGGACATGAACGTGACGGTTGCCTTGCTTCCCACGACTGGATTGTCAGTGTAAGAGCATGCGCGGAGGCACAGAGCTTGCTGCACTCACCCTGAAACGAGCTCTTCACCTCCATCAGCTTCTTGCCCATGGGGTCCTCGGCTACATATGTCGCGTGCAGGTGCATCTTCTCCTTGACAATGTCAAAGAGGTGCTGGCCTGCCATATCCCTAACGGTCTTGCGACCCGAGATGGTCATGTGGCGACCCTCAATCTTGAGGACGGGCTCACCACTGATGTTGGTGACGTCGAAGCTGTCCTGCGAAAGGGAAAAGACCTTCTCCTCGAGGACCAAGGCTTGGGTGCTGGGAGCCATGTACTGCTCAAAAATGCCCATGGGGCGCTGGACGGCTGCGAGTTGATCCATTTTGGGTTGAGTTGATGAAGCTTTGGATGGTTTCGATCAACAATGAGACAAGTGAGATGGAGAAGAATGCGCAATGGGAGGATGCTAAGTGTCAGTTATAAGTGAGAGCCGACGTCTAACTTGCAACAGAGTTGCTTTAAAGGGGTGACGTCTTGGGTAGCACATCCAAGTACACGCGCACATACCGGTCTGTTGTTAGTGGGCAGCTGGGCCTCCCCTTGAGTCCTTCCCCCGCCCACTCCCGAGATCCGAAGTTGGAATTAGCTTGACTGGTGTCTTACGTCATGATCCGAAGTGACTTCATATCTACTATAACTATTGATTCTGATAGTCAACTCCCGTCGACCATACGGCCTCCGAGTGAGTGACAATTGATTAAAAAGTTTTTGTTTCCAAGGAAGAACAGAGGGGCTGAGCAACAAGCACTAGGAGTCTAGGAGGCTAGATGGTCGGCATGAGCTGAGAACTAAGGCTCATCATCAACCGCATCTTTCGAAGGCTGATGACAAGAATATTCACCAATTCTGTGCCTTTGAAAATTTGCAGAAGATTAAATGCTTCATGATCTGGGGTATTCCGTCCGCATTGGTGGTCAGTGTTGCAAAGACGACTTCCGCCTTGTAGGGCTGGGGTCAGTGCCCAACAGGGCAATCGACTACCCTATACATCTTCGTCGGGATACAAGCTGCCATGTCTCTTGGAAATACCTAGCCTAGAGAGGCGCAAAGTATAGTTAAGCATTTCATGTTGATGAAGGATGTATCAGGAGTTCAGCATTATTTTGAATGTGCGTAACCTAGCAACTCCAAATGGTGTGATATTGCTGGGCTGTGGCAAATGTGATCTGAACCCTTTGGCTTATTGCTTCAGCTCGATCAGTTTTAATAAATATACCAGGCCGACCGTCGAAACTCCCCCGGCCATCCCCGGCACCAAGGTACCCAGAAATGCTGTTTTAGGGAGGGCTGGACAATGAAGTCATGACCAAAGGGGGCGATGATCAGGGGTAGTCTTCTTCGTTCTTGTTGTTCCTGAGGTACACTCAAATCATGATCTGGAGAGAAATTCTCTCCCTCTCCCTCTTTGTCTGCGGACATGCTCACGCCTGAGCCTGCTGGATTCAATGCTAGGCGATGTCGAGTATTCGGAATTTCGACCTCGGACACTATCCAATCAGCTCCACAATACCCGGCGCCGGCTGGCCCCGTGCGACGGATATCCCGCCTCAGACAAGACCCACATACCCGAAGTCGCCGTGGATGACTTGAATCCGTTTGATCCAACTTGAATAGTTCCATTGCGAGCTACCCATGGCGACCAGAGCCGGTCTCTGGCAATATCAGCTCTACGAGTTCGTTCTGCGATATCACAGACGACTAGCGTGAGATACCTGACCCCCACATAACCAGTATGTCACTCTCTTGGTCACACGTCCACACGGTCTACCCCTCGCCTGGAAGTCACGCATCATTCCGGCACTACCCGCCTTCTCATTCGCCCCGTGAGCGCTGTGAAGGTTGCGGCACAGCATGAATCACGACAAGACAGGTCACCTTGGGAGGAAAGGATCGCAGTGTGATGTTACACCAAGGTAGTATATTGGACGTTTGATCGTTGGCGCCATGTGCTTGGTGGTAACCTCTTTATTCCTGACCTTGAGGGAACTATTTGCGTTCATGAATTCGGCCCAGGTCTTGTCGATGCCAAGATTTCACTTCCAGATCGGTACCATTGCCCAGTTCCCAAAGTCTTAACGGAGCCCGATGCAGGGACTTTAGTGCTACTCTCGTGTTAGTGCTGAGTTGTCATTTTGTGAATTGGTGCGAGGCAACGTACGCCACAAGAGGAGCAGGAGCAAGAGTCGCAAGAGCCGGAGCAGTTGCAGGTGGAGCAGTTGCAGGGAGACATGTTGATTTGAGTAGTGTCGTGAAGACGGTTGAAGGCTTGTTGATTGTGTTGTGGTATTGTTGTGCTTGAGAGAGTGAGCCGATGATGGAACAAGGGGAGGACAGCATGGAGGAACTGGCTTCCTTATATACACATTCTACTGCCTGGTGAGGATGTCACACCGGTTGCATGATGATTCCCCTCCCCGACGCAAGTTCATCTCCCCCAAGTTGACGGCTGAAATTCCAGGTACATTGCTCGCTCTGAGGATCACAGCCTCGTGGAAAGTACTCTGCGAGGTCTGTGCTGTTCTGAGGGTGGGAAGTCTGCCTTCAGGGTGGAGCCACTGTTCGCAGTGTGGATTGGGGTGTGCTGGCCATGTGGATGCTCACATGCACATTGGAGACGTGGGTCGGGTGGGATGTTCGGGCGGCGAGTCAGTACTACGATGCTTTTCGAACTAAGCTTTTTGAGAAGAGGATTTGCCCTAGGATCTGAGGCTTCTCGTTCGTCGAGGACGTACTTAGTGAGTGCTGGTTTACTGCAGACTGTTGTGCTCTTGGTTCGAAGGACAGCGAGGCACGCACTCAAGTAGTAGCAGATCTGGAGTGACACTTTCGAGCCAGAGACGATGAAACAATTTTTATTGGACGATAGGTGCACGATACGACTCTAACATGGCTAGTTCTTACCCAAGACTGGAGACTGGACTGCAACTAACTACCCCTGCCACACGGGTCGCCGGCTACAGCCGCCAGCTATACGTACAGAAAACGTGATCGTCACTCAAACATCATTGTCGGACACATGATCGAACCAACTGGCGGCAATTGTGAGCATGAATGTTACGAAATCGCGCGAGCTCTCATTCGTCGATTCAAACAGCAGCGTGGCATGGTGATCACTTGATCAGCCCATGAAGTGAGCCCCTGGACGCGACACATCACTAGATCAGGCCAGCTGAGGTCCTGGCACAGCTAGTGCCGAGAAATTTTCCGGCGCACAGGGGGGTTTAATAGTGTTATCAGCTCAGACAGGAAGGACCGTAGATAGAGGTTGGTCTTGTGACATAATGAGTACTGGGGACCAACCACTGGTTGGCGTCAAGGCAACGCGTAACCCCCACGGGATAGGGGCAAAGAGGGGAAAGCTTCGTAAATCGCTTGCCGCTCGATGCGACGGAGAGTGATCTCCTTGGGATCAGTCTTTGGTAAGGTAGCAACAGGATGGAGGATGCCTGAGGTTGTTGTCAGTCAAGCCTCGAGCGAAGACAGTGGTAGCCACTGTCGTTGGGGAGATATTCTCCTTTCCGGCAAAGTATATTGCGGAGTTGGACAGCCTCGAAAGTATGGTCGACCAGACCAACGACGTCGACGAGCCCTGATGGACAACTGTATCACCTCGAGTGGCGTACGTCCTGGCGAGGGGACTCGAGTTCTCTGAGAGGGTGGCTTGTGCCTGCACTGGCAGAGCAGCAACTCCAGCCTCCAAGCCTACACTCGCAGACTACACCTGGAGTTTGTCGATGCTTGCGTGGTAGGATGAAGACCAGAACACACCATGACGCGGGGGGACTGCCTTGATATAGACGACCTGCCCCCCTCCATAATCAGACGGCCGAGACAAATAGATGAATCTCCTTTTGATATTAAATGAGGGGATAGATTGCGAGTGATGATAAAGTCCCGTGCTTTTCCTCTGGCCAGCGAATGAGGATTGTGGCGATGAGGTGTGCAGGACACCTTGATGGTCCAATGCGGCCATCAAGGTTCTCGCATCGCGCTCAGGAGGGCGGGGGAGGAACCACGACCATTTGATCACTTCCGAACCTGTGACGAGTGCGTATGACTGGAAGAAGAAATGTCAAATGGATTGATTATCTTCCTTCTCCTGCGCATTTGACTCTTGAGCGAACCCCCGAATCGAAAGGCAGCAGCTGACCATCGCGCTGGCTGGCAGCGACGCACCACCACGGATCGACTTGAACCCGCCAAACGTACGAAGAGACTCATAGGCGGAATTACCAGCAATAGTCCCATGTTCGACACCCGAATGAAATCCCGACCGAGAAACATACTTCGCCAGAAGGCGTGCAGAACCAGCCGCCCCTGAGTACATGGAAGCCGTGAATCTAGAAAATACAATCGCAGTTCACATAGTCGGCCACAGCTCTGCATGCATATCGCACAGCTTTGCGCAATCTATACGTTGCACCAGAAACCAAGCGCGACGGGTCACTAACCAGAAACGGCATCATGTCATCTTCAGGGGCCCTCTTGTCCCTTGGTGCAACAGTTAGTCAGGGTGTACGAGTGGCACGACTTCAAAGCTTGCATTATACAATGTATTATTCCATGGAACGAGCTGTCTACACTTTGACGAGATATGTCCGCCCTTCAAACGGCGCCAGCGCCTCCTGGACCTCTTTCGCCCCATGCGTTGACGCGATCAACTCAAACTTGGGACTGCTCTCCTCCGGTAGTCTCAGCTCCCTCGCCGCGGGAGGGGCGACCTTCTTCTCCCCCGTCGTAAAGTTGAGCATCACGGCAAGCTTGTCGCCGCTACCGTCTGGTATCTCCTTGAAGAACAAAAAAGTATCCTTGTCGTCGAGACGGATTGTGTAATAGTCTCCGTAGACGGTGAGATCCGCGTACTGCTTGCGGAAGGCAATCATCTTCTTCCAGAAGCCCAGCACGCTGTGAGGGTCGCCCAGCTGCGAGGCAACGTTGATCTCGCCGGCCAAGGGATGGGCTTTCATCCACGGCTCCTTGATTTCCTGGCCCTCCTTCTCGGCCACGTCGGCGAAGCCACCGAACTGGCCCTTGCCGTTCCATGCCATGGGCACGCGCGAGTGATCGCGGGCGAGGTACTGCAGCGAGTCAAATGCCTCGTCAATCTTGGCCGCATTGTCGGCACCATAGCGCTCCTTGACCATGTCCACGTACAGGTAGCTGTTCAGGTCGAGGTAGTTCTCGAGCGGGTAGCTATCCTTGGGCGCATTGACGACGCCAATCTCCTGCCCTTGGTAGACGTACTGCGTGCCGCTGAGGCAGGCCTGCATCAGAGCGAGCATCTTGGCGCTCGCCTCGCGGAAGCGGGGGGAGTCATCGGCGAACCGCGAGACGGAGCGCGCCTGGTCGTGGTTCTCCAGGAAGACAGTGGTCCACGCGTCGTTGCCCTTGATGAGGGTCTGTGTCCTGTCGATGGCGGACTTGAGCTCGGGCAGGTCAAAGTTCTTGGGCTTGGCTGCGTAGTGATGGGTGACGCCGTGGCCGACATCGACCACGTCGAATTGGAACACCATGTCGAGCTGCTTGGCCTCGGCGCTGACGTACTTGAGAACCTTTTCCATGGAGGGGGTGTTGGGCAGCTCGCCCACGGTAATGGCACCGTACCGGGAGAGAATCTCGTTCATCTCGCCAAGGTACTCGTGCATGCGCGGACCGTTGCAGTAGACGTGCCCTGCTGGCTGCCACGGTGAGTCGGGATCGATGATGGGGGCGTCGGGGAGACCGATGGGCTTGGAGTACATGTTGACTGTGTCTACACGGAATCCGTCGACACCTCGCTCGAGCCAGAACTCCATTGCTGACTTGTAGATGGTCTTTCGGGCCTCCTCGCACTCAAAGTTGACGTCGGGCTGCTCCTTGGCAAAAAGGCGCAGGTAGTACTCTTGCGTGGTCTCGTCCCAGGTCCACGCCGAGTGGTCGCCGAAATTGGACCGCCAGTTGTTGGGGGGCACCCGCTTGCCGTCCTCTGTGTACCTGGCGGGCTTCCAGATGTACCAGTCGCGCTTGGGGTTGTCCTTGCTGCTACGACTCTCCTTGAACCACTCGTGCTGGTCTGAGGTGTGGTTGATGACCAGGTCGAGCATGATCTTGATGCCGCGCTCATGGGCCTCCTTGATCAGGTGCTCCATGTCCTGGACGGTGCCGTACGGGCGGTAGACGTCCTCATAGTTGGAAATATCGTAGCCCATGTCAACCTGGGGGCTGTCGTACATGGGGCAGATCCAAACAATGTCAGCACCGAGATCTTTCAGATAGTCCATTTTGGACGTGATGCCTGGTAGATCACCGATACCATCGCCATTGGAGTCGCAGAACGACGCGGGATAGATCTGGTACACGACACCGTGTTTCCACCATTTCTGCACGTGCACCTTGCCGTTGACAGTCATTGTGAAGAGATTCTTGATAATCTCAGCGTCTGGTTGCGGCGCTCAGAGTGTGTGTGCTGTGTCGGGCTCAGCAGTTGCAGGGTAACCAGCCAGACTATGGGGGGGAAAAGGAGCAGACGCTGAGGAACTAGGAAATGACCAAGAACAGGCTCAAGATTCCAATTGCAGACCAGCAGGAGGCGCCTTTTGAACCGTATGAGCCTCTCCAATTATTAGAGTGGATTGACCTCGCTGCCTTGGAGCGCAACGTAGCACACACGTCGTCCAGTCGCGATGATTTCCCCTCGCGGGGTTCGACTGATGGAGGTCCATCCCTCCTGATAAACCAACAAGGCCTCGAGAGCGCCAGTCACCTTGGACAATGGCACTCTCTTTGCTTGGCTTCGTCGTTCCGACAGCTTCTCAGGACGCCCGGGGCCACTGCGGGCCACACTGATCGAAGCGGGCAGTTTCCACCTCGCGCAATGCGCCATCTCCGCATCTGGAGCGGAGGGAAATGAGGAGGCAAGACTTGGCGATGAGGGCGAGATGATGGTCTTATTGGCCCAGCGTCGGACCGACGATGCAGCCGTGTGCGTCTGTGGCTCTCTGCCGCCTCTTGCTGAGAGGGAATGCCGTGGTTGTGGTGGAGCAATCGTGGAGCACGGCCGGAGGAGATGCACGACAATGCATGCCGGTCCGACAACAAGGCTCGTCGGTCACTCGGCGTCTGCCACTGATGAACCTGGGGAATTGTGATACCACGGCTGGGGGGGGGGGGATCTGTGGGCAATCAATCCAGCTGACGAGACTCCATGTCCTGGCATGTGCTCAGGTCCCAGATCAGATCTCGAGGACATGAACACGATTGGAGTGTCGACGGTCGCGACTCGTGGGGCCGCAGCTCCATCCAGTACAACCACGCGGCGCAGCCTTTTTGCCATTTGGGGTGCAGAAATCGATCAATCCATGAACATCTTTCGGGCCTTCGACACGCATGATGCACATCGATATTGATCTGGCCTGCCTGATAGTCTAAAATTACACCGTGTAGGTACTACAGACGCAGACCTGGACACCCACCCAAAGCTTAAAATCGCCCCGGTCGCGGGCCCATGGGGAATGTTGAATCGTTGATGGAACTTCTCTCGTTCCGACGACGGGGTCCGAGAATGGCGTGAAGCTGTCCAGCGCTGGACCAATTCCGCTGGACGGGTGAGTCGTACGACACCATGGATCACTACGGTATAGCCTCGCCAGATTGTCGAGCTAGTCACATGTCGTCACGACACCATGTCTGCAGAGATGCACACCGTGCCTCCTCTATAGGGATCTTGAGCCGGTATACTCCGTAGGCCTGGCGAGTACCGGAGTCTTGACTGAAATGAGTTGTCGCGTGGCATGCTACTGTCAGACCCTGGCGCACGATACATGCTGATCGAGCAGAAGCCCCGAAGAGACGCCTCGCCTCCATGTCGCCCTCCGCATTGGCCAATTGGGGTAAAGCTGGAGGCCCTGGGCTGGGCTGGGCACTAGACTAGAGCGTGAGATGCTCTGCTGAGTCTGCTCCGTGCGTGGCGCCCTGCCGAGGGCCATGCATGCCCCAAGTTCCCAAGCTGTGGTATCCGTAGCTCGGAACGCCCTCCCTCCACACCATCTTCCCGCACTCAGGACAGGACAAGACTGGGCAGCACTGGACGGGGCTCGTCGGGGGTGGACCCTCTTGATCCCGGAGACTGCACTAACCCCAAGCCTCCAGCTCGGCTCCCCAGGTTCCCCAAAGCCAATCCGAAAATCTCATCGTCCCGACAAACGCACACGCATAGGCAGGCCAAGGGGCCCAGGCCAGCTAATAGCCAGCCACAGAAACGACGTCCATCTCCTGGATATCTTCCTCGTGCCATTCAACTATAAGAAGCCCAGGGCAGACGCCGTCTCAACTCCTGATCAGCACTGGGACTTTCCACTCCATCACAGGCTTCTTGCTTCGGTTCTTCACCTGCTCATCAGCACAATCCACAACCAACCAACCAACCACCCAGCCAGCCAACATGACGTCCATCGACCATGACGGCGTCCGTCGCGCCTCCGTGCCCAACGCTGTCGACAAATCGACCGTTATCGAGGCCGCCGCCGCCGGCGAGGCGGAGCGCGAGCTCGGCATCCTTGCCTCCTTCAAGCTCTACCGCAAGGCCTGCATGTGGTCCGTCTTCCTCTCCACCGCCATCGTCATGGAGGGTTTCGACATGACCCTCATCAACAACCTCTACGCCTACCCGCCCTTCCAGCGCAAGTTTGGCGCCGAGCAGCCCGATGGCTCCTACCAGCTCACCGCCGCATGGCAGGCCGGCCTCTCCAACGGGGCGCTCACCGGCCAGATCCTCGGTCTCTTCCTCAACGGCATCGTCGCCGAGCGCTACGGCTATCGCAAGACCATCATCGGCGCCCTGACCGCCTGCGTCGCCTTCATCTTCATCATCTTCTTCGCCGAGTCCCTGCCCATGCTCCTCGCTGGAGAGGTCCTCATCGGCTTCCCATGGGGCGTCTTCCAGACCCTCGCCCCTACCTACGCCGCCGAGGTTTGCCCAGTCCACCTCCGCGCCTACCTCACCACCTATGTCAACCTCTGCTGGGTAAGTACCTTTGCCGCCCCCGGTGGATGAGACCAAAAAGCTAACACGCACCCACCAGGTTATGGGCCAATTCCTCGCCTCGGCCGTCCTCAAGTCCATGCTGTCCCGCGACGACAAGTGGGGATACAAGATCCCCTTTGCTCTCCAGTGGATCTGGCCCGTCCCCATCGCCATTGGCGTCTTCCTCGCCCCCGAGTCCCCCTGGTGGCTCGTCCGCAAGGGCCGCCTCGAAGACGCCAAGCGCTCGCTCATCCGCCTCACCGACCGCCACTCCCTGTCCAACTTCAAGCCCGACGAGACCATCTCCATGATGGTCCACACCAACGAGATGGAGAAGGAGGAGACCTCAGGCACCTCGTACAGCGACCTCTTCAAGGGCGTCAACCTCCGCCGCACAGAGATTGTCTGCGCCGCCTGGATGGTCCAGTCGTGGTGCGGCGCCTCCCTCATCGGCTACTCGACCTACTTTTACCAGAACGCCGGCCTCGCCACCTCGGCGAGCTTCTCCATGTCCCTCGCCCAGTACGGCATCGGCGCCATTGGCACCATCATCTCCTGGTTCCTCATCACAAAGTTCGGTCGTCGCACCCTCTACTTTAGCGGCGAGTGCATCATGATCGTCTTCCTTCTCGCCATCGCCTGCGCCTCCTTTGCCGGCGAGAACAACGTGCCCTCGCAGTGGGCCATTGGCTCCATGCTCCTCATCTTCGCCTTCACCTACCAGTCCACAGTCGGCCCCGTCTGCTACTCCCTCGTCTCCGAGATGACTTCGACCCGCCTCCGCACAAAGTCCGTCGTCATGGCCCGCAACTGCTACAACATCTCCAACCTCATCACCAACGCCTTCACACCCAACATGCTCAACCCCACTGCCTGGAACTGGGGCGCCAAGACTGCCTTCTTCTGGGCCGGCACCTGCTTCGTCTGCGCCATCTGGACCTACTTCCGCCTCCCCGAGCCCAAGGGCCGCACCTTCGCCGAGCTCGACATTCTCTTTGAGCAGAGGGTCAGCGCCCGCAAGTTTGCCTCGACCGTTGTCGACAGGGTGGATGAGGGTGTCGCGATGGAGAAGGACATGGTCCACGGGCAGACTGCTGTCCAGGTCGAGCACGCCGGTGTTCACACCAAGGAGTAAAGTAGTGTACGGGGCGAGCGAGCGAATTGTGAGCGAACAAGAGCATCGAAGCCTTTGGGTTGTATATCAATATGAATGGAGTTCCACTGTTCTTTGAAGCCTTGCATCGTATCCGCGACGTGAAGCAGCTAACCAGACGAAGCGAGGCACAACCATTGTCGTAAGTCATGTTCAATTCGCCGGCAAACTGCCGCTGTCTTGGTCAGCATAAGCCGCGATGCACAAGGAGCCAGCAACAATGGGATTGCCCAAACTTACGACCCTCGCTCCAAGGACTATGAGTCCCACTTCCTCGCGACAATCAGTCCATTCATGTACAAAACAACCATCGCAGCTCGTCGACGTGCGCTTGCTTGTCTGCGAGCTTCCTCCGCACTACATCCTCTGGGTCCCTAGGTCAGACCCTCGATATAATCCTCTCGGCTTCCAGTGCAAGAAAGACTGGCGGTAACAAATAGTCTTCGAGGAGGAAATACATGGCATTGATGGAAGACAGACAACGCCAAAGCCACACGCTTTTGGAATCCCAAGTGTCTTGCATCATGCTCGAGAGCGAAATGGCATGCCGGGCCCTCCACTGCGCTGCCCGCTCTTCTTCTGCAAAGACTTCCACAAACTCGTCGTACCACATCCGTATTGGTTATATGTTTCGTCCTCGATTGCTTCAATTGAACAGCCAGCTAGCCAGTATGGCACGGAGAGCATTTTAGCAGGCAGGGCGCATATCTACTCGAGGTCGATCAAGCCGGTGATATTCCATTGTCCATTGACCAAAATGTTACCTGCGTGGAAACCAGTCAGTTGTAGTAGGAACGGACGGCCCGCTATGGAGGTCTCGTCGGATACGGTTCGTATGGGTAAACTGCCTCATTAGCAAGAGAGGAAGCTAGAAGCAAGAGAGTAGACTCACGTGGCGACCATCGGAAGTGCCGAGTCCAAACAGATGGGGTGTGCGAATTACGGGGCAGTTCTCTTCCACCAATATATGTATGCGCCCACCTCTATGCTCAGCTTCTCATGTGCGCTTCCGGGATAGCTAGCTTCCGCAACCTTGTGAGGCATGGGACAACGAAAGGTGATCTTTCTGGACGCATTGCCACATTCCACCTCGACCAGTATGCAAACATTGAGCCCCCCCCCTGATCCAGTGCTCCGGCGGGAGAACTGAGCATGTGATTTGGCTATCCAGGGCCAAGTGACTTTTGACAAGCGTCTGGATTGACTCTCTTTGTGCCCAAAGCTCTTGATCAAACAAGTCGTTGGCGTGGCGGCAGGGCGCCAGATTGACAATGTTATTTTCTGCGATGAGAGCCTCCTAATCTCGTAAGAAGAGTATCCCGCTGCAGATCATCGCACCCTTCCAACATGAAGTGTGTGCGCCACAATGTCAACGCGGATGTTCCAGTCAGTTGGGCAACGCCCTGGGTGTACAACCTCAAAGCTGACCCAGGCCCCCAGACTTTACGATACGACGCTACAATACCGATTGAAGAACTGGTCGCGATAAGGCCATTGGTACAATTGCCCGAGATAGTCAGTGCGAGGCAGCCAGGCCTCAAACCGACCAGTTGGATGTGACTAAAGGACGCCACGTCTAAGCGACTTCCACCTCAAGGACACTCTCCACCGCCCTTGGACGTCTCGATATGCTGACAATCTTGAAGCCCCCTGCATCCAACAATGCCCGCCACGACTCCTCGGTCCTCTCCAGCCCACTCGTGCAACTCATCCACGCCGGATCCAACGTCGTCATCTGGTATGTCGCGCCCTGCGCAGGCAGCGCCACCTCGTAGATCAGAAGCCACGAATACCCCGGCGGGATGACACTCTTAATCTGAGCAAGCATGCGCGCCAAATCGGCGTCGGGCCAATCATGCGGCACCGAGTGGAAGAAATAGGCGCGCGCGCCCATCGCGGGCTGGGGCTGGAAGAAGTCGTGGGCCATCTTGCAGATGCGGCTGTCCAGCGTCTCCTTGCTGTGTGCGGTGATGACCTCGGGCAGATCCTGGACGATGAGGCCAACATTGGCGGGGACACCGGGGTGACGATCCTACAAACGTTGCGTGTCCGGGCCCTTGGCGCCGCCGACGTCGACGAAAAGGGGCTTGCTCAAGTCAGCGCCAGCTACGAGCGACTTTGTGGCATAAACGTCGGTCCAGAGCATCTTGTAATGGGTCAGAGCGGCCATGACACCCTGGAATGAGCCCCCCGCTTCGGGGTGGACCTGGACGTAGGTGAAGAAGTCGGCGCCAAACATGCCCCGATTGTTGTCAAAGGAGGGTATGTCGAGTGGCTCTTTGTACTGGTTCTTTCGCAGAAAGCACGCGAGATTGTTTCCACATGGCATCGCATGGTCTAGTCTGTGAGATGGATTGGTTAGCCATGGCATGTTGTATTGCGGCGTGAAGAGTTCACATTGGGAAGCACGCACCCAGCTTTGATAATGTCCCCGACATGTGTCTCCTTGGCTCCCATATGAAGCGAGAACGGCGTTGGCTTCCATGTGTCCACGCCCACCTCCTCTATCAGATGGAGGGCGGCAATGTGTCAAAGCAACCGACGTAGCAGATTGAGCTCGCATGCTGCAGTGGCCCAGCCCAAAAGCTCATCTAGCGTTCTCCGCGAGCCAGGGCTTTGCTTGTTTGGCCCCGTGCATTGAGTCCATATCCCCAAGTCCTACACCATCTGATGAGGCCTGGAGTTTCAAAGGCAACAGCCCAGCCTTGGTCAAAGGGCATCTCGAGCCGCGACAGGAGGCGACGAGCAGCCTCCTTGACGGCGAATCCATCACTGTCCGATTCGAAATCACCTTGCTCGACGGAGTTGAGTTTGTTGACAAGCTCTGAAGTCATGGTACGCTGTTGGGTCTGTGCTTTTAATTTCAAGTTCGTCACTGTCAGTGAGCATCTGATGGCAGATGCAATTTCCGCGGTTGCGCATTGTCACGTTATAAGGGTATTGTGTGTTATACAGAGCCAGTATTCAATCTTCATCTGCCAATCGAATACACCAACATGAATTGGAGGAATTGCCCGCTGAAGCAGGCATCTGTGTCAGGTCTGTGGCGTAGTGGACTGAACTGGTATGGATGCTCTCCGCGCAGCGTACGAGGAGAATAGACTGCGTATCCGTTCCATGCTCATGTTGGCATGGATGGACACAGCTCGAACAATGACCGATGAGACGGTGTGATCGAGGCTAGGATAAGGATCAAACCCTGACTGCATGTGACAGCTGCAGGATGCGCGTAACGACCAGGCGATGGGCAACCAACAATGTCTAACGTGATGTGGAGTGAGTCAGGGCTATCGGGACTTTGACTTGCGATGACTCAGTCGCCAAAATCAGATCTTCACTTGTAAGCTATACCATATCTCAAGTCTTTGAATGCGCTGCGCCATCTGTCGTTGTAAGCTAAGGCTTCAACTGTCCACCCCTCAAGGAGAACGATAATACTTATCAGTTACCGGAAGTTGGCCAAAGCTCAAGTTTGAACACCATTGCAATGGTTTTCAGGGCGTATCGGATGTCGGTCACTGTCAAGACACGACAAGAATGTCGACAGCCGGACAAGTGATGCTAACTCAATAACAGAAGGGGGACACGCATGCACACGCACGTCTAGGCAACTGCTGGTGTAGCTGGTGCGTGCTTCATTGCGGCCTGCTTGACGACATTCCTTCATCGCCTTCCCATGCCGAGGAACCGGCAGATCCTCCCCGACCCATGCTTCGAATGCTCTGCCGGCGTGGCGCAGAATATCGCCATTGCCGCTGGCAACGTTCTCGTCGACGTGTTACTCGTCGTGGTCCTCCGTCTTGAGTTTGTCTGCCGCGGACGCCGCGTCTCGGAAAGCCCAATCCCCCTACCCTAGAGCTCCATGTTCGGCACCGAGAGCCAATCATCTTATACCGCGGCCAGCCGCGAGCTTGCCCATCGCGCCCTATGATACGCCCTACGCCGCCACTATCATAGTGGGCTCCATCCAGTCTGCGTACCTTGGACCAGACAATCAATCCATCAGTCGCTGGTCACATGGAGACTCGGACCCAGACGGCATTGTATGGGGACTGGAGTCCTGGAATCCTGGATCCGAGTGCGGAGAAGGCACGCTATTCTCAACGACATAAAACCCCCAGAGCCGAGTCCCGACACCTGTGCATGTAAACAGACCCTCGGTCCTCCACCTCACAATAGATTCACCTCTCACTCAGTCGCTCTCTTTCCCCGATTCCCCCTTCGCACATCCCTCCTCTCGAGCAAACCAAGAATGAAGCTCACCGACTATCTCTTCCAGCGCCTGCACCAGCTTGGTGTCAAGTCCATGCATGGCGTGCCTGGCGACTTCAACCTTACCCTCCTCGACTACGTGCAGCCAAACAACCTCCTCTGGGTCGGCAACGCCAACGAACTCAACGCCGCCTATGCAGCCGACGGCTATGCGCGCCTCACGGGCCTCGGTGCGCTGGTGACGACCTTTGGAGTCGGCGAGCTGTCTGCCATCAACGCCATTGCGGGTGCATATGCCGAGAGAGTGCCCGTGGTGCACATTGTGGGCATCCCTACAAGGGCGCAGATCAACGGGAGGGCCCTGGTTCATCACACCTTTTGCGATGGTGAGTTTGGCAGGTTCAGCGATATGGCAGCGCGGGTCACGGCTGCGCAGACCAGGCTGCACGATGCGCGTGTGGCGTGCGACGAGATTGATCGGGTCATCGCCACCTGCATGAGGGAGTCCAGGCCTGTGTATATCGAAGTTCCCGTTGATATGGTCGGCGCCGAGGTCGACGGGTCTGCACTCAAATCCCCCATCACCGTCCATGACGCAATTCCATCACAGAACGTCGACGCCGCGTTGGAGAAAATCCTGGCCAAGGTCAAGGCGGCGAAAAAGCCCATGATCCTCATCGACGGCGAGACGCGGCCCATGGACATGATCAAAGGAGTCGAAAACATTATGAAGGCCACAAACTGGCCTACCTTTACGACGTGCTTCGGCAAGGGGCTCGTCGACGAAACGGTTGCCAACTTCCACGGTATCAACATGGGCGCCTTTGACCTGCAGGAGAGACAGGAATTTATCAAGGATGTCGACCTGGTCTTCTCGTACGGACCCCACAACAGCTGGACAAACACGCACGCCTACACCAGCATCCCCAACCCCGAAATCACCGTTGCCTTCCAGGACACCAAACTCATCATCGGCGGAGACATCATTCGCGATGTCCCTGTCAAAGTGATAACTGATCGTCTCCTCGAGTCTTTTGCAGCAGAGTCGTTCAACAAGTACGACACCTACCCAACCATCTCGCGCGACTACGCCATCCCATACTCTGATGTGCCCGACAAGGACATCCTCGCGCAAGACCGCCTGTGGCACGTCATGGCCAACTTCCTGCGCCCCAATGACGTGCTCCTTGCCGAGACAGGCACACCCGGCTATGGCGCGCGCGAGATGCCCCTGCCCAAGGGTGTGCGGCTCTTCAACCCAGCAACATGGCTGAGTATCGGGTACATGCTCCCCGCCACGCAAGGCGCGGCGCTCGCTCGTCGTGACCAGAGCGCCTCGGGCGAGGACGCACGCACCATCCTCCTGATCGGCGACGGCAGCTTCCAGATGACAGCGCAAGAGCTGGGAACAATTGTCGCGCACAACCTCGACGTGGTTGTCTTCCTGATCAACAACGCTGGGTACACCATTGAGCGGTGCATCCATGGACGAGAGCAGGCGTATAACGACGTGGCCGACTGGCGCTACCTCGAGGCGCCCAAGTTCTTTGGCGCCAAGGAGGACACTTTCACCGCGCGGGCCAAGACGTATGGCGAGTTGAAGACCATATTGCAGGACAAGAGGATGAGCGACGGTAAGGGGTTGAGAATGGTGGAGATAATGCTGGACAAGGACGATGCACCCAGGGGGCCTTTGGTTGGCCTCATGGCGAAGCAAAAGGGCAATTAGGCATTTGGTTAGTCTCCGAATACTTCACCAAAGAGCAAAAAAACTGGCCACCGGATGCTACGCTGCTCTCGTGAATCAGTTCACATGCTTGCCTCGATCCCAATAACCCTTACGCTCTGCATTTTGAAGTGTGCGAATCCAACAATCGCCGAAGATCGCCAGCAACCATTCTGTTCACCGAAATTGATACAGTCTGTCAGTCAGTCTTCTAAATCTGTCCAGCTAAAGACCCACGAGCAGGATGGGAGGTGGACACTCCATGGTGCAAAGGAAAGGAGAAGGTCTGCACAAAGGGCGGCAGCGAGATACGAAGCGATACGGTACACAAGAGTGTGGACATTGAGTGCCTGACGTGCGTTTGGATGCTTTGATCGGAAAAGGGTGGCAAGGGCTGTTGTTGGTGATATTTACATTGGGTGCGCTTTATAGCGAGGACTTGGGTAATATGGTTTCATGATGAACGCAATCTACTGCTCCGTAGAAGAAAACTAGAACGCCAAGCTATCAAGCTATAGGTATCACTCCAAATAGGTATCACCTGAGCCCTCTCACAAAACCCCTGGTATTCATTCGCAGTCCGCACGCCATCGCGTCAAGCAGACCCCACCGCCAAGCTGCCAAAGTCAACAACCGTGTACAACTGCCGCAGGACCTCCATCTTCTCACGCATATACGCCCTCTCCTCGGGCGAGATGCGCTCAAACCGAAACAGAAACCCGACGACAAAGATGAAATCCTCCATCCGACTCTTGACATCCTCCTGACTCGCCGTGTTTCCCGGCGGAATGGCGAGCACGTCCGCGACCGTCGTGGTGATCTCAAACAGCTTCTGGAGAATCCCGCTGCCGTGCCGGCCGACACTGGCAAAAGTCGACAGCTTGGACACGAGCGACCGCAGCTGGGACGACAGGCGGTGGGCGGGGAAGTGCAGGGACAGACCCTGGTGGCTCGTGTCCGGCGGCGCGCTGCGCAGCAGACCCTGCGACAGGGCCAGCTGCCAGATGAGCGTACGCAGCCACAGGCGCGTCACGAAGATGTCGGCGTGCTGCAGCTCCGTCAGGCCCCCCTGCCCTCGCATCCGCAGTTCCTCTTCGGCTTGTGCGGTCTCGACCTCGTGCGCGTCGAGCTGGGCTTGTTTCCTCTCCACCCACTCGGCGGTCATGGGCTCGACATCGGTATGCCAGGACTCCTGCTGCGCCGTCCAGTGCTGCAGGAAGGAATCATCCATGGCCGCGAAGAGGGTCATGAGCCGCTTGAAGCCGCAGTCCACGTGGGCGGGTATGCTCCCGTCATCGAGCGAGAGACCCGTGCTGAGCGGCGGGAGGATGCTGGGGCACCCGCTCATGATGGTGACGAACTTTTCGTGGATGAAGCATTCCCAGTACAGCCGTTGGCGGCGGGCGAGCTCGTGGTTGGGGAGATCCTTGATACGGGAGATCTTCATGGTTTGCATGAGGGCGATGGCCTCACGCAGGATGGCAAAGCTGCGCTCGAACAGGCGAAAGGCCATCATGCTGATCTCCATGAATATGCATGTCATGACGCGCTTGACGGTGACGGGCAGCTCGGCAATGTTGGTCATGCCGTGGCGTCGCGTGACGCCGCCCAGGTCGGCCAGCCGATGGGCCGCCAGGCAGCGCTGGATCAGGTCCGTCATCTGCGACGCGACGTCCCCGTTGAGCGTCGTCCATGATATCTGTGTGAGGTTGATTGTGACGGCGGCGAAGCCGTAGACGAGCGCTGCATCCTCGTGGGAGGAGCCCATTGTGTCAATGGCAGCGCGCATCTCATCGGTCGTGATGATGGGGCTGAGTGGGTAGACAGCCGACTCATAGTCCGGGAGGAGACGCTGGAAGAAAGCGGGCGTGTACTCGACGGTTGTCCCGGTGCTGCTTGCCGGTGAAGGCGCGTTGATGATTCCAGCGACCGAGGTCACAGAGGGCGGACTCATTGATGGCGGCTGGTGCTGGTGCGGCTGGTGGTGAGATTGGGCCGGTGCCGGTGCCGGTGCCGGTGCTCGTTGCTGGTAATGAGACTGGGCATGCTGCGAATAGTGATGCCCAGACTGCTGCTGCTGCTGCTGCTGCTGCTGCTGCTGCTGCTGCTGCTGTGGTGTTGCCATCATCACGGGAGGCTGGGTCCCCCCTCGAAGCTGCTCGACCAGCCTATTCCTCACGCCAGGCTTCCTCTTGCCCGTGGGTGGCGAGAACTGGCAGGGCAGGTCGAGATGGGCACATTGTGAGCAGGGCTGACTGCCGCTGCACTTGACCTTGCGGACGCGGCAGCCATCGCAGGCCTTGTTGATGCGGCTCCCCATGGCCGTCCGTCCGCCTGTCCGTCTGGTAACTGACCGGGCTAGTCCTGTGACTCTTGGGCGAGACTCATGTCGGTGACGCGTCGTCCGTGTAGGGGCACGAGTGATGCCATGAGATGCGCTGAGGTGTGTCGTCACTGGTGGCCGGCGATGCTCGGGAAGTGAAGGTGATGGCGATGGTGACGAGTGCTGGGCATTCCGTACTGCTAGGTCACGGGGCTGAAGGGAACGAGTTGAAGCCCTGATTGTGGCTTGATCGCTTGCTAAAATCGGAGTCTTCCCCGCCATGACAGTCGAATTGCCCCCGCAATCTCCCCTTTCGCTCGCAGCACGCTACAGTGCGGTGGCTTACCGTGGGCCTAAAGGCCCCTTGCGGTACAAGTTCACCTTCACCTGCGGTCCCCATCAGTTTTCTACTACATCTGCTAACACATCACAGGCTATTGCGAGCGCCAAGATTATCAGGGGAAAATATATTGTCCTGCAGGTATACCTAGTCGTATGTAGTCATTCTGTGAATGGTATATCCTTTTGAAAACCCTATCCGATCCTATCACATCACCTCATCACACCTCTTCTCCCCAACCATTTCCGCTCGTGTTTTAGACAGTCATGCCTCCAGTGGGGTGGTGGTCGACACCCAAGCCAAAGGCACGCTTAACGGCCTTCCACGACTCGATGAGGGCAATGTAGAGCACGACGCCACCAGCAACAACACCCCACTCCCACGTCAGACCACGGTGTTTGAACACCTCCGTGTTGAAGACGGGAATGTAGATAAGGGGGAAGGTGATGAGGAAGCCAGCAATGACCGACCAGAACAGGAACTTGTTGTGGTAGATGGTCCTGAACACCGACAGGGGGCCGGAATAGCGTTCGTCCATGGCGAAAAGCGAGCGGTGGAAGTGCTTGACCTCCCACGAGGTGACCAGCAAGAGGAAGCTGAGGGTGGCAAAGGTGGTGGCACGAGCCTCGAAGATGAGGTTGCACTGACCGCCGCCGTCCGTGTTGCAGCCAGTGTTGAGGTCCACAAAGCCCTGGCCAGCGTAGGCGACCAACATGAAAACCATGAGACAGACGGAACCCATGCAGGTACCGTACACGAGCTGGTCGCGAACAAGGTCCTTGGTGAAGACACCGGTGCGGAGACTGCGGGGAGGGCGCTGTAGGATGTCAGGCTGGGCCTCTTCCAGACCGAGACCAAGAGCGAGCGGCGATGAGGTGATCAAGTTGGCCCACAAAATCTCCAGCGGGGATAGAGGGAAGACCGAGTTATTGTCACCGTCCTTGAAGGCGAGACCGATCAGGAGGAGGATGACCTGAGCCAAGTTGGACGTGAGAAGATGGAGGAGGAACTTTTGGATGTTGTCAGACAAACGACGTCCCTCCTTGATACCGGTAACGATGGAGGCAAAATTATCGTCGGTGAGGACCATGTCGGAAGCCTCCTTGGCGACATCACTACCACGGTCACCCATGGCGATACCGACATCAGCTTGCTTCAAAGCAGGCGAGTCGTTGACACCGTCACCAGTCATAATACAAAAGGCCTTGCGTCGATGCAGAGCCTGGATCATGCGGACCTTTGTCAGGGGGCTGCAACGAGCCAGGACAACAGGGAGGTATTCTATCTGATCAATCTGGTCGTCCGACAGGGCGCCAAAGTCGGCAGCGGCCATGACGGCGTTGGGAGGCAAATCCATACCCTTCTTAATGAGACCGATTTCGTAAGCGATGGATGTAGCCGTCTTGATGTGGTCACCAGTCACCATGTGCACAGTGATACCGGCACCGTGGCAGGCTTCGATAGCACCGGCGGTTTCCTGACGGGGAGGGTCATAGAGACCGGCCAGACCAAGGAACTTGAGATTCTTCTCGACCTTGGCTCGGTCGTTAACATCTTCCGCTTGGGAATCACTCATGGACTTGGACGCGATACAGAGGACGCGGAGACCCTGCTCGGCAAGTGAATCAGCCTTGGCGAGGATATCGCCCTTGAACTTCTCATCCTCGTCGAGGTACGTCAGCATAACCTCGACAGCACCCTTGGTGTAGGCGGTACGAGTGCCCTCGATCTTATTGCCGTAGACAACCGACATGCACTTGATGGAAGAGTCGAAGGGATGCTCGGCCAAAAGCTCATCACCATTGCTGTGGTTCTTGCCAAAGCGCATAGCAAAGACCTTGAGCGCGATCTCAGTGGGCTCGCCCATGGCCCTCCACTGCGAATCGCTGTCATTGGCGGTGGTGACGCTACTCGAGTCCGTCTCGGGCTCCTTGCGACCATCGGTGACCGTAGAGTTGTTGCACAGGGTCAAGGTGGTCAGGAACTGGCTGAGAACGCTCCCGGCGAGCGGAGCAGACCAGGAGACGGTACCGCTGCCAGGATCGTAGGGGTCGCCAGCGCCGGTGACACTACCCTCGAGGTCATTGCGGAGCCACACCTTTCGGGTGATCATGCGACCTTGAGTGAGGGTACCAGTCTTATCGGAGCAGATGTTGGTGACACCACCAACAGCCTCGAGAGAAGGCATCTGACGAACGATAACATTACCCTTAACCATGGCCTTGGTGGCCACGGCCATGGTAACAGTCAACACAGCGAGCAGAGACTCGGGGATGACAGCGACGCCAACACAGATACCGTACAACAAGACCTCATCTGAGATGTTGAATTTGCTGGCAGAGAAGACGATGATGGCGAGGAGGATGGCCAAGCCAAACAGCAGCAGGGCGAACTTGCTGAGCGTGACCTGGAGGGGAGTGCCCTCCAAACCCATGATTCCGCGGAAAGACGTGTACGCCTTGATGAGAAACTTGGCAAGAGGGGATTTGCCGGTAGTGTCGCGCTTCTCTTGGCGGAGGAGCTCGGCAATCTGGCCGACCTCGGTCTCCATAGCAGTCGCAATGACGATACCAGTGCCACGGCCGCGAGTGACAGAACTACCAGAGTAGACCAGGTTGGTGCGGTCGCCAATGGGCATGTCGGCCTCCTGGAAGACAGCCTCGGGCTTCTTGGACATGGCGATGGATTCGCCAGTGAGGAGCGCCTCGTCCGTGGCGAGGTTGATACCCTGGATCAGACGCAGGTCGGCAGGAATCATGTCACCGGTCGCGAGGGCGACAATGTCGCCCTTGACAAGCGTTTCCGCCTTGACCGTGTCGCTGACTCCATTGCGGATGACCTTGCACTTGGGGGTGGAGAGAGCGTAGAGAGACTGGATGGTCTGCTCAGCGCGATAGTCCTGGACAAGGCCCACAACAATGTTGAGAACGATGACGGCAGCAACGACGGCTCCCTCAATGTAGTCGTCAATGGCAAAGGACAGGACGGTGACGGCAATCAGGACCATTGTCAAAGCATTGGCGACCTGAGCCAGGAAAATCTCCCAGAGGGACGGGCCCTTTGAGGTTTTGATGGTGTTCATGCCATCCCGCTCGAGGCGGGCGGCAGCCTCATCGCTGCTTAGACCATGGTCGAGGTGAGTGTTGAGGTTCTCAGCAACGGTGCTGGCCGGGAGCGTATGGGGCAAGATTGATTTCTCTATTATCGCATGCTGTGGCCCACATATAGGAGGCTGGTCTTCTGGGCTGGCGAGGGCCGTCGAGTCCGCAGAGGAGTGGGTGTGGAGTGCACCATTCGTACTTTTGGCTTCGGTTTCTCCCATCGAAGGGGTTTGGAGGTAAAACTAAGAGGGAAAGTGAAGGGTTTGGAAAGTGGTGCGTTGAGGTCAGGCGAGGTCGAGGTAGTGGTGCTCGACGATGGATAAGGAAGGCTTGCGGGCGAATGTAAATTCGGGCGCGAGGCGTTGAAGAGAGAAAGTGGAAAGAACAAGTGAAAGACACGGGTAGGATTCCGGGCTTTTAATCACGATGGATCGATGAACGGGCAAGCAAGCAACCGAGCGAGGCGAGCGGCCACCATTCGACGAGACGAGTGAGTGCCAAGTGGGCAGCGTGGGAGACCCGGATGTGGTTGATGCTGCCGGAGTACAGGGGTGGGGGGAGGGACGCGAGGCCTTGCCTGTCGTGGAAGATGGGGGAGCAATCACGAGCGGGGCTGTCCTTCCCGTGTACGCGGAGCCAATCGATGCAGATCTCACACACTGTGCAACCCAGTCTGCAGTTGGTGCTTCAGAGCACCAGCCCTGTACTTTAGTCAAGCCAGTGGTGGATTAAGGTGGCTGAGTCCTCCAAGTCACACTGTGCTCTAACCGCATCACTGAACCACTCTTGGCCGGTTGCCTCCGGCCAGTGGGCGATCTGGCTTGGTTACCGCGTATAATATGGTCTGAAACGGAAAGAAGCAAAGCAAGGGAGCGGTATAAGATGCATCCCATCGTCACACAAGTCCTCCGACCGTACGTTCAGGCTTATGTTTGCTTTGCTGTCTAGTCAGACATGGACCTTGCTCACGATGACATCAGTAGACCGGGAAGGAGCGCTAACAGAGGTCTTGGTCTTGGAGTTGGAGGCCTGCGACAATAGGCGGTGCAAGGCCTAGATACTGTGATGATTGGGTGATTGGCCAGGCTATGGTGAAAAGTATGAGCCGACGACTGTGCATTGTTGAGTATCCTTAGCCGTCTGGCCACTGCTGCAGCACGGTGCCGGTCACGGGTTGCTTGATAGTGGTGGAGAGCCTACGGCCATTGCTGATTGGCCGCGAAAGGCTTCACTGCCCGGCGTCGTCATCAACTGATTAGCCTCAATGATTCCATAGCACAGTAAGAGCCAACTTCCACAATTCAAGAAACAGGGAATGTGCCCACTCTGGTGGTGGTGGGCGCATCATAATTATCAAGCATCGCTCTGAACGCAAAACCGGCGGCAACAAAACGTACAAAGGACCAGGTTTTGACGAAATGACCCCTTCTATACTCCGTATGTAAGCTGGAGTCCACCGAGTCCAGATGTCGATTCTCATTTAGCGCGAGAGCTTCCCCTCATCCACAGGGTAAAACGTTAAAGTTTAACCATCCATGAGCAAGAATTCAATTCACTAATGGCATCCTGAGAAGCGAAGAAAGCCAATGACCTTCCCGACTTTCTAAAGGATGGCACCCTGTTACTAGTGTTCCCGGGAGACAGGAAACTGCGGGCAACTTCCGTAGCTGGCTGCATCTGAACACTTTCCCTCGCGCTTGACGACTCACGTGTCCATCCTTCGATACACTGGCACAGTCACTTATTGCCTGTATTTCTAGTGCATCGAATCAGTTTGTTGATGAGGCAAATGCAGTTCGCGGCGTACAATCGTCGAGCAGTATCGTGGTCAATGCGGCGCTTAAGAACAGGCAGGACGTTGCAATTGAATTGATATACGTGTATTGAACCCCTCGTTCCAGGACATGAGGCATGCACGTGCATGGAGCTAAGTTTAAGCATATTTCATCCATTTTAGGAGTGGCATGGTGTTGGTCGGGTTGGCCAATCCTCAGCCGAATAGGCCACACCTCGCGAATTCTGTGCCGCACGGCTTGGGCATCGACTTCTAATCGCTCCCTCTGAAGAATATCAAATGCGACGAGGGAGGTACAGTCCATGCAGCAGGACACGCTTGGCGGAGGAAGATGAACCAAAGACATCGCGAGATATGTGCCGGATGCACATACATCGTGTCGACCTCACTGACTGGGGACTGGAACAGTTAACTATGCAGCATCCCCCGACCGCGCTCGGTCTCCGACAGACATCCGTGATGAAAGCACCGTCGGCGCCGTGAAACGTCTCGCTGTCTTCGGAAAGCCGACGTTGTAAGCCCTGTTCCCGCGTCCGGGAACCGGAGGCCTCACGGATTCACACCGGCAGGGTCTCACAAGAAGGGCCATCTGCAGGGTGGAAGTCATCCGCATTACAGAAGTAGGCACCGGTAGCCCATGGTGCCTCGCATCTGGCTTTAAATAACGTTGCGCGGGATGCGGGGATATATCATTTCGTGTGGACGCACTGTGTGGGCGTGAGCTCAACCCCATGTTCCGAATGCCTCAAAGCGGTAGAACGCGGAGAACGCAGCGCTTGCAAGACCTGGAGGAGGGGGCATGGAGGAGAAGACAGGTCGATTAGACAGGGGATCAGTGCTTTGGCATTCGGACAATGTCCGACATACTGCGACGTGGAATTTGCGGTCTGCGGATACCAAAACAATAGCTGCAGAGCGCCGGCAGCTGAGTTTGAACTCTGGAGTCTTGAACGCAACCTACTTGCTTCGCTACGAGTGCGTTCTTGGTCTAGACCAAACCGCGCAGGGTTTGTAAGCATACGGGGAGAGTCACAGTACATTACGGTTCAACGTGAGATTATTCGAGCTTGGCGGCAAATATTCCACAGAGAACTCTGAGGACCATCCGCATGGATAAACCCTCAAGTTGCCCAGTAGAACAATCCGTGTATATCCTACATGGCACGTGCCCGAGAGTCTGTGACATGGTTGGGGGCGTCATTGTTAACTTGCTGTGGAACTGGTATGGTATGCATCGGATCGCAAGTCTAGCTCAGCACAGGCATCTGTCTTGAAGCATTCCCCTCATGGCTAGGACTGGGTGATGAGTGAAGTCTTGTTTTTATCAAAGTCGCGGGACTACTGCCCAGGCATCAGGTTGTTTCATCATGAGCTCAAACAACGTGGAGTGAATGAAGGCCTTTGGACAACGGAATCGCGCCCAGGCGTTCATGCTGATCCTCTTAACTTGCTAGGCCACCGTGTATCAACAAGGTATCAATATACCGCAACGACGAAGTGCAACATGTCCAGGCTACGTCAATTCGATTTTCAGCACTCGTTATCTCGGAGTATTCCCCATCATACTGTATTCGTACACATGCTTTACAAAACGCAAGACTCTCAGGTGGAAGTCAACTCTCCCATCAAGGTTCAATCTGACAATTAAGGTGGCAGTTCCGCCCTCGAAAACCTCTTGGCCGGTAACTCGTAGACTTTTGGAGGTTCATGTACCTTGTCCGCAAGTTCTGCCGGATAACATCGTTGTCCCAGCTCTCTCGGATAAAGCGAGCCGCTCCATTTTTCGTTCTCAGGGTTCCCCATATAGTCTTGTTGTTGGGCTGAATTCCTTGTATTCCGCCGTCTTCGGAACCAGCACCAAAACAATAACGTCAGCACGGCGAAGACACATGCTATTGCGAACAGCTATGCCGACGTAACCAGCCGCGCTCAGGCCATCTGATGACCCATCCGCCTCTTCGACATCTTCCAATTTTGAATTATTGTCTGTCGATGCTGTCGGATCTGGGATTGCTGTACTCGTGCTCATCGCTGTGGGTATAGGTGTGGTCGTGGTTGTTACATCCACGTCCTCGTCGTCCTCCTCGACCTTTGTGATGTTGAAGGAGCGACTATTTGCTGTCGAAACTGACATGCCGTCCTCGTACAAGCTGAGAAAGAATACATTCGATACATCGAGGTCTTTTCCAGTCCCCACGAACCATTGCCATTCTCGGATATCGACCGTTCTCCCTGATGCCAATGTCAGCACTGATGTTAATTCAACCTTCCGCCTTGACACAAACATACGGGTGATGTTCAAAATCCCCAATCTATTTCCCCGTCGTGAGATTGACTTGCCACATGACGACCGAGGTCGGCGATTCCACTTCGCTCGGTGTCCATTTCACATCGACTTCCTCCCCGAGGGGATACACAAGATTATCGCCGTAGTCGTGCTTCCCGTCGGCCGGTGGCGGATTGATGAATTCCATAATCCTGTGATTGGCCTCCGATGCAGTTAAGAAGTAACACAATGGTCTCTGGCTCGAGATCTAAAGGTGTGGGAGCACAACAGAACTGGGACATCTGTAGATCAATAATGTCTGCTCCAGCGCCCGAAAGCGCCAAGACACCATTGCAGTGCTTTTTGTCGATGGACAACTTTGCAGCCAGTCGATTTGAATATTCTGCCGGCTATTGTGTGTTTTCTATGGTCGGCGGCAACATGCACGTCTTGGGCCGGCGGCTACGTAGCATGTAGGTCGTTTGGCGTTTTCCGCCACAACGTCCAGCATCCACCATCAATCAAGAAATAGATACGGATAGGTTAGGTACAATTGTGCCATGCGAGCTTCTTTCAAGTAAACATGACTTGACTCGATAATCGACGGGCCCAAAAACTATCGTGACTCTTGCGGGCCGCAGTCAAGTTGGCTGCACGACGGGGCCAACCGCCAGACACCACACACACGATGCTCCTAGAAAAGCGGAGACAAGCATTTGACCATGGTCTCATTCTAGCAGGACCCGAGGGGATGTTGCTCAAGCTGACACGGACGCCCATATTTCATCTAGGCCACAGTGTGGCATCACCATTCATGGGGACGGTGAATCTTGAAGTCTGTATTGGTCCCTGTTTCAGCAGGCAATCCCTCTGTGTACTCTGTGTCAGGAGCCGCGACCTTCTATACGCCGGACTCTGCCCAAATTCAGTCGGTCTCGGACGCAGGAGCACATGTCCTCCATCCGCACGGATGTCTGAGAACGACGGGTTTGCCTACCCCAGCAAATTGATGTACGGCTCCGGCCACCTACCCCAGACCATGGGTCGATCTCCCAGCCTGCCACTGACCGGCGCCAGCATCTTGACTTTGCGTCGCTCCTCATCCACGTCCGAGACGTAGACATAGCCCATCACGCCAGCTGCTCGGATGGTCTCGGGCGTGTCCCTGGTCGAGGCATGCATGATGGCCAGCGTCCAGTGCTGCATGACCGAGGAGGGCTGCTCGCGCACCAGTCGGCCGCCATCCTGCAGCTTGTAGATGACCAGACTCCCAAAGTCGACCTGTTGAATCTGCGGGCTCAGTGTGCGCCGAGCATCGCCGAAAAAGTACTCCTTGATCACAGCTTCCCGGTTTCGCTCCATGAGCATATTGCTTCTGGGTCCAGCACCATCGGACTTGTCTAGACTGACAACATGGATCGGCTCGCCCACGCCAGTTTGCTGTGTGCCAAAGCGCTTGGACAGCGCATCGTTCATCTCGGCCGACCCGAGGACGACAATCACATTCACTGAATACGCATTAGTTTACGGTGACGCCGAACCGCATAAGGAAGCATCTGACCTGAGAACTCGTCGACAATGTGGGCCAGGATGTCGTAGCCCTCACCGCCTTTGGCGACCAAATCGATCGAGTCGATAATGACGCCCGATGCTTTGACGTCCGCGTCCTCCTGCATGCGACCACTGGCCGTGTCTGCCAACCGCGCAACAAGCTCACGATAGAACTGTGGTTCATCCTCAGCGTTCCTTTGGCCGTAGTACTGGACAATGGGGAGCTTGACCGGTACACTGCTAGGGCCACTGGTCGGTGTGGAACCCCATCCGTCGGTGGCCTCTGGGTCCATGACTGTTGCGAAGACAGCCGCGCTCAAAGTTCCGGGGAGCGTCAATATGCCCTCCTCGGGGTCACAGTTGACAATCAGTGGCTGGCTGCCCTGCTTCGTCGCATAACTCGCTAGCGTCCGTGTGACAGTCGTCTTGCCCACGTCTGCTGGTCCCGTGATGAGGATGCGCGGGCCATGCTTCCTCTCCCGCGCTGCACTGTCGCGCATTTCGGACAAGCGCGCATGGAGGTTGAGAAGTGCATTTCCCGGGTTGTCCACCAGCGTGGCATACTCGGCGACGGATTCGCTGGCTGTGGCGCCTTCAATGTCTAGCTCGCAACCGTGCCACGTCGTGATCTTGGACTTGATGTTGGCGAACGTGTAAGGCGTTCGTGGCGCGAGCTCGATGCCATCCTTCTCTGCTACGCCATTGCTCAGCTTGATTGTGAGTGTCGTGCCTGATTCGGTCTCGAAGCGGTACTCCCAGGCTGGGCGAAGCGTAATCGTCCGTGCCGACGCTGTTGTCGTCTGCATTCAGTCAGTGAATTGGAAAGCACAATGTGAAGTGATCCATGCCATACCTGTGACGGAATTTGGCCCAGGCCTGGAATCGACATGGCGGCTACATTGGCGTAGGACTGGAGCGCGGTCAAGGCGAAGATGGCCGTCGAGGTCGACTTTGGATTCTGGTCGGAGCTCGAGCTTTTGGGGAACTTGCCACCCCACAGGCCTTGAACCAGCTACCCTAATCCTTCAAATGGCGCCTGGACAGGGTGACGGTTTTCAAACAAGGATCTTCCCGATACCAGAGGAATTTGATTCAACAGGTTGATGATGATGTGATACCCCGACACACACCTGTCAATCTTTGTCATTGTTACGCGAGTGTTCGGCCTCTTCGCCGCCGCCTTACGTAGCACACTCACGTTCTGTGTATCCGGAGATCGCCACAAAAGGTTCACAAAGCTACGGTGGCATTACACCAAGTACGAGGCATTGAGAGCCTGCTCCAGTATATACGTATTGGGTATTCGAACGTAACGCTGCATGTATGCCTCTCACTTCTAAGCTTCACGCCCGAGCTCGGCGAAGATCTCCTTTATGCTCCTGATACCGTCCATGAAGTTGGAGTCAGGCTCAGTCGTAATATTGCCACTGTCGTCCTTCAAGAAGCTCGCATGCGCAAAGTCAATCAGGTTCACGGACCAGGTTGGCGGATAGCCCAGCTCGTCCTCTTCGTCATCCTCGTCTTGGAGCGCGATGCCACTATCAACGCGATTCTCGAGTTTGACGGTTGACGGTTCACCAGCATCCAGGGCCTCGGCGAGTGTGTTGTGCTGCTTGATTGCCGTCCTGAGCGCCTTGCCATCTCCTTCGACAACAATGAGCAGCGACGCTGAGAACATGGTCACACCAATGCGCGACAGGATTGTCTCAATGCGTTCCACCTCGTGCGAGATAGCCCGGCACACTGCCTTTGCCAGCGGCCTGTCGATTCCGGCTCGTTCGTTAAACAGGAACTTGGCAATGTCGTTCACCAGGGTATCGTTGTTGACCAAGGTACGCCCGTATTCTTTATCATACACCATGTACTCCTCTTCGTTCAATTTGGACTCGTCAGTCGACCCACGGAAAGTCTTCATGCCCGCAATGCGAAACCCGTACTTGGCATGGGTCGTAGCGGCGCTCAGCTTGTCCATCTTCAGCTTCTTTTTTTCCGGCGCACCAGGTGCATAGAGAACCTTGCCCAGCTTCAGATCCAAAATGTTGGGGTGCTTGTACCCAACCGAGGAGTTGCCCAGCACAATGGCCTTGTCAGTAGAGATCTTGCCGCCGTTGGTGGGCACCCACTCCTCGGGTATCGTCTCAGACGCTTCTTGCTCTTGCTCTTGCTTGTCTATCAACTTGGCCGCCTGCTCCTTGTCCTTGGCGGCGTCTCCCGTATCGCCCACGACGGCGGCGACGAGTTCGCTGACTGCCAGATCCGCCGAGCCACTGAGGTTGAGACTACCCATGAACTCGGGCATGATGCTCTTCAGGTCGCGCCATTTCGTGGCATCGGGGTTTAGGTCGCGCCAGTCGTCTATCCGCGCATCAATGTCTTCGGGGTTCAGGCCGTCAGCCAGGAACTTATTCTCCAGCTCCTCTTCAACAGCTTCTTCCTCCTTAGCCTTGTCATAGACGGCTTGGTAAAAATCGAGCTCTTGATTCGTGCAAGGCTTGATGAACAGATTGCCATCCGGGTCCTGCATGGTGCCGGCGCTGCAGATCGGTCAGTTTATTAATCTGCTCCATCGATGTTTGTGCAACTCACTGGCCAGCCACAGCGTGCCCGCACGCCTGAAGCTGACTGATGTCGACGGCCGGCTCCATGGTGAAGAATTCTTGTGGCGCGAAGATGGGAACGCTGGGATACGCGTGTTCAGTCGCGGAAGAATGTGCAGGTCAAGCGTCAATAATGTCGGGCAAGCCACAGAGTGCCAGCGCAGTCGCGAATTCTGTGTAGCGAGAAGGTGGGCAAACAAGAGGCGGCAGGAGCAGCAAGGACCCAAAGCTGACGCAAACAATGCAGCGGAACGCTTCGCAAACGGGATTGATGGATCACAGACGGACTGAACAAATGCAAGGGAAATGGGATTTAAGGGTTTAATGATGTTGCGGTCAGGAAGATCATCGCGCATTTCAGTGTTGACCCCACGTTGCGACAGGGAGGGATGGAGGGGCTGACGGGGCGTCTTACGGTCTCTTACCGCCCAAGCTGCAAGGTACTTTCACCAGGTACCCTCCCCCAGAGCAGCATGTGGTGAGCCTCGCTCGTTTGTAGATAAGTTTGACAGAAGCATGCGCTTGTCAGAAGTCTGACCGGATTTTCATTTGGGGAACTTGGCCATGGCGGAGCTACAGAGAATGGCGAAGTCGTCGTCACGCCGAGCCACCTCCAGCTGTTGGCCAATCAGAGTTGGATCGCACAGCGAATCGCCTGCTGGAAGCCCTCCACAGGGGTTTAAATCTCAACCCAAGGCAGACTCCGGTTTCCCGTCCTGCACAGGCAATTCAAATGGCCTTGTTTGTCGTGGCTATGCTACACGGAAGCCGAGATGAGCCTGCACGGACCAACTGCTTGTCTGTCTTTGCCAAGTCTGCACCTTTAGGCTGCACCTTTAGGCAAGTGACGACCGATACACGCGTTCAATGTTGGTACCACATCGTCTGTGAAGCCAATCGCGACATGAAGCGCCACTCAACTTCTGGTACGCCCATGGCGAGACAGGCAGTGGCAAACATGTCGCCAATCTTAGTTGCAGTCATGTGCCTACGCGACATACTAAATTGCCTTCATACACTTCCCGGCGATTCAATCAAGGACATGGCGAGAAGCTGGTGTTCCGATTTACGTCAAGCTCAGCCGTGGTAGAACGACCAAAGGGTTAAGAAGCACATTCATGTCTACTTCGCGTGGCTGAAATCATAAGGCCTCGGCAAAGAAAACTAGCAGGTCGACATGTGGAAGCTCACGAGAACACTACAACTATGACGGTCTGTCAAGCTTTCAACGTGTTCCTTGGAGGGCTCGAGCAGGGGATTCCACAGACGATGCTTAGAGCAACAGATTTGAGCCCCGGGAATTCTGATCTACCCGTAAATGCTAAGGGCATTGAGGTATGTACAGCTATACAGCTGAGATTTCCTGACTGCACAGCCGTCCACCGCACTCGAGCAGCAAGATGGGAGCAAACGATGCAGGAAATCGGCGTGCACAAGCACGCACAAACCTACAAAAACATTTCCGTAAACTATGGGAGCTTTAGAGTCATCTGATCTCATAAAAGGGCCAGAATGCGTGACGAGAGGTGATCTGCCTAAACAGTCGATGCTGTAGCCATTGACGAGATAAGAGTGACTTGATCTTTCTCCTGCATTCACACTTTGCCCTTCAAGCCTTCCAAGGATATCGCAGCACATCTAATCCGCGTTTCAATTCTCTCTCCCACACGCATCTCCACAATGACTGATAGTGACATTGGAACCCCGGTATCTGCTTCGCCTGCGAACGAAGCAGCTGCCCATGAACAACCTGCGTCAGCCTTCAACGTTATCGACCCTCTCGTGGACGATTCGTTCAAGGAGACTAAGACAAAGAAGAGAAAGAAGAGCAAAGGGAAGACCGCAGCAGCTCGAGGGGCCACGGCACTACCACAGAGCAGAGGCACTGGCTTGGAAGGTAGGTTTGTCCGATATTTACTAAACCATCCACCTCCTGACAGTCCGTAGAATATTTTGCCGATCCTCCCATGACGTCTCAAGAGGCGAAGGAAGAGGAAGAAAATATCTACTCAGCGTAAGTCTCGCAGAAGAAACGATTCCGACTTGACCTAATCATCAATAGTGACCTGCCTTTCGAAGAGTAAGCTACATGTAGCCATGGGGGATATGATTTTTTCCAAACTGACGACTGCAGGCGCATTCAATCTTGCATCACACGCTTCCGCACTCGCCGCCGTCTGCAGGCCCCGTACAACCGCTACTTTGACGAATACCTGTTCCTTGGTGGCATCGACTCCAACCCCAACCCTTTCGGCGGCCAGGACCCAAAAGCACTCAAGAGCCTCACACCAGCGGAGCGACGCGAAGCGACCTCGACGGGCTATGTCCACCAGGGCCAAGGCGACCAGAAGTTCTACAACGGCGACGATGAGCACTGGTCTGTGGACTTCGCAGGCGTCGCGGCGGGCTTCTTCTCAAACATGGTGCCCAAGATGACTGGACTGGAGGAGACGTCCCTGAAGCAGGCAGTCACAGTTGTTGACAACTTTCTGCGCTACGTGCTTCAGCACGACGTCTGTCCTGAGTACCAGGAAGACGTCAAGAGGGCCATCCAAGTCTGCGAAGACGCCCTTGTCGAGTGGCAGATGATGGTCCGCTTGCAAGGTGCATTTCCCGGCCTCTTCAATCTCGCTGCGGCAAAAGTGTTTGGCGTTCACGAAGAGAGTGATTGGTATGTGTCCGATTCTTACAAGGAGGATGTCGACCCGACTCTTGTGCTCATGACTTCTCTCGCCTTGCTGGAAAATCCAAAGGACTTAGCAAAAATGCCCCGGCCACATCACAAGGTCATCCGACAGTTTGACTGCACTGTCGAGATTAGCGACATTCAGCGCCTGCTTGAGATTCTTTGCAAGCGTTTCAAAGGGGTCGAGGTGGATGGGTCGCCATTGAGGCTGACCCCTATTGGCAAAATCAGAGTCATCCCTGCCACCATCGAAGACGAGCTGTTCCATCCCAAGGTTAGCAACCCGTTCGCTAAGGGCTTCATGACGCTGTATTTGGACGACGACATTCTGGCGAACATGAAGGTTGGCATTAAGATGGAGATCACGGTCTGTCAGACAGATTCGGACCTCAAGTTCATCAAAGCGATACGCCAGATTGTGCCGTCATTCTACACATTTCTCCCACAGGAGATGATGCGGCAGTTTCGCGAGCCGCGCCTAAATGATCGACCAGCTAGGTCGGTCCATGACATTGTGAATGATGGCAGTGCCGAGTGGGAGGCGTACCAGGAGAAGTTGAAGACACAGCAGCTCGAAGCTGTCGCTGAGAAGTGAGACGACGTTCGTCGACGAGGGTACTGCAATGATTAAGATCGGTTATCCCAGGTCGTTTTCTGACCATTCCTATTATTCGTTCTAAGCTAAACATTATAAAGTCATAAATACAATGCACACCAGTAGCGACAGTTGTTACAGGACTTTGGAGTTCCCAGTGTTCTCGTCAGTTCTTAATTGTCAGTGACGAGTAAATTGAAGGTATTTTCCTCATTGCCACCCAATCCCAACGGTCGCATTTAGTCGTGTGTTTGCACCTTGTTGTCGCCAGCAACAACATCCGCATACGACGGTGGCACGCCATGGTCATCTTGGGATGAGCTGCCTCCCGCCTCAACACCCTGGTGTTGGGGCTGGGGCTGAGCCTTGGGCTGTCCCTGCGTGCCGTAACCAGACTGCTGGGGGCGCTGCGAACCATCGACAACATAGATGATGTGGCGCTGGCCTCCACGGCCACGGTTTTGGTGAGGGAGAGACTCGTAGTCGTAATCGGCCACGTCCTCGTCGGGGTACTTCGCAATGATGTAGATGGCGTGGATCAGGCCAGGGAGGAACCCGAGGATAGACAAGAGGATGTTGATAATAGAGTCTGCGCTGCAGATTCCACGCTTGACCCAGACTGTGACTTGTTAGCAAGTGTTTCGATGTAGACAATGCCGCGCGCGCGTCATATGGGATGACCGGACGCCTTGTGGGGTGCGACTTACCGGGCAGTGGGGGGAAGAGAAAGGCTAGGACGCCGAGGAAGATATCGGTTGAGCACATGGTGGTTTGATAGAAGAGTGTATATAGAGGCCGTCTGAATGTTATTACGGAAGTTGTGAAGGAGATGTAGTTGGTGATAGCTCGAAGGTTGACTTGGAAGACGGGAGCGTGGCGGTGCCCAGGAAGAGATGCGCAGCCTGCCTGCGCGGCGTATGACGCAGCACGCTATCGGTGATTGGAGCCCTGACCGATCCCGAGTCTGGCCTAGTGTCATGGACTCACCGAGGGATGGAGACCGCCTCACCGAGATCAGCATTCCGCTCACCGAGGATTTCTAGATCCGAGAAGTTTGGTTGCGCGACTGGTGACTTTTCTGTACTATTCCCTCCACGCATCCCGCTGTGCGCGCCCATCCTATCATGGACGACCTTCTCAACCTCGAGATTCTCTCGCTTGTCTCCAAGGTTACGTCTGAACTCCAGAATCACGTCGGGGTTGGGGACAAGACACTCGCAGAGTTTCTCATTGCCCAGCGCGTGGACAGCGACAGCAGCGATGGCTTTCGCAGCAAACTCGAAGCAACGGGCGCCGAATTCCCGCCCAGTCTGGTGGACAGCATCGACCGGCTGGTCATGACGATGCATCCCAAGATGAAAGGCAAGAAGGCGCCTGCCCAGGCAGAAGACCACCGCCCTTCGAGGACCATCGAAGAGAAGGAGAAGGTGTTCAGTGGGCTCGCCATGCCGGACAAGAATGGCGCCGATGCTATCGACGATACACTGGCGCTCTTGGAAAGCCTTGAGCCCAAGGCGCAAAGACCAGAAAAGTCCAGGAAACGGAGTCGAAGTCCGGGCGACGACCACAAAGAATCACGACGACGCAGGCGAGATAGATCCCGGTCGCGCGAGAGACGGAAAAGAGACAAGTACCGATCCCGGTCACGCTCACAAGAGCGCGGTGATGAGGACTGGCGGGAAGGTTTCAAGCCCTCGCGCAAAAGTCGCGGCCGTCGGCGAGACGAGGACGAGGACTACAAGGGGCACATCCAGAGGGCGCCGGAACCAGACATCGACGACGAACCACAGTTACACAAGATCTACGAGGGTCACGTCACGGGGGTCAAGGACTTTGGCGCTTTCGTCAACCTGCATCATGTCCGCGGCAAGGTGGACGGGCTTGTCCATGTGTCACGGTTGGTAGCTGGACAGCGCGTGAACCACCCGTCCGATTTGGTCGCTATTGGACAGCACGTCTTTGTCAAAGTGAGCAACATCGAGGGCAAGAGGATAGGATTATCGATGCGCGATGTCGACCAGCAGACAGGGCAGGATCTGGAGCCACAGGCGCGACTGACGACTGGTGCGAACATGGAGGCGATAGGAGGGGCAGGGCGCAACGGACTCGATTCAGGTGCGCCTATGCCGAGGGATGATCTAGGCCCCCCTCAACGGCAGAAGAAGAGAATGACTTCGCCAGAGAGATGGGAAATTCGACAGTTGATCGCCTCGGGAGTGGCGAAAGCGTCCGACTACCCTGATCTCGAGGAGGATTACAATGCGACATTACGAGGTGAAGGCGATCTAGAACTAGAGGAGGATGTTGACATTGAAGTACGAGAAGAGGAGCCGCCGTTCCTGGCAGGCCAGACCAAACAGTCCCTGGAATTGTCCCCCATCCGCGTCGTCAAAGCCCCGGATGGCTCGATGAACCGATCAGCAATGTCGGGAACAGCACTCGCAAAGGAGCGCAAGGAGCTAAAGCAGCAGGAGGCCGATGCGGCCAAGAAGGGGGAGACCAAGGAGAATCTGGCCTCGTCGTGGCATGACCCCATGGCCGACCCTGACAAGCGCAAGTTTGCGTCCGACATGCGCGCGGCAGCCAGAGACGAGGAAGTGCCCGAATGGAAGAAGACCATCAACAAGCCTGGACAGGCACCGACGAAACGGTCGGAAATGAGCATGAAGGAGCAGCGCGAGTCGCTCCCGGTCTTTGCGTTCCGAAATCAGCTTATCAAGGCTGTGGAGGAGAATCAGATCATGGTCGTCGTTGGCGAGACTGGCTCGGGCAAGACAACACAGTTGACACAGTATCTCGCCGAAGCTGGCTTTGCCAATAATGGCATGATTGGCTGCACGCAACCACGACGAGTGGCCGCCAAGTCGGTCGCTGATCGTGTCTCGAAGGAAGTTGGCTGCAAGCTGGGCGAAGAAGTCGGATACACGATTCGCTTTGAGGACTGCACATCGCCTGCTACGAAGATCAAGTACATGACGGACGGTATGCTGCAAAGAGAGATCTTGGTGGACCCGGACATCAAACGATATTCCTGCATCATGCTGGACGAGGCGCACGAGCGTACCATTAGCACGGATGTCCTGTTCGCTCTGTTAAAGAAGGCCATGAAGCGTCGACCCGACTTGAAGGTGATTGTCACCTCTGCGACACTCGATGCGGACAAGTTCTCGGCGTACTTCAACGAATGCCCCATCTTCACGATCCCAGGTCGAACGTACCCCGTGGAGGTGCTCTATTCCAAAGAGCCAGAATCCGACTACCTGGACACCGCACTGGTCACCATCATGCAGATTCATCTGACAGAGCCCAAAGGAGATATTCTACTTTTCCTCACGGGTCAGGAAGAAATCGACACGGCATGCGAGGTGTTACACGAGCGGATGAAAGCGCTGGGACCGAATGTGCCTGATTTGGTGATCCTCCCCGTGTACTCGCAGCTTCCGCCAGAGATGCAAAGTCGCATCTTCGAGCCGGCACCGCCAGGCGCACGCAAAGTTGTCATTGCCACCAACATTGCTGAGACGTCCATCACCATTGACGGCATCTACTACGTCGTAGACCCCGGCTTCGTCAAGCAGAACGCGTACGACCCCAAGCTGGGCATGGACTCGTTGGTGGTCACGCCCATCTCGCAGGCTCAAGCCAACCAGAGAGCTGGTCGTGCCGGACGTACAGGTCCAGGAAAATGCTTCCGCCTGTACACAGAGGCGGCGTACCAGTCTGAGATGCTGCCCACTACGATCCCCGAAATCCAGAGGCAGAACTTGGCATTAACGATTCTCATGCTGAAAGCCATGGGTATCAATGATCTGCTGCACTTTGACTTTATGGATCCCCCACCCATCAACACGATGCTGACAGCATTGGAGGAGTTGTACGCGCTAGGGGCGCTGGACGACGAAGGACTCCTGACGCGCCTAGGACGAAGGATGGCAGATTTTCCCATGGAACCGTCGCTGGCAAAGGTCGTCATCGCAGCTGTCGATCACGGCTGTTCCGACGAGATGCTCACGGTTGTGGCCATGCTCAATTTGCCTACTGTCTTCTACCGACCGAAAGAGAAGCAATCCCAGGCCGACCAGAAGAAATCCAAGTTCCACGATCCGCACGGCGATCACCTGACCCTCCTCAACGTCTACAACGGGTGGAAGAACAGCGGCTTCTCCAACCCGTGGTGCTTTGAGAACTTTATCCAAGCACGCGCCATGCGCTTGGCCAAGGACATTCGAAACCAGCTCGAAGACACCATGAAGCGCCACCGGCACCCCATCGCCTCCTGCGGTCGCAACACGCAAAAGGTACGCCAAGCCCTGTGCGCGGGTTTCTTCCGGAACACTGCGCGCAAGGACCCTCAGGAGGGCTACAAGACGCTCATCGAGGGCACGCCCGTCTACCTGCACCCGAGCTCCGCGCTCTTCGGCAAGCAGGCCGAGTGGGTTGTGTACCACACGCTGGTCCTGACGTCCAAGGAGTACATGCACTATACGACGAGCATCGAGCCCAAGTGGCTCGTGGAGGCGGCGCCCACGTTCTTCAAGGTGGCGCCGACGGACAAGTTGAGCAAGAGGAAGCAGGCCGAGAGGATACAGCCACTGTACAACAAGTTCGCGACGGAGGACGACTGGCGCATCAGTGCGCAGAAGAAGAGTGGCCGGACGGGTGGTGGAGGAACATGGGGTTGAGGACTTGTCGACCAGAGTGGAATGCATCCGCGTATATTGAGCAAATATGTAGCCTATTTATTATCATTATACAGTAGGAACATGGACCATCTACGAACACTTCGTAGTTTCTTGCCGCGCACCCTTTCTCATGCGAAATGCGCAGCGTTGATCCTCACGATGACAAACCGGGAATCAACCTCGAACTCGTGCAAATTCATTGCCGCTTCAGACAGTCTACGTTAGCAAACTCATCTCCTACCATTATTAGCAATGCTGGCCTTTGTCTCCCTGTTATTGATGTGACACAAATTGAGTTCGTGTCAGCTTCGCCACTTGCGGAGAACGATCTACAGCAATGCTGACATGCGCATCCCCTTCCTTTCTCCCCAACTCACCGTCGCGCCTCTTTGACTAAAATCACCATGTCCGATGATCGCGCCCAAACGCTCGAGGTCAGCCTTACGTGGCCCCTCCGACCTATACTGACCTCCCTCAACGGCGACAACTCGTGGCTCATTAGCTTCCCCCGCCCTGAACAGGACGGCCGCGCCAAGTACTTCTACCACGTCGCTTTCGAGCCCTGGCTGACGGGGCCAACGACAAAGATTTCATCATGGCTGGTGCACATCTCGTTAAAGACTAAGGCGGCCATGGGGCACGGCGATGCTGTCCAGGAAGCGGCGGGCGCCATCGAGCAAGTAGCGGCGACCGTGGCCAAAGAGCACAACGGTGTTATCCGAGTCCGCAGTGAAACCCATGAAGACGGATACAACGGAGCAGTGGATGCCATCTTCCTCTTTCTCGACGAAGTCGATCATTGCCATCGCCCAACGCTCGAGACCTTTGACAAGCGCGTCCCCTTCATCGGGTCCAAGGAGGTTGTCGCCAAGGTCTCCCCGTGGCAGCACTTTGAAAGCATCACGACGTTGACAGAACTCGATGCGTCCCTAGACACGTGGCAGGGCGACAATGTGCGCCCATCTCCATTCCCGGAGTGGCTGACGGCATTTAAACTACCGGGGGAGAGCTTCCTAAACTTCGTCGGCGTCTTTGTCTGGACACACACCACGGCCTCTGGCGAGGTCATCCATGAATCGATCCTAGATTCCCCACATGGTACCGAGTCCCTGTATCAAGACGGCTCCCCGATCAACGCTTTTCTGGCCTCAAAGCCCCCGACGAGGCAACTCGCCCTCCTCCACGGACTTAAGGAGTCGTTCACCACCCGATTCTGGCGCACGACACACGGTGCTGAGGCTGGACTGAGGATGTACCGCAAGACGGATAGCAAGTACTGGATCATGTCCCATGAGGCCGAACTTGGCTATAAAGGCGTGGTTCTACGGGCGACGACGTTTGACACGGCACGGACGCTTGACTGGGCACTCGAGCGCGAGGGAGGGAAAGATGTGGATTTCAAGGAGGTTGGGAACGGTAATTCGTTTGTCATGATGTAGGTAGGTTACGTGGAGATTTGAGCGTGCAGCGATATGTTTGGTGTTTTTTTTTTTTTTGGCTTGTGTATTGAATGGGTTTGGCATATCCGGATGTTAGCAAAGGACGCTTCTTCCTCATGATCTTATGCGCCTCGTATCCTAATCAATGTCCAGCGGGCCAGTTGCGGTTGAAGGGTACGGCAGCCCCATTCATTGTCTTTGCCATCTCCTTGTCCGACAGAAAGACACAGAAATTGGCCACGTCCTCCAACGGAACATCGTTTACGCCGTACTCAAAACCACCCATGTGTTTGTTAATCAGCGCGATGCCTTCCTTGTCGAAGCCGTGAGCCATCGAGTCCTGGATGTTGGTGTGCGCCAACCCTCCCAACTGCACCATGGTACACGTTATGCCCTTGTCTAGATAGTACGCTGCCGTGTTCCGCGTCAAAGCAAGCACACCGTGCTTGGACACTGTATAAGCCAGACCTCCATCGGTGCCACAGACGGAGGCGTTGGACCCGAGGTTGATGATGGAACCGCCCGGGGGCGATTGCGCCAGCATCTGGTGGATGGCCACTTTGCTGCAGATGAACGCCCCCGTAATGTTCACACCCAGGACTCGATCCCATAGTTCCAGCGAGCATGTACCGGCCGATTCAAACTTGTCGAGGATGGCAGCATTATTGATGAGCAAATCCAAACGGCCAAACTGGGCGACGATCGCCTGGACGAATGCCTCCATCTCTGGAAGGGAGGAAACATCGGCGTGTTGCGCAATGAACTTTCCGGGGTACTTTGTGCTCCAGAGGTCCGAGGTCTCTGCCAAGCGCTCCTTGTTCACGTCGCAAATGGCGACGTTGGCACCTTTCTCGAGAAATGTGGTTGCGATCACTCGGCCCAAACCACCGGCTGCGCCAGTGATGAGAACGGAAAGAGGGCTGCTGGATTCAGGCATTGCGAAGTGAGTAGATGAAATTAGTGAAATGAAAGAAAACACTGTTCTTGGTCGACATTTGACAACATTCTTCCCCTTTATAAGATACGAGATCGGTCCTTGGGAATTATGGGCACGGCATCGAGCAGCTCTTGACGCTAATGCACGTCTCGTGTGTCGTATAGGTATCATCTAGACGGCCCCTAGTTCTTCGCAGTCAGCAAGATAAATGAAATATGCCACTTGCTTGGATCTGTTGATCACACGTGGACTTAGTTTCGACAACTTAGCCATTGAGAGGAGCAAATGCGCATAAGATGCCGTGCCAAAAGTCAGTCCGCATACTGGAGCTAACCTCGGCTGAGTATACATTTCTACGCAACGACAAGTCAAGCTGTGCCGAGCCTGGCACATCTCCACATTCGTACCTCGAGTTCGTCTCAAAGCCCACCAATGCTCGGAAGTACAAATTGACCTTCATTGGGAAGTTCAAAAGGTCACAAGGATTTCAGCCATTTTCTGAGGCGCGCAGCCCCAATCACTCGGCTTGTAGGGGCTATTGTCATAACTTGATGATATCACTTGCGTACATCAGTAAATGGCGCCAAAGTGGTCGAAATGGCGAATTTTGGATCAACAGATCATACAGCGGTAAAGAAAGGTTCAACAGCGCGTGTCTCGTTGTTTTATCGAATCTAGCAGTGAAGATGCTTGCTAAGAAACGCCGGGGTACAAAGTCATTACCGAGACTGACTATGTGGTGAACCGCTACGTATGGAAATGCGTTTATGAATATTAGGTCATGGTCTGATCCTTCACGACTTTCTGCGATGATTGTTCGCCAATTCTTCAGAGACATCGTGTTTCGGGCAAATACTTTCTAAGACCTTTCTTTGACTTCTGCGACTGCAGGGTAATCAAGCCCCACCAGATCCAGGATGACGTCGCTTGTTGATTAACGTTTCAGCATTTCAAATTCATGTCACATGTCAACATCATTGCTCACTCATCTCTACAACAACTTGCATCGTATTCCCATCCATCAATACGTCCCCAACCTCACACACAACCATGGCAGCCCTGACCAACCTTTCCAGCAATGTCGACCCTGACCCGGGGCCGGCCGCCCCCGCGTTCATCCCCCTCGAATGCAATCCAGAGCTCATGACTGATCTGATCCATCAGCTCGGCGCCTCCAAGAAACTCGAGATTCAGCAAATCTGGTCCCTCGAGCCGTCAGAGATGGACTTTTACGCCAGGCCCGCACATGCTCTCATGCTCGTCTTCCCTGTCACGGCCACCTATGAGACCGCCCGGATGGCAGAGGACACAAAGACGGAGTACAGCGGCAAGGGCCCTCAAGAGCCCGTCATGTGGTTCAAGCAGACGATCAAGAATGCTTGCGGATTCATGGCGCTTCTTCACGCCGTGGCCAATGTACCTTCCAAAGACACTTTGCTAGGTGGGCGAACCATTGCCATCTTACGAATTGCCAGAACAGTACTGACGCTCAGGACCCCCAACAGAGGAAGGATCCACACTGCACAAGATAATCACCGAGTCTACCAATCTAGGCCCCCTGGAGCGGGCGAGGCTGCTGGAGAACTCGAAAGAGCTTGCCGATGCGTACAAGGTAGCTGCATCGGGCGGCGACACGGCGGCACCCGACGCGGAGGATCAGGTCGACCTGCACTATGTCTGCTTCGTCAAGGGTGCTGACGGTCAGCTGTGGGAGCTTGATGGACGCCGCGCGCAGCCCCTGGCGCGTGGCTTGATAGGGAACCAGGAAGACATGCTGGGCGAGAACGCCTTGACTTTGGGGGCCAAGAAGTTCCTGGAGGATGGCAAGGACAACAAGCAGCTGAGCGAGAGCTTTGCAGCAGTGGCCCTGATTGAGCCATAGTGGGCGCATAATTCGTCGCCTTGAATAGGAACTCATCAACACCCCTGGGACTCGATCCCACCCATGGAACTGCGTCACTGCTGTGAAAGACTTGTCTCCTGGACAACAACCGACAGCCCGACACGACGAGCAAAAAGACGTTGGTATCGTGTCGGAGAATTTGTCAGACTACTGCTGGAGCTCATGAGCAACAGTGAGGGTTCAAGATAGCTCAATGCTCATCGGGCTTTCACTCGATCGTGATTTCGTACCGTAGCTAAAACGAATGTCGATATTTTTCATTTCTCTGCCTTCTTATCACTTTCATCTGTCTCACTCCAATCCATTCCCCACCCCTCACGCTATTTGTCTTGAGGCGATGAACTATGGACACTTGTCACGCACACCAAGTTCCCATAGCCGTAAGCAGGATGCCCTTGCCTTTTGTCAGCCCCAGAGGCTTCATCAGGGGCACAGACAACTCACAACAAGCTGGGTTGCAGACTAAAACCTCTTAGTGATCGTCGCAGTGCCAGAGGTCGTAACCACTGTAGCCCTCTTGGCCGCAGTTGATGCCGCTGTGGCCGTAATGGCAGTCGTATTCCGATGGGAGGGCAATACCGCCTACACAGCAGAACTGGCAGGTACCAGCGGCGCCAACCTCGTAGCAGCGGGGAGCAGGGAACTCGTCAAGGATGGGGAACTCGCAAGTGTCGCGCTTGTTCAGGGGCGAGAGAGGTTGACGAGGGGCGGGACTCGCCGCAGCGGAGGCCGTCAGGGCCGCGATGGCTAGGAAGCTTCGGAGGGAGACCATTGTGCGAACTAGTGAAAAGCTAAGATGTGATTGAGTTTGCTCCTGGTGCTTTGTTCTGTTCGTGTTGGTTCTGGTCAAGTGTTGGTCCAAGCGGCAGCCAAGCACGCCCCCTTTATACTTCTTTCCTACGCTATAGCTGCAAACCCCCACAACGAGAGACTGGCTTCCACATCCAGTGACAATTCAATCAGTCGAATCCTTTGGAATCAAGGTAGCTGTCCTAACCAATGATATTCTCTACTCTTTGTCCGCTCAGGTTGTGCAGAGAGGAGCGCGCAGCGTGTATGGACTACATGTATGGACTACACATGTGCATGGGGGCTATCTGTCGTGGGGAGTACGGGCTGTGAATTACCACGTATCACCATAGCAATAAGGTTATTGTATCGCATGTGACTACGATTATGCTTAGCTGAAAAGGTTCTTCTCATTTTGGTCAGCCTGCAGATGATGGGAACAAGGGTTATATCCCTCAGGCCCAGGATGATGGTACCTTGCTGTACTCTCATTCTGCCCTCCCAACGTCATTTTCCTTCCAAGATCTTGTTGAGCGGTCGTAAGTCCTGCAATACTGTGTTTACTGACTATTGGAGAGCGAATGTCTAGTCGAGCATCTCGCGAGGCGAAACTGCTCGAGACTTGGCTACACACAAAATACTCCGTGCAGCTCTCCATTGCTGATTCTCCTCCCCCCGCAACATGTACCTTCAACCAGACTCCTCCTCTCGTAAGAAGTCATCCAGACGATGCAGCAGCTGAGCTGGCACCTTTTTGGACCGTTTTAGGCCGCAGGTGACGGATGTGATGAGGCGTTGCTTGGCAGCATCGGGTAGACCATCAGGGTTCAAGATCGCAGGGTTTCCCGCGCGTTTCCACGAGGCCTCGTTTACTATTCGAGCGAGTGACCGGAATCCTTTCCATAAAGAGCCTGAATCGGGCTGATGGACCGCATCGTTACCCCTGACCTTGCATTAGTCCACCACGACACGCCGATTCTGGACCTTCAGCCTTCCTTGTAGAACCCTCCTCGGTCGGGCTGAGAACCATGAACCAACAGGTTTTCAAGAAGCAAGGGAACGTCTTGTTTCTGTTGATCCATAGACTCGACTGAGTTATAAATATGGCCTCTCGGACCGTACAGCCTCGGGAACCCCAAGCCATACAGCCCCGTCTCTCGCTTCCATTGCACTGGCGCTCCAGGACCAATAGCCAGATTCGCAAACATGTTCAATCGTGTATCTCTCGCTACGTTGGCCTTGGGTCAGGCCTGGCTGTCTGCAGCCCAGGACGATTGCTCGTAAGCAAGAACCTTCCCGTGCAAAGGGACGACTGTTTTGTCAGCATGCCGAGACTAACGTTTGATCTATGCAGGACCAGTGTCACTACCCGCTTGGGCATTGACACCACCGTTGACAGCTTCTCGAGCTTCCTGTCCTCCATGAACGCAGAGTACTCGACATCAGGACACTCGTTCAGTGGCACCCGCGTCCCCTTCTACACCGAAGCCTTTGAGGTGGCCCCAGGCAACACCGTCTCCGCCTACGGTTGGTACGACAGCCATGCGCTGACATCAGCCGGCTTCAACATTGTCACGTCTGTGAGCACCATCACGTCGTGCCCAACGGCGGCACCCTCGTCCACTGCGACATGTGAGCCTCATGACGACCATTGGCACTGCCCTCCCGGCGTCCCTCAACCTACTACTCCTCCCCCCCAGGAAGAGGAATGTGAGCCTCACGGTGACCACTGGCATTGCCCGCCCGGTGTCCCAGAGCCCACCACTCCCCCGGCTGTTCCTACCACCACAGATGCTGAGGAGCCGGGCGAGTGTGAGCCTCACGGTGATCACTGGCACTGCCCACCAGGCGTTCCAGAGCCTACCAGCCCCCCTACCGAAGAGCCAGAGCCAACTTCGACATCGCCTCCTGGCGCCGGAGAGTGCGAGGCTCACGGTGACCACTGGCACTGCCCTCCTGGTGTTGAAGAGCCAGCAAGCCCTCCCGACTCCGATGACGGTGATGACGACGATGATGACGATGACGAGGACGGTGCCGAGAACCCTGGAGAGTGCGAGGCTCACGGTGACCACTGGCACTGCCCCCCTGGTGTTGAAGAGCCAGCAAGCCCTCCCGACTCCGACGACGGTGATAACGACGATAGCGACGATGACGAGGACGGTGCCGAGAACCCTGGCGAGTGTGAAGCCCACGGTGACCACTGGCACTGCCCCCCTGGTGTTGAGGAACCAGCAAACCCTCCCGACTCCGATGGCGGTGGTGATAACGGTGCCGAGAACCCTGGCGAGTGTGAAGCTCACGGTGACCACTGGCACTGCCCCCCTGGTGTTGAAGAACCATCGTCCCCCCCCGGCTCTGATGGCGGTGATGGTGATACCGGCGGTGACGATGGTACTGAAGAGTGTGAGGCTCACGGCGACCACTGGCACTGCCCTCCTGGTGTTGAGGAACCATCATCTCCTCCTGGCACTGACGATGGCGCTGATAATATTTCTGAGGAGTGCGAAGCCCACGGTGACCACTGGCACTGCCCTCCTGGTGTTGAGGAGCCAGTAAACCCTCCTGACTCTGACGAAGGTGGTGATGACAGTGCCGAGAACCCTGGACAATGTGAGGCACACGGTGACCACTGGCACTGTCCTGAGGGCGTCGAGGAGCCCGACTACGCCCCTGGCGAAGAGCCTACCGATGATGGTGAGGAGAATGGTACCGAGTGCGAGGCTCACGGTGACCACTGGCACTGCCCCGAGGGAGTCGAGGAGCCCGACTACGCCCCTGGCGAAGAGCCTACCGATGATGGCGAGGAGGGCGAGACCGAGTGTACTTCTCACGAGGATCACTGGCATTGCCCCATTGGTGTCGAAGAGCCCGACTACCCACCACCGACCGCGTCTCCTAGTGAGACTGGCTTGCCTTCTACTCCAACCTACATCCCCGGAGCCGCGAGTGGCCTGAAAGCATCGGGCTTCGGTATTGGTCTGTTGGCTTTGATGCACGCCATGTTCATCTGAGTTGACGGGATGTCGGTAATTGGAAGCTTGGGCACATAGTATAACTCACCCCTTGCACCTTCGCAGACTCTAAATTTAACTTACTTTAAATGTTCTTCGCACAAGACGAGATACCAGTCTTCCCGATTTTATCTTCGAATAGTGCGAGCGCTGCGTCGCTGGTAAAAACTAGCTAGCCTCAGGAGGGGGCGGAGAAAGAGGCCAAGGTTGCCTTGCTGTTCGTGGACATCTTCCGCAATCATCTGCTAGCATAAACACGTCTCGCGATCTTGACAGTGAAACCCTGTTCATTCTATTCTCTTCCACTCGACATAGCGTTCCTTGCTTGAGAGACCTCCGCAGAGTGCCCTGTCGAACTCCTGCTGTGCCCCCGGCTGTGCCCCCGGTTGACCAGGATTGAGCTTCAGTCTGTAGGGCCACTTCTCGATGACCGTGTGCCTGTCCTTCACGGTGGCTCCTACAAGTGTTTCCAGTTTGGCGAACTCCAGTTCCTTCAAAACGCTGGTGGCACTGTCAGAGATCTACGAAGTATGGTCACCCGCCAAGACGTCCTGTACTTACCGGTCGAAGTAACGGTCATAGGGTCTCACGAAATCAGGTGCGGATACAAGTTTCATCATGAAAGATTCCATGCTGCCGTTTCCGCCAGTTGATGCCGTTGGTGGCTGCTGCATGTACTTGAATAATTGCTTGGTTGACTTGCTTCCTTTGGCCATGCCGGCTACTTCGTCCTCGGGAGTCATTGTTTCGGCAATAATGTTCATAAACAGCGTGATAAGGGTCGCGTTAGGGTTCGCTGCGGGTGTCTGGAGCAGCGGCGTCATGAGCGCGACTGTACGATGCGGCCCAATGTAGCCACAATCTGAGATGTTCGACACCAGGGTGCGTTCACGTCAGCGATGGGCAGCGGCAAGAATACGTTCTTTCAGTTCTCCATACCTCGATCCGATCGAAGGAGTCCAGCTCAACACAGTCTGGCAGCTCGCGGGCATCGACATGCAGAATCCGAAGAGTTGCCTTGACGGCAGACAGACGACGGAGAAATGACCCCAACACGGCACGTACATGGTAGAAGAGCTTCACATGTATGTAGTTGGTCGTAGACCCGCTCGAGGTGGCTTCAACATCATTCAAGAGCCATTCGTTGAGAGGGACGGCACTACCACTCAAAGGCCATGCGTCAGCAGCCTGGAAGAGAGTCCTACAACAGTGTTAGTGTCACATGCCTCCCCACAGACAGGCTGACACTCACGGGTTGGGCTCGACGAAGTCACCACGGGGTGACCCAAACGGTAGCAGGATACCGTCTTCCCAGTACCGACGCTTCGCGACTCGATGGAATTGCGAGTGAAACAGCAAATGCCGATCTCGATAATCTTCCTTGCCAAGGCGCGATTTGCAGTCTGTCTTGTGAGACGTCCAGTGGAATTTTTAACATCTTGGACCGCAGTACTAAGTCATTTGTCTTAGTGGAAGTTCTCGTTTCTTCAAATAGTAAGGAAATGCCTTGTCAACTTACCACGACAAGCTTGCGATTCTTGCAGGTGAAAGGTCCATCTTTCTGAAAAGCCGTGTTTTCAGGAGATCAGGCGGCGCAGATGATATCCATTGGCGCCATCTCTTCGATGTCCGACGTGAGAAGATGTATGTGAAAGAGTTTACCGACCTGATGGAGCCGGTGGATGGTTACTTCAGAAACCAGAACGATTGGACGGCTCTGTGTATGATGGCAAAGTGAGTAGTTAGCGATGCTGAGAGTGATGTGAGGAGGGGGAGGGACTGTCCAGCATGACCACAGCCTTACTCGTTTGTGGTGTATTGCACGTGTGTCTATGCCTACAAACATGCGGCTTGATGGACAACCGTTATACCGATTACCGCAAAACATTTAGGAAATATTATCAGGCGTACCATATCTGTTATTGAGCATACCTACTGGGGTCAAGTACGTATAGCAGATACTATGGCGTAGAGGCTCCCTGCCCTATAGCTGAATTTCGTAGCACTTGTAGGCCACGGCTACTTATATTATCTTTACTACTTCGAGTATCTTAGACGCCGCGAGAAGGCATAGATAGTACAAAAACGTTCTAGGCGAACAACGCACTAGCTAAATAACGCACTAGCTATGGCCGAATAACGCTCTAATGTTCGTATGTTAGCGATAGCCTTGAAAGTTCAAGGCGATACTACGAGGCAGTGGGTATGCGCCTAAACAAGGGCTGCTGTAGCTCGCCACGCCATACTTAGCCCCACTGGGTATGCTCAATAACAGATGGGGTATGCTTGATAATACCCCCGTAACATATATGGCGTGTGGTCCTCCTTTGGCGTCTTAGTGCAGTGTCTCGAATGCATATGTACCACGAAAATGCATGTACCGTACTCACTATTAGCACCACTCCTAACAGGGCTATTGTCTAGCCAGACACACCAGCGCTGGCGACTTTGTCGAGTGAGTACGGTACCTACAAACATGGTAGATGCATCACACTCGTGGAGTGACGTTTGCCTCGGTTTTCAGTTGCTGATGTGGCTTTGTATAACGCAATGTGTACTTTCAAGTCCCACTCATGCTAGAATTGAAGAAGACTGTCGTTGAGAGAGGAACGAAGTCTTGCCGATGAGCACATGCACATCAACCGCGCAAAGCGGTTTGGTGTTCCCAGGCCCCGGTGCGTGCACTCAGCAAGGGGAACTCAACGTTGAGCTCTTTCTCGTCGAAGCGAAGGACGTCCACCTGGTAGGAGTTTTTCCAGATGACGACATGAAGTGCGTCCTTCTCGCTTGAAACACAAAAGCATCCCAATGAGTATTCGGGGGGCAGATGTAATATAGGATGCCCATTCAACGTCACCAGCGTAGGACAACCTCGCCGCTTGATAACATTGAGCCCCTTCGGGATCGTATTCTGTGCTCCAGGTACATCAATGGATCCATGGTCCGTGTATATCGTCCCTGGCGAGGGCCATCTCAACAGCGTGCTGCAGTCAAGATGTGGCAGTTCTACGATGACCTCACCCCTGCGCCAGTCGTACAGCTTAATGTCCCCTTCTCCGAGAACTGCAATCTGGTTGGAGCAAGGTGAAATGATAGCCGCATTGCCAGCTATACGTAGCCTAGTGCATGTGTTTTGTCTTTGAAGTACGGGGTATGGTGCATCCCGTAATTCCAATACATGCACGCTCACTGGTCGACCTCCCCAGGTTACGTGACTGGAGAGATCCGCAGTGACCAGGAAGCCGAGGTCTGGCGAGAATTTCAATGTGGAACTGCGGAAAAAACTTGTATTGTGGTAAGCCTCGTGTGTCAAGACTGGACGAGAGATGTGGTCCCAGTGCCAGACTCGGATGCTCTTCCCGGTGGTGATTGTAGCCAGCCGTGTGCCATAGAAGAACAGCCTACAGCAATCACGCCGCAATTCTGACCTTCTTGGGCTCGGAAAGTCATCTTGTGGGAGCCATCCTGGTTGAAGATGGAAACCTCGCCGTCATCATAGCCTCTTATGATGAGTGACAAATACTCAGAAACCTCTGTACAATGAGGGCGACGGCCTCGCGACGGGCTGTTCGCCAGGCTTGTCACAAGGGTCGAGGGCGATCGAGCAAAAGCCGGGAGTACAGAGAGATTGTAATCATCGGACTCTGTGGCCGTGAGCACGCGCGACTCACGACCGAGCACATGTGGTGCGGACTTTTGTGTCGTAGCACCACGCACCATTCTGTATATCTTCACACCTTTGATAGTAATCGCACCGATGAGACGTGCTTCGGGCAGGACCACAGCTTTCATGCCGCCCAAATCTGGACGTGCAAACAAAGGTACCTCAATTCTCTGAACCCATCCCTTGTTGGAGATTGACGGTTCACGAGTGCGAGCCTCTTGAGGTTTGGGTTCCTGTCACAGACAGCTTCAGGTTACATTCAGGAACCCAACGCTGGACTTGAGGCAAGTTGTCGTTGATCCTCGTCAGGTACATCTCCGGACTTCGGACCCTTGGTTTCTCAACGCTGTACAGATATGCCGATTCGGAGCTTGCATCAGACAAAATGACTCTGGCTGAGATGGGCATGATAGATCCCTCTGTGATCATACGCGTGACCTGTTCAGCGACATCTACCCAGACGTATACAATGGAGCAATTTCTGACATCCCATATTGCTATGCCCATTTTCTTCGAAATGCTTGTCATGGCTGATTTGGAACCCACGTCGAGGGTGCCAAGAACAGCCAGGTACCGCGAGTCCGAGGAGAACTTGATGGAATGGCACATCACCATGGAAAAGTTAAACGATTGTGTCTCTTCGCCATTCACCACGGACCGAAGCGATACGCGTCCTACGTTGGAGGCATAGGCTAGCAGCAGCCCGTTGGGGGAAAAGTCTACACACCCAATCGCCACTTCGGCATTGGCGAACACATAGGACTGCTCCCCAGTGTCCAGAAGAACAATTTTTAGGCTGCCGGCCGCTTCATCCTGCCCGGCCACATTGAGGTATTTGCAGTAGCCTATAGCAAGGAAAGTCGCGCAACGGGACAAGACAAAGCAATTGGGGGTTGCGCTCCTGTGTGGAAGGCGTGCAATAAGGCGACCGGTTTGAGCATTGAATCTGCGGATATAACCACTCATGCTGTACGTGACCAGAATTTTGGCGTCCGAAGAGAGCGCATAATTCCTGACATTATGCGTATAAGGGACAGTAAGCCCGACACAGTCCAAGTCTTCCTGCGCAGCGGGAAGTTGAGACAGCCATCTGGGCTCGCCCTCCTTGAACCGCTGGCGCACAATACTTGATCTGGGCGAGAAGACAAGTGCAGACGAGTATACCTGGAGCGGTGCCTCGTGGATCTGCGTTGCATGCGCCTGTATGAAGCATTTGGTGTCCTCGAGAAAATCCAATAGGTCCTCTTGGCCATTGTCGAGTATCTGACTTAGGTTATGCACAGCATGTGCTACATGACGCGTCGACCCCATGCAGCTCATCGCCTCCAGCCATTGTAGCAGGAACTGTTGAAGAAAACGCAAGACTTCGTGGCAAATCTCACCTGGCACGCCGCCCTTGGCCGTGTGAGACATCCAGTATGAGCAGGCATACATCAAGTCAGGGGCCATTTGCTGCTGCAGTTGCTCGTACTCAATGTCCCTTCTGGAGGAACCAGGATATGACAATTGACAAATATTACGAGTGAGCTTGCGACTCAGTGTAATGCGACACCATTGCGCAATGTAGCGGTGTGTCTCCTTCTCGCTGATGCCGAGTGCATGTCGCTCAATAGTCAGAGGATTGAGCAGAAAGTCGCGGAGCGACAAGTGCAAAAGTCTGATGGGCAGATTCTCACTTCCTTCCACCTTGGTATCCGGCACGCGTAAAACAGAATGGAGAAGATTGAGCATGTCCCAAATAGTCGCAAGATCAATATCAAGTAAGCGATGTAATAAGGTTGCAGAGACCGGTGTCTCTGCGAGTATGATGGTCCCAACGACCATGCGGAAGTTTGAGACACGCTTCTCTCTGTCGAGGACTCCTCTCATGAGACGATCCAGCACGGGCGTGTACGTGCTTGCCAGAGTGCTCCCGCCGCCCGTATCTTTGTAGCTCAGGAACGTTTCCAGCTGCTCTTGGGGTTTGCCCTCCATCAGCTCTCCAATGAAGCGACAGGCAGTGGCTGCGAAAATGAACAGCGGCACAGACATGCTGACCAGCGCCTCCAAGTCTGGCCTGGACGGCCAGTTCTCCGGCAGCTGAAGGGCTTTGATGGTCGTGCCGTTGTAGTCATTGCGAATGCGTTTTGTCTCCGTTTCGATGAATACAGCAATGTCTGCCTTTACCACCGTCTCGGGGATCTCATGCAGCACCAAATCTTGATAAGTGGCCTGCACGCCGTGGAACCCTAGTCGCACAGTAAGCTCAGCCCGGCTGGTAGCGAAAACAAGCAGCCGCGGTGACTTGAGCGTTGACAGCTGTGCAAAGAAGCGGACGAGTACTTTGATGCTTGATGCGTCGTCGCACTCATCCAGAGCGTCCAGTACAACGACATGGTATCGGTCGTGACGGCAAGAGTCTTGTAGTACTGTCCACGGCTCATATATCAGCTTCTGGAATTGCTCTTGTAGAGACTTGTCGGGCAACAATGGATCGGAAGCAAGGGTCTTCCTGAGCAGTGCGGCCAACTCTGGGTCGCCGGCAGCCAGTTGCGACGCAATGGTGGTGATGACTTTGGACGATTTGGCACGATCGCCATCGCCACTCTTGAAGAAGAAGCTGGCACCGAGGTTACCGTCCGAATCAAGGGTTCTGGCGATCGTTCGAGCTACGGTTGACTTGCCTGTACCAGCGATGCCGTGAAGCCAGAACAGGGTGCTCGAGGCGGGATCCTTCGCCCACGCCAATATCGTGTGCTGCAAATCTGTTCGCGTTCCTGGTAGACAAAATGCTTCGTTTTCCTCGGCGTAGGAGTTATATGCGGCTGCGCCAACATGAGGCAGTCTCTCGAAGACTTGATCCCTATCCAAGCCAGCTAGGATGTACGTCTGATCGACCTGGGGAGCATTCGTTATGTTCTGCGCACATCTTGCGAGACCAACAGCAATATCGTCGATACCCTTGCTCCGAGCCGACCAGCCTGCTCGCTTCAACATCCGCTTCCATTTGCCAGAATGAGGAGGCGGAACAAGCCTCTCCCTGGTGGCTTCCAGCAGCGGCAGCGCTTCATCCAGTGCCTCGCGGAGCGGCTTGGAAGCACGGAGCGAGTGGCCCTGCGGCCCGTCAAGGAGGGCTTGCACGCGTTCTGCCGTGTGCTTGAGCCTGTTCACCTCCTCCAGCAGCTTATTCATTTCGACAAAGGCACTTTGCACGCTCTTCCCGTAGTCCATTGCCAGGCCTGCCACCTGCGCGGCGATGGTGACGACCGCCATCACCCCAGCCGCTACCTCCAATCCAGACATTGCAGAGGTCGCTGATGACAAGTTTCGGAACGAGGAGGACAGGTGTTGTGTGCTGGGCTAGATCAAGCGCGCCGTATCACAACAAGAGAAGGAGAGAGTCCTGAAGCATATCGCAATTGGCCACTCGTCGTCGGTTTGGCGACAATCACCTACTTACAGACGGGACGCCCCCCAGCCCAAGCTGGTCAGCCCAGCGGCCAGCCCCCCTCGCTTTGTATGCAAGGCAGACGCGGGCCGCCGCTACCTACTGTACCAACAAGCATGCTACCGGTTCTGCGGCGTAAGTACGCCTGTCTCGGGGCATTTCAGCACCAACACGGTCGCGTAGTGTAGTGTGACTGTGACTCTTTTGAAGTCACGGTCGTTGAACATTGAGCCCAAAATCTTTCATCGTCTGAGTCCTGCTGTTCGCTATCCTCAGCGAGCGGCTACAGCTCAACACCAGTAGCTGGAAGCATACTGTGTGCCAAGGATTGCGCTGCGCCTAGCGAAGCCCTGAGGGATAGAAGTTAGGTGAGTTGCTGTTGATGATCGGGATGCGAATGCGTCGGCCAGAGTCCAGGGGTCCAGAGTGGGAACAACGCCTCGGCAGGTGCCGCGCACGTGATCTGACGTTGCCGTCGCGTTTGGTCATTGCTAAGGTACCTTAGTCGTAGGTAATGACCACGCATCAAGGTCCAGCACCGTCTAGGTACCTGCCTCACATTATTTTTCAAACTTCATCAAACGACGACGGGGTGCCAAGCGACAGGCCGCACTGCTGCACTGCCACTTCTAGACCACTCCCGACGTCCGCCCACCGGGCCACATCGACCTGTTCTCGAAACACCATGGTCTCGCGTTCGAGATTACGCGACCAGCGCCACCGTTGGATATTTTTGCCCTTGATCTCTGAAACAGGAGAGAACCCGGCGCTTCTGCTGCGCTAGTACACCGATAGCAAGTGCCGCGTTGCCGGCCTGTGCCATTCGCCGAGAGGCAGTGCTCGCCCCATCGATCACCTGTCGATCGCAAACTCGCAGCACCAAGATCTCTCAGGGGATGGCTGTTAGGTGCTAACCGCAGCTTTGCGTACGGAACTGGCTGCGTCACCCCAGGAGGAGGCTTTGAAGCTCCAGAAGTTTGAGATAGCCCGCTCAACAAGTGAGCCGGCCGCGTGTGTGGGCATCTAACTAGCTGATCTCTCCCTCTTTGCTGGTGCTTTCTCGTTTGTGCTTCTTCTTCCTCACTTTCTACACATTCCAAACAATCAATCATTACCACACTCTTTCTTTGACAAACTCACGTGCAGCACTATCGTTCCAACTTTCATACATCTCTAATTCTTCTCTCACTACATCAATCTTGGCATCTCTTGGCAGGCTCCAGGGACCCAGCGAATTCGACCTATTGCCAAGCAAACCGACTTACAACTCCAAACTATCTACCACACAACGACCCTTGCCAAGATGAACTTCTCAATTCTCCTCGTGGCTTCATTCGCTGCCATGGCAGCGACTAGGCCTTTGTTCCCTCTCATTGGCGAGAACAGCGGCTTGATTCCTTTCCACCCGACAGTCTCGTCGACAGATATGGAATGAAGTTTGAAACACAGTAAGTTGATTTGGCTATCTCTGCTTTCCTGCCAATTCATCGAAATGTTATGCGTGGAATTTCCAACGTTCGACTGGAAAAGGATGTGTCGTGCTCATGCACTGAGTTCACCCGACAGTGTTTACTATGTTTTATCGCACATTCTCATACTGCTGTGCTTCAGACTAACCGACAAAGATGACAGATGGAGCACTACGGACAGGTGGTTGGTTGCGGGCTGAGGGGAATTATTCCTCCAAATCATTAGGGTCCTGGCGTTTGGGAGTCATGTACATGAAGACTCGAGCCAGGCTTTCAGGGTTGCAGAGGCCAGTGGTTTGAGTCACACTAGACTATTCAAAGCTCAAAATATGAACTGTGCCAGATGGGCTTACTTGCCGTCGCGCTTTTGTCGTTGGTCAATTTGTCTGACATGGTGTTCGCTGGGCTTGGTGATACCATCATTCATTACGCACCCTTAGTCACAGACAGTCAGCGCATTTTGTCGTAACCGCGTTGAGATCGGCATGTGCTCCAGGGATATCTCTCAGTTTATCAAATAGCCAGCAGAAATTCGAAAAGCAGCGTGCCGTGCCATTATCCCGTTGCTAGGGATGACCTATTGCGCACTGTGTCAGTGTCCTACATTCGTGTATACACAGTGCGAATTGAGCTCTTCTCTGCTACTGCTACACTTCCAGTCGTCTCCGGCGCAATCGCAGCCTCACCAACGCCAGAAATTATCGCGATACTGCCAGATCCCGGCTCGACGCGTCCCACCAACGTAGACGGCCGCACCTGTTATTTGTTCGCAACCTTTCGAGCCAGATAGAGATTTGTTTGAAAAGCTGCGGTCCGACGAGATCGCCTTTGTTTAATTCCCAGCGACAGCTCCGACAGACAACAGCCTCGTCGCATTCTTCCCGAGTCCTGACCCAGTCCACGATTGTCCGTCTCGACCGCCACAAGCGCTTTTGCGAGGCATTATGCCTCCCCCAACCGAGCGCCAGTCGAACGGCGACCACGCAAAACCCGTCAAAGTAGGCCCTCACCCAGGCCATATCCGCTCCTCGAACCAGTACACCCCAGATGCCATCATCCGCTCCCTCGTCTCGTCCCGCGAGGACACTCATCGTCTCCAAGGCGTGTCCCTCCTCAATTCTGTACGCACGCATCTGCAGTTGCCCGTGCGCACCTTTGCGACGTCATGCGTCTACTTTCACCGCTTCCGTCTGTCCTTTCGCGACGCCGACTACAGCTACCAGGATGCGGCAATGGCCAGCCTCTTCGTCGCCTGCAAGGTCGAGGACACCATCAAGAAGAGTCGGGAGATCCTCGCCGCGGCGTACAACATCAAGAACCCCGACAAGCCACTCGCGCCGGACGACAAGGTCTTTGAGGGACCGAGCAAGGTCATCATAGGGTTGGAGAGATTGATCCTGGAGACTATCGGGTTCGACTTTCGAACGCGGTACCCCCAGAAACTGCTCGTCAAGACCATCCGCCATGTCCTGGCGCGAGACGATCCCACAGGCCAGCCCTTCTTCGCGACGGCCTACGCCATGAGCATCGACATGTACAAGACCTTTATCCCTATCAAACGCACCACCTTCTCCATGGTCATGGCCATTGTCGAGCTCACCGCGCGCCTCCTGGGCGGAGATCCCGCCACCGTCGAGCGCGCCATTGACTTTGGCCAGTCGAAACGCCAATACTCCCGTCCCGCCATCATGGAAACCATTCTCGACCTCCTCGACCTGTACATCCAGCACCCCAAGTCCACCCGCCTCGGGACACAGTTTGACATACAACTGTTGATGGACATAAAGATCAAACTCAACCGCGATCTGGAAGGCAAGGATATGCCGCGCCACCTGTCACCCTACTGCCCTCGCTGCGAGGCCACGCCGTCGGTGATGAACGGCGAGGACGCGAGCAACGCCTACACGCCCTCGGTCACATCACCCGCCACACCGGCTTCGTCGGGGACGTCGCTCAAACCAAAAGGGCAGGACAGCACCATGCGGTTTGTGTTTGATCCGGAAGCAGCCGGTGCAGAGCGCGACACGGTGAGGACATACTTCACCGAGGAGTTTGAGGAGTACGAGGTCGAGGTTGACGAGCCTATCCCGCCGCCACCGCAACATCCTACGGGACCATCCCATAGAGATGATGGAGGCGGCTATCGTGGGAGAGGACGGAGCAGGGGTCGTGGCAGGGGAGGAGACAGATGGGGTGGCCCATATGATGGCTTTCGAGGCGGCCGGGGGCGAGGTCGAGGGGGGCATAGATAAGAGATGTCGAGTTTTTTGCGATGGATACACACACAGATTCCCGATACATGTTCTGTTCACTGGTTCGATTGTCTATACAACAGTTTATACGAACCTACACACGGACACAAACCCCACCAGGATATCCGGTGATCGCCACCACTCCCATCATGAACTATGCACAAGAAAGGCAGCCACGAACCCCCGGATCACACGCGCCATGTGTCTTCCTCCAATCCTCTAGTAACACCACGAAGAAAAGAAAAAAGTATAGGCCTCGAAGTAGGAACAGGCGCGTGTCTTCTTATCCAATGACGGACATCATCCACTTCTTTTCACAGACATGATAAAAAACGATTAAGAGCAACCGCAGCGTACGCATCCAGCTAAGAATATGATGTATCCCAAGATAGACAAGTCGCAACTGTGGTAAGAGAAAGGTGACCGACCAGACAATGCACGGGTCATCGTCAAAGCCATGCTAAACAAAAAAGGGAAAAAAGGGAACGCAGGGAGAGTACGGAGCCAGATGAGCGCGATTTCGGTAGTTTGTTCGGCGAATGCTGCAACTCAAAAGGTCAGATCCATCCGAAGCAGAGGGGTCCGCTCGCGGACCCTCCCTCAGGGTATCGAAGTGTAGGCAAGAAAGAATGGTGCAGAGGTTGGCTTCGAGAAGGGGGAAGGCCGGTCAACTTCTAGTTCCAGCCGAGCGAGTTTTCCGTGGCGACGGGCGCCGAGATGTTGGCGGTGCGCGCAGAAGGACCACTACCGTGGCTGTCACGTTCGCGTTGGCCAGCGGCGCCGTAGTGAGACATATCCTGGCTCATGAGAGCACCACCCATCATAGCAGGGCTGCCATTGCGGGTGTACTGCATGTCAGAGGAGGCGTCACTGCCAGTGACAGAACTCGTACGGCGGTGACCTTGACGCTTGCGCTTGTAACGGCGGGCAACAATGAACATGGCTCCACCGTACAGGGCCGCAAGACCAAAAGCACCAACAGCGATACCGGCAGTGGTAGCCTGATCCTTGGAAGACCCGGTGCTCGTGTTGTTGTCACCGGAGTCGATGGTGTTGTTGTTGCTGTCGTCGTCGTCCGAGTTCGAGCCCGTTTGCTGGGTCTGGCTGTCTTCGTCGTCATCCCCGGTCATGTTACCGAAGAAGTCGATGCGGGGCTCAATGTCGGCTGTCAGCTCATTAACCACGACCTTGTCGGTGTTGTACACAAGCGAGTTGGGATCGTCAATGTCCATCCTGAGCTGGTCGAGAAGAGATTCAGGGTAATAGACCTTGGCAAGGGTGGTGACGAATCCCCACTTGTCACGCGTGTCGTACGGCACCAGCATAGACACGTAGACCTTATCCGACTTGACCTTGCCAGCTGTCGACAGAGCCGAGGGAAGCAGTTGGAAAATCTGCGCCGCGGCAACCGTGTTCTTGGCAACGTGGTTGTAGTTGAGCGGGTACTTGAAACCAATGTTGATGAGAACGGTGCCATCGGGAGCCTCCTCGACAGGATTGTTGGGAAGAATCTTCTTGGGAATGTTGTTGGGCAAGGTCTTTGTAGATGTGCCCGTGGGCTCCTCGGTTGGCCGAGTGTAGATGAAGGTAGTAGGATCGGCTACAATTGTCGTGGGGAGCCAGTCGTTGGTGTTGGTGAAAGTCGCCGTAGGCTGGATGCTGGTAACAGGATCCTTGACCTCCGTAGCCGTTGGTATCACCGAAGCCGTGGGTTCCTCTTCAACGACAGACGTCGTTGGCTTCTCCGTAGGCTGCACGGGCTCCAAAGACGCAGGTGTCGACGCGGGCGTTTCCTCATCGACATCAGTGGTGGGGACAAGGGTAGGCAGCGATGAGCCAGGTGCAGAAGGCGGTAGCTCGACGGTCGTCTGCGTAGCATTGCCGATTGGGGGAGGCTCCAGAGTGGACTCGTCAGGTATGTTGGTGGGCTCAGCAGAAGGTTCAGCAGTGGGCTCATCAGTAGAAATATCGGTGGGAACATCCGTCGAAGGTGGCAGATCTGTGACCGTGCCGTTGCCAGGGAGGTCTGTTGGGACGGTCGGCTCACCTGATGCGGTACTGGTGGTACCATCACCAGGCACAGGCAAAGTGACATCAGTAGGGACGAGAGTACCTGTCGTGGTAGCATTAGGCTCTTCCGAAACCGAAGCAGAATCAGTGGCCACCGAATCAGTTGCGGTAGGCTCAGGTGGGAACAGTGTCAGCGAAGGCAGGATCTCGCTAACGACATCGTCACCGGTAGAGGACGGCTGGCTGACAGTGTCGATCTCGCTGACACTGGGTGCAGATGTAGTAGGCTCAGGTGGGAACAATGTCAGCGAAGGCAGGATCTCGCTAACGACGTCGTCACCGGTAGAGGACGGCTGGCTGACAGTGTCGATCTCGCTGACAACGGGCGCAGATGTAGTGGGCTCAGGGGGGAACAGTGTCAGCGAAGGCAGGATCTCGCTAACGACGTCGTCACCGGTAGAGGACGGTTGGCTGACATTGTCGGTCTCGCTGACAACGGGCGCGGAAGATGTGGATGAGCCAGGACCGACAATATCGCTGATCAGAGTCTCAACGGGGTCCAGGAGACCGTCCTGGGTCGTCGCGGGAAGCTGAGTGGGGACCTCCGTTGCCTCCGAGATTTCATCGCCCCCTGGCTGAGTGGGCTCGGTAGCATTGGTACTCGGGTCAACGGTAGTGGAAGAATCGCCAGGTCCCGCAATGTCGCTGATCAACGTCTCGACGGGATCAAGCAGGCCGCCCTGGGTGGAAGAGGGGACCTCAGTCACCTCGTCCTCATCGCCAGTTGCTGTCGCAGTCGCAGTTGCAGTGGGCTCAGCTGAAGCGGTTCCGGAAGACTCTTCTGACTCGGTGGCGCTGGACTGCGTGGTCGACTCGTCGCCAAGAATGGGGTCGAGGATAGGGTCGAGAAGGCCGTCCGTGGTAGACGTGGGTTCCGCTGTCTTCTCACTCTCGGACTCTTCCTTGGTGGAATCAGAGTTGTCAGCAGTCTTCGTCACGCTGGTTTTGTCGTCCGACGTTGTCTCATCCGCCACGTCTGAGGTTGTCTTGGCCACAGTGGGACTGCGGGTGGGTGTCGATGATGTGGTCTCGTCGCCAATGAGCCCCGGGAGGTTGATGATACCAGTTGGTCCGATCAGGATGCCATCATCTTCGTTATCGGTCTGAGTCGCGTCCTCGGTGGCCGTCGAGTCGCCATCACTTAGGCTAGGGTCCAAGATGGGGTCGAGGAGGCCGCCGCGAGTTGTGGTAGGCTCAGCGCTGCTGGTGACATTGTCGAATTGGCGCTGGACCTGACGCGGAAAATAGATACGAGGCTTCTCGGCGGAAACTCCCGACAAACTGAGGACAAGGGCCGTAGCCAGTGCCCAGGATTTCGTCTGCATTTTGTAGTAGTTATGTATAAGCGAGTGTCGTTGACGCTTTGCGCGTTGTACTGCCCTTGTCAGCGAGCATACTCAAGCAAGTAGACAAGCTCTCTTACTATATGTTCAATTTGTAGAACGAATGTATGTAGACCTGAGGTCTTGTAACGAATGTTGTCTTGTGACAATACGTCAGCAACGACTTTCACAAGCGCTGTGGGCGCAGCTTCGACTTACTTGCACGATATGTACGGGATGAGTGAAAAGAGCGACTTGACGAAATTCGTCGAGGGGGAAAAGCAATCACACCGTCGGGCAAATCGTCAGAGCAATGAACAAGTCGGAATCGTTGTCGTGGGTGAGCGAGGCGTTGATCGGTCGAATGAGACGGGCCTCGATTTCATCCAATCGTGTCAATGGGAAACACTCGAAAACCAGTCGATGATCCGGGGCATAAGACAATCGCACGCACGGTGGCGCTGGTTGAAAGTGAGGGAAACGACGTCGCCTGGAGGAGGGAGCTTGTCTTGTCAGTCGGGTTGCAGCGAGCGAAGGAAGGTGAGCGAAGGACGTCGGCAGTGGGAGGGACCAGAAGAGGATGGATTAGGAGGATGCGTGCGTGAGGGCGTGCGCTGCTCTCCTACTGGGCTCGACCGGGGGCGCGGACAGGGTGTGACAAACAGGTGGACACTCCTTTGACTCCTTGGGCACCCTGACTTTGGAGAGGACGAGGGAGCAGGATGCGCAGGGGTACATCGCGAGGCCAGTAGCTACCTGGGGTATTTACTTACACTCGGTTGATGGGGTTGCAAAGATTTGAAGGGCACCGCTGCGCAAAGGCGTGAGATGGCAGCAGTGCAACGGCAGTAGGTGGTGGCGAACCGTGGTTGAAAAGAGCGACAGAGGCCTCTCAAAGAGCGCCAGCGAAAGTGAGGGCCGAAATGCAGAGAAGAATGCGTACAGGAGGCTGTCGGAAACAGAGAGACAAGGGGGTGTACGTGAAGGGGGCCGCAAGGGGCAGGTGAAAGTCGAGTCGAGATGTGAGGCCTCATAAACCAGGCAGATCTCCTGCAGTTATTCTTAGCTTGCAGCTCTCACCACCGCACTAGCAGTCCCCACCATGGACACCTGTCTGTGTCAGGTTCAGCATCTTCAGTGAAAAGAGCGAGCTGTGGCTTGACAGTATTGGCAATGTTCAAAAAATATTACGATTATGTACTACCAGTCTCGTTTCGTCCCACAACTGCCCATAGTTGGAACGCTACAAGCTCAGACTCTGTACCGCGACGGTGGAGATTTGAGTTGGGCTGGCGGCGGTTGCGAGTTGTGACACAGCGACTGGAGTGCCCACTGACGCGTTGCAACACGACAGACATGCGTAAACGTGTTCTACAGTAGCGCTCCCTACCTGCTGAAGAATGAAGGGCACGCGTCAGCAAGAGACATTTGGGTGCGCATCCGGTTCTATGAAGTACTCTTGTTCCCTTCTCAGTAACATCACTTCTTGCTGCCTCTTCAAGTCTCGATATGATCAATTCATACCGGGCACATCCTATCAATATTACCTTATCACCTCCTACCAGGCTGTCGGCCTGCTGTTGTACAAGTGCGCGCAGCTGACGGTGAAAACGAAATTGAACGGCCCCTGGCTGGAAATTACTTCGGCGGGTCCAGGTCCATCATGGCGTGTGGGGATGCGAAGTGCGTAGCGGCACTTCAATTCAGGAACGACGGTAAAGAAATACTTCTATCCCCCAGTAGCCCACAGCGTGAGTCAAGTACCCCTTAAATACAGCCCCTTCTGGCTTCCATGCGGCACCGGGACCGCCGTATCAGGGGAAATGCAGCAAGCAGAGCAGATAATTGGCTGGCTGGTCGCAGTCCGTTCCACCAAGTGACTGGTCCGACCTTAGCGCCCGATTGTAATGAGGGGAGAGTTAGACGACAAGCCACAGAGGTGGTCTTTTGATGATTTGCGTCGACAATCCGGTCAGGTTGTCAGAAGAGAGCCTATATGTAGAGAGCTGTTGTGGGCCAGAAAGGGACGATCTGCTGGGAGTCTGCCTATGTCAAGTTACCAATTGCCGTCCAGTGTTCCGCAGAGACCATATTCGGTAAGCCATCACTCGGGGAAATCGCCGAATCATGTACGTAGCTCTGGTAATGGTTGCTTGATCTGACGCTCATTTCCGCCCACCGTTTCCTTACCAACACTATATGTACGTATGTACATGTAGATACGACAATCAACGACCGCCACAATATCCTATGTAAGTATGCGCCGAGTACTAACTTGTTGTTTCGTTGGTAAAGTACGGATATTAAAGACAAAGTCAATTCCTCGCCCCAGCGCTGTCGGACTGCATATTAATAAACAAGCTCAAGAGCGCTGCAGCACCTCCACGTGTGCAAACGCCACCCGCAAATTGACTCCATTCTCCCAGCGATCCAGCCAAGTGTTTGTCGTTTGAACTTTCCTTTGCGAACCCCAGAAGCGGCACAGATGGAAGCCGAACGTGATCCGTCAAAGTCACTTTGACTCTAGCCTCTAGGTACGTATCACAATAGCAGCTTGAGCCTTGTTTTAGATCGGTGGGCGGCTCTGTCGAAATCGTTCCATGATGGCTCCATGTCCTTTTCCATCATCGAGAACCCCCCACCTTTAGGAATGCCAGTGCAGGCAAACCTCCACCCCGCCATGCCAGTCCCGCGTTGTGTTATTAGTTCACGACACGGACGAAAGCACGACGCGCTCAAAGCGTGGGGTGAATCTGATCAATAGATACATGCAGCCACTGGCATTCCCGCCTGTGTCCTGAAACCAAGGCAAATGGTGTGTGGTGCGCTCGGGGCTCACGTATATCGCCTGTTCCCTGAGAAACGGTGAAGCAGGGCCGCAGGTGAGCCGGCGGAATGTCCTGACATCAATTAGTCGCAGTCTACGGAGTACGTGTGATGCTCCGGAGGATGCGGGTCAGCTCAGCCTCCACGTCGCTCGTACACTTCGGATCCTATGCACGTACTAAGAATAAATGTTGCCAGTGCTGGTAGCTCCTCTGGAAAAGGGAACTCTGAGCTCGCCAGTATTCCACATCATGCCCTTTGACGTGAATGTTGCGCGGAGTTGAATTTCTCAGCTTGGCTAAAGTTGATGTTAGTCTTTGTCTCTTTGATAAGGCACAAGGGTCTTGTCACCCGGCTGTAGAACGTGCCATTAGGGTTTCCACTGAGGCAGCAGGTCTGATAATTATTTCATAGTGCACTGATCAAGTACAGGGTAGTTTCCTAGTGCGATGTGTAACATAAGTAGTACCTAAGTATATTCGAACAACGCTAGATGCCGAGGGCATGTAAGTCAGACTCGCCCTGCGAACGAAGGAGAGGATGCAACGTATCCACGCCAAATAACCATGGCAATCCGCACAAGTTATTGAATAAGCTAAATTATCACGGAGCCATTTCTTTGACTCATATATGATGTGGACAGTGCTCTAAACTCGTTGCGAACCTACCGGTGTATGGGCGTCATCTCATCATCAGACAGCCGAACACCGTGGCATGATCACTCATCATGCTGCCCAGTTATTTAAGAGCGGGCATTCCACAAGAACTAATGATGCCTATCTGACCGATGGTGAGCTAACTTAGCCGCTGAGAAAGGCCTTCCAGCAAATATAGCGCTCAAGCTATCCGTGCTTGCCTGCACGTGCCCGATCCTAGACTCGGCCACATGCAGCGAAGGGAATGGATCTTCATTCTATTTCCATCGATATAGAACATTAAGTCTGCATTCATCAATAGGGATTCGTTACGTTTTCATCACAATCTGCGCCAGACTCTTGTATACATGTACGTTCAGATCAAGTGGTGACGTTGGGGTGAGTCAAGGTATCGTCAGAGTCGCGGAAGCCATGGAACCGCCATAGATAAGAATAGAAGTAGCATTGTTGATTTGTTGAGATATAAGAGCTAGTACCGAAAATGAATGCAGACTTTGTGCGACGATCGGAATGCTATGGCAGCTGCATGCATTATTACAAGTGTTCTCAGCAATGTGCATACACTCGGCGAACGAACTGACACACTTCGACGGCACTTTGCCGTCTGGTCTCTCTCCATGGTCTGACGATGCTAAAGTACTAGTAGTCTACTACTCAGAATTCTGAGTAGTAGATATCGATTAGCGTTAACGTCGCCTCACATCAATGACGGTAGTTCCGGAGCTTGATCTGAACCGATTGCTAATCCACGGAAGTACAATGCTCGTGGCCCATCTTCCGCCTCTCAGATTTCTAGATACATCTAAAGGTATACGCAGCAAAAGGCCTTGCTACGTACCATAGAACCCATCAGGCCAAGCTTTTAAACAACAATCGTCAACATGGTCAAACAGACAGTTCTCATCACAGGCTGCAGTGAAGGCGGAATAGGTGATACTCTTGCCCAAGCCTTCCACAGGAAGGGCCTTCGAGTTTTCGCCAGCGCTCGCAATGCCACCAAAGTCGAACACGTCAAGGATGTTGGCCTCGAGATTCTACAGTTGATGTAAACGACCAAGGGTCGATTATAACAGCAATGTCAATTGTCAAGGCTGCCACAGGTGGACCCCTGGATTTCCTCGTCAACAACTCAGGCGCAGGTGAGTCCCAGAGCTTTGATTCGGACTGTTGATAAAAGCCTACTCTTCGATAGGGTACAAAATGCCTCTGCTAGACTCAGATATGGCTGTTGACAAGCAGATGTTTGACGTCAACTTCTTGGCTGTCGCTGCCGTGACCCAAGCATTCGCGCCGCTTCTGATTGCCGCGAAATGAACCATTGTCAACATTGGCTCCGTGGCTGGCGACATGCAGCTACCGTGACAAGTCTGTAACGTCGCAAGCAAAGCTGCTGTCGCTATCTTGACAGGTCAGATGCGCCTCGAGCCACCGCTCTGTGGAGTCCGGGCCATTCTCGTCACCACCGGTGTAGTGAGGACAAAGTTCTTCGACAATTTGGCGACTACACCTTAGATGCCCAAGAGGTCTCTCTCTTACCCGGCAAAGGATGTAATTGAGCCAGCATTGGCAGGAACGAAGCTTGGTAAAAGCGCCATGGATGTGGATGCGTATGCCGAGATTGTTGTCAACAATACGATCCAACCAACCCCAAGAAGCATCTCTGGGCGGGAGGAAATGCGCTTTTCACTTGGCTGGCTTCAACATCCGGCTGAACGACTGTCTGTGTAGGTTATTTCCCTCGTTTTTATCGGTCAGCGTCATTCAAGTTTTCTGACCAATTTCTCGGGATCTCATCCTCCGCCCTATTATGCACATGTCGGATATCACAAACGAGATCCGTAATGCGGAGAAGGGGAACAGAGTCGCCACAAAAGGAATTAACAGTTTCCTTACCAATTTCTGCTTTCACGAAAACGACATGTCAATTTTTCTGTCTTAATAGTCTAATTGGGCTGAAGTGATTTGTGTGGCTTTACTCCAGTCGTGTCGTACACATCCGTATTCAATTCATTGACTTCCTATATGTCACGTAGCTATCGCGATGCGCCCACGCACAGACTCAGATTTCAGTCTCTGGGTAGACGCAGCGCGAGATTTGGCAAGGATGTACGGCGAAAATCGAGATACAGCTAGGCAGCCTTGAATACTTTGTGCTCGTCAGCCGTTGCCCGTCACATGTCCGGGTATTCAGGGTCCGACCCGGCCGACGCCGCCGGAGCTCAGCCCCGCCCATTGCATAGTGGGGCGCCTAGACTACTGACACAGGCACAGACCAACATGGCCAAGACCCCTTGATACCACCTCAGCTCATCAGCCTATTATCATGAGACTGGGCGATTGCGTCGCCGCCTTCTCCTCTCGCGACTCCATGATATTCCCTTAGATCACCTCGGTCCTCTGTTTCGTTTGCGACAATCCATATCATAGCGCTCTGCTTCTTCGCATTTCCGCGCTTAACATGGCTCGTCGCTCAAATTTGGCGCTGACCGTCGTCCTGGCGCTCGTTGTCCTTTTCAGCATCTCGTACCTCTTCTCTTCCTCGCCCAGCAGCGGCTATGCGGGCTACAACCGCGACCCTGACTATGTACCTTCGCAGGTGCAGGCTGAGACTCTAAAGGCTGAGCCTTTGATGTCTGAGCCTCTGGAATCTGAGCCTTTGAAGTCTGCACCTGAGGCTGTTGACCAGCCAAGTTTCGCGGTGGACATGGAGGCCCTGCCAGCAGGCATCTTAGAAGGAGAGAGCATCGCGCCCAAGCTGGAGAACGCGACGCTCAAGTATGTATATGCAGTGCTGGCATTCCGGTTGATTTGCTAACTATCCACAGAGCCGAGCTTGGCCGCGCCACGTGGAAATTCCTCCACACCATGGCCGCACGCTTCCCAGAGAACCCGACCGCCTCCGACCGCACCGCTCTCGAGACCTTTATCCATCTCTTCGGTCGACTCTATCCCTGTGGCGACTGCGCGCGACACTTCCGCCAGCTCCTCGCTGAATACCCCCCTCAGACGAGCAGTAGGAACGCTGCCGCAGGGTGGATGTGCTTTGCGCACAACCTTGTGAATGAGCGATTGGACAAGGAGATTTTCGACTGCAACAATATTGGCGACTTTTATGACTGCGGCTGTGGCGAAGAAGGCAAGGAAGGCGCAAAGGTCGAGGAGGGGCAGACACCTGAGGATACCCAGGTAAATACTGAGCTGAAGCTGGAGAAAAAGTCATAGGCAAAGAGAGTTGGTTTCTGCCATGGCCACCTTGAATATACGACGCACATAACGCCATCGGCATGTATAGACTGAGCATTTCTACGGTGCTTGTACTGCCTCCGTCTTCAGCGTGATGTATCATATTCCCCCGGCGCTAGATTAATGATTTCCATGATCGTGCCTGTTTCTTTGCTAGTTGCTTGCGAGCAAAAGGCGATGCTTCACTGCTTCTCATCTCTAGCATATGGCCATATCTGTTCGCTACATAGTGGAAAGCGTTGATGATATACACAAGGTGAGGAGCATTTGCAATAGACGACTTTCACATCACGTACGTGGATCACCTTCACGAGAGATCTTGGAGGTCAGACTTAGACAGGGTAGCCAGTTCAACAAAGCACAAACCAACCTCTTGTACTTGGAATGAGAAGTAGACAACCCCTTCCAAATTCCAACATGTCCCTTTATTAAACATGATATTTTGATCAAGTACTCTGGATACCTCAGCCAGCCCTGTCATGCGCCAGACATTGTTTGCTGCGAAACTCGTCACGTGACTGATGTCATGCGACGGGCCTGCGCGTCGAGAAGCTGCCTGAGCTCCATCATCGACCCAAACCCGAGCTACAAGTTACAACCCCACGAAGCGTACGGCTTTCTCTCTACATTGACGACCCGCGAGCTTGCCACGACCCCGGACCTGTAAAACGAACGAAAGAATCCCGATTCCCGACACGAAACCCAATCATGGCCTATGGTCGCAACGCAGGCGTGCTGAACGCAGGCAAGTCCAGCTGCGGGCAGTACCCAGGATCACTTTCTAACGGGGACCCCAGATGGCATCCACGTTGATATGCAGGCCCTCAAGGCGGGCGAGGTTGAGTAATTGTTCCTAGACTCGTTTCCACTTTGGGTCAATTCGCTAACATCTTGCAGCTTGGGTACCACAATGTTCGTCCCAGCGATTCCCAGCACGGCCGGTGTTCTAATAGGATGATAGCATGGCAATTACCTTCAAGGATGGTGTAATTCTAGGTACGCCCGGGAAAATGCTCGAAACCGGCCTATGCTGACCGACTAGGCGCCGATTCCCGCACAACCACAGGACCCGTCATCGCCAACCGCGTGACAGACAAGCTCACAATGATCGACGACAACATCTGGTGCTGCCGCTCAGGATCAGCCGCCGACACGCAAGCTGTGGCAGACATTGTGAAGCGCCACCTCGATCAGCATGCGGTGCACCACGGCGAGCGAGCCACAACCGGACAGGCAGCGAGTATTTTGGCGGAGATCTGCTATGCAAACAAGGACATGCTCTCGTGGGTATAACCTCCCCATTGCAAGAGCAGACATTCTGACAAACTCAGGGCGGGACTTCTTGTCGCCGGCTGGCACCCACGATACGGCGGCGAGGTCTACCAGGTACCCCTCGGCGGGTCATTGCACAAGGAGCCATGGGCGATTAGCGGCTCGGGTTCGACCTACATCCGGGCGCTTTGCTACAGGAACTGGAGAGAGAACATGGAGGAGAAGGAGGCCATCCAGTACGTGAAGGAGAGCGTGCGGGAGGCGATCAGGAATGACGGCAGCTCCGGTGGCGTCATCCGTCTGGCGGTGTTGACGGCGCGAGGTGTCGAGCGATGGTTGTTCACGCCGGACGACGACTACAGCAAGCCGACGGATGACAAGCCCCAGAAGATGTAAGGGGATGAACAATCATGCGCGTCTTCCATCATAGAGCAGCATCAATCAGAAAAAGAGCTGAAATCATGGCTCTGACGTGTCACACTGCGCATGTACCTTTTACAGGGTCGTATGAGAAGGCGTGTCTACGCCAACGTGGTTACTTTTAGTTCTATAACTTGCGTTACTAACTGCCTATCCGTCGGGCGCGTGCCTATGGAGAGAAGAATTCTGTCGGCCACGTTCTTGAGCACTCACCGCTGGCAAGTTGAGCTTGACCTTGAAAGATCAGCTCTGAAGGCTGAAACTATCGGTGAAGGTGTAGAAGCAAGAGGTATGCATCGCATCGCTTGCGCGCGATCAACCATGGAGGTGTGCGTCTCCAGTATCAATCTATCAAATCACTTAGGGGCCCACGTGGGCAGGGCTTTGGCTGCTAATAAGCTACCCAGACCGATAACGGGTCTGTCGGAGGATTGGCGAGGCAAGAGCGACTGGATTGGAGCTCGCATAGAAATATGCGGAGGCTACGCTTCTTGAATTGCGAACATTTGTTCTTGATCCTTTTCTTCCTCCTTTCGCCTTGTTTCACAGCTTCTCAGCGGGCAAGAAGTGGGTGCAACACCAGAAGTGGTTCGAAAGACTGGCGCAACAGGCACAGAAGGGGTTTGCCACGGAAACGTCCGTCCCCCACCCAAGGAGCCGACGTCGAGGAGCTGGCGAAGGAAGAGCGCGACACTGCTCTCAAGAAAGCAGGAGACGGGAACAATCGAGGAGCGCGAAGAACCACACCAAAAGGTGCAGGGTTATTGGAACCGGTGCCGCTATCCAGGCCGCCGACGCTATCGGCTACAGCTCGAGTCCCTGAACCCTGAATTTCCGTTGGAGGCTCGGAGTTGAAGTCTCGAACGCTTGCTGCATCTTTATCTCGGAGCTTTGGGGCTGGTCTTTGGGCTCCGACGGCCGCATAAAGATCGATTGAGAACCAAATCGAATTTGGACACATCCGAGTGGCAGTTCTTTGGCCATTTGTGTGTAAGTTCAACATTTATCTCACTTCGTCCTTGACCTTGAATACCTTATCGATGTGCATGAGCACGCTGGAATGAGCAACTGGCCCGCCGTTGCCAGCCAACTTGAACTCGATGACGCGGGCGAGACCGGCTGCTCATTGCATTCGCATGGAATGGGTGGTCATCACTACCATCGCCGTCACCGTGCATGGAGATTTGCTTTGCCTGTTCTGAGCAGCATGACAGCCTTCCAGTCCTTGATGAATCGCCAGAGTTGGTGAGCCAAAAGGCAGTCCCGATTCCGAGAATTTGTCGGCATCTGCTACCACATCTGGCAGAATCGATGCGTTCGGGGCCCTCCAACTTGCAGTGCCAGTGTACATTAGGTGGGAGTGGAGCCCCAAGCCTGTCACTGCCACCCACTCACTCCAATCCATCACCGTCTTTTCCCTGCCCGTGCCCGCCGCCGCCTTGCATCCACCAGTCCGGCTCGTCCTAATTCCCAATCCCCAATCCTAATCCCAACCCAAACAACAGCAGAGCAACGGCAACGACAACATCACAGTGCCTCAAGAGATACCCAGCATACGGCATTGCATTGCGATACTTTTTTGTCCTCTTTCTTTTGCCCTGTTCTCGTGCGCGTTCAGTCATTGATTGTGTAGCAACATTTCACTCGTGAGGCCTCGCCCGCATTACGTCTTGCCCCTCGTCCTCAGCCAAGTACGACGTTATCTCCCGAACCACTCGACGACCAACATCACGGCCGGCCTGCCGAAACGCCTCAACACACACCATAGCTAATATATCTGCCCTCGCTTGGCCCAGCTATCATCACAATCAGCTAGCGATTATATGTGCCGACGATATCATCGACAACCACACACCCAGACTCGCACCTCCACCTGATCGTCAATCTCAATGCTATGGCAGCTGTACTGAACGACTACATCACTCAACCATCGCGATTCCACGCTATGATCGCGAACCCTTCTATACAACACCACCACCCTCACTCTTATGCACATATCCATGAACCTCAACAGTCACAGCGATCTGCGTCACGATCACACACAAAAGACGACTCTGCGGCCTCGCGCCTGCCCTCGCCACCCTCATCCTCCTCTCCAGCCCACGCTTCTCCCGTGCTTCCCGCCGACGATGCCAAGAAGGTGCCCATGGACCCCACCATGTCGACCACAGCAGTCGCAGAGACGTCTTCGCCGCAGCCTCCGTGGCAGCAGCTCTCGCCAGCTGCGTCCAACCTCCCATTCTCTTCTTCCGACAACTCGCCGCCCGCGATAAGGTCCATTGTCGTTCACGTGCGCGATCTTGCCCATGTCAAAGCGCTCGCCGCCTCGAATACGTTTACCAGCCCCAGTGTCGACGACCACCCTTCAGAGCAGACAAAGTACGATATCAGTGCGATGCCCGTGGACGATATCATTGAGATGGTGGCGGCACTTCTCACCAAGATCACGTCAACAAACGACCAGCAACACGACGCCATGCAGCGTAACGTGACACACCAGCAGCAAGCCAACCAGTCAAACGATTCGCCCGGGGGCTCGTCTAGCCCTCTAAGCCACTCTGTCCTGGCTTTCCACGGAAAAAACGTGCCGGGAATAACAATTCTGAGCTATCTTGCGCGCATCCACAAGTACTGCCCTACCACATTCGAGGTCTTTCTCAGTCTACTCGTGTACTTTGATCGCATGACCGAGCGCGTGAACGACATGGTGGCCAAGAGCGAGGAAGCGGGGCGGAGCGCAATGGCACAGGCACAGTCAAAAAAAACAGGTGTGAGCCTCCAGCATCCCCAGGTTGCCACGCCCGTGCGGGAGCCTCAGGCGGGCGACGAAACCGATTCCGATCTTGCGGATGACGATGACGATTTGGAAAAGGCTGCCTCGAGACCAACCCTGGAGGATGTGCCTGCCCTAGGACATGCTCCTTCAACATATTTCGTTGTGGACAGCTTCAACATACATCGGTTGATGATAGCGGGCGTCACATGCTCAAGCAAGTTTTTCTCGGATGTATTTTATACAAATTCCCGATACGCCAAGGTAAGACTCCCCCAGCTGCACACGAGTGACTCTCATACTAACAGCTTAGGTCGGTGGTCTCCCACTTGCCGAGCTCAATCATCTGGAGCTACAATTCCTAATTTTGAACGACTTTCGACTTGCGATCCCTGTCGAGGAACTGGAGGCCTACGCTACCATGCTGGTAGAGTTCTACGGACGCGAGATGGCTTCGCAAGCACAAGCGGCGGCCGATCAAAAGCCATGAGCGCATGTACGTACGGCTCAGTTTGGAGCACACAACGTTTTGAAGGGCGCGAGAGTCCAGCACGCTGGTTGCTCATGGGAACCCACTCCCTGTCTAGACACGGCATACCTTCGCGCGTGCGCGAGAGTGTATGCAAGGCTCACGCAAGTTGGTGGTAATGACTATGCAAAGGGAGAGCTGACGGTGCATATCATGTCAGGCTGGCGGGGTGTTCGTTGGAACGTTATGATTGTGGGGCGTCGGGGGCGTTCACGGTAGAAGGGCCTGCTTTGAGGGCTTATGAGAGAATAGATCTCACGACTGTGTTTCACATCGGATTTCCATGTTATCATTTGTTTGAAACGTGTTTCTAGTTGCTGTGAAGACCCCTGAGACAAGATGACAAAAGGGGCAAGCTCAATAGAGGCTACACGAAGCAATGGTGATCTCAGTAAGTGGTAGCCGCCTGAGCTCGCTGTGTGCATACATAAATTAGAGGCGACAAAGTGCATAACGTGATTGATAAGCGAACCGCCCAGACAAGCGAACCGCCCACTTTCCTAAATCCCTATAACAAGATCTTTAAT